TACTTGGGATCATGGATGATGTGTGTATGCCGTATGAGTGACCTGGAATGACGTATCATTTTCATTTCCGCCGTTAGCCTGAGCGCCTCAGTCTGTTCACCGACATGATATCGCATCGACATAAGACCGCATGACAATCAAATGTTATCATGCAGCGCTTTCAGTCTGCACCTGGCCAACGTCTGTTGCGCGCAAGCTAAGATAAATGCAAACAGTCCTAAGCCTTATTATCTAAAACACTACCGTCTAATATACAAACAACGTAACTAGAGTTCCTACACAAATATTCTGATTACCGGTAGACGCAAAAAGTGCAAGCCGGCAGAGGAGGTACCCTCCCTGGAGGGCCATGTCCACTGGATAATTCTCAAGAAAGATAATAATAAGCCAAGATAATAATAAGCTCCGACTAACACTAAAAAACCCAAAAAGATACCTGCTCCGCACCCGTACCCACCCTAACCACCAAACCAACCCTACCCGTCCCAGTGCGGTTACCTTATTATTATTATCTTGGGCTTATTTAATTATCTTTCTTGAGTTCAATGTCCACTTGAGTCTGGCAGGCTCGGACCGAATTCCGCGGCATTCAATGATTCAGTCATCATTCAATGATTGCGCTGCCCTGTTGCCCGGTCATCATTCAATGATTGCGCAGCCCGGTTGCCCGGCGCGCGCCTCGAATAGGCCCCGCCGCCCGGAGACAAGCTCCGTGCAGACCGTATACGTGGTTGTTCTACCACGATGGATTAAACAGGTACCGGGTCTAGTAGTACCGGTAGTAGTACCTAATATCAGGCTATCCTAGTGGGTTCCCTCAAATTGCGGCAGATTTAGCGGCGAGCGAGGCAGACCTGGTGCGCGCGTTCGCATCGGCACCTGGCTTGCGGAGTATCATGCCACATGGCACATGCATAGTCACGATAGTGCACAACGTACGCTCGCGGCTTGACTTATCCGGATGTTTCGGTCCAAGTAACATCTTGATGAGTCCTGCTCTGCAGCCCGAGCTAAGTTACTAGGTAACTGCATGCGGTTTCTTGTTCTGCTCCCAAGTTATGTACTGTTCAAAGTGGCTTTCTGAACAGTTGACTGGTGATCAGCAGATCCGTCTCAAAGACACAAGCACAAAAGTGAGGTACGCCATCTTCGTGCGGGGCAGGCAGCTAGTCCGAAAAGAGGCTGTTCCTGCATGTAAGTTCTGCATTGGGATCGACCTACTAGACTTTCACGTTTCCGTTCCCCTGGGCTCCGCAACAGTCGAGTCAGAGTCACACCAACAATCTACCGTCGCTACGGTATTTCCCAGTGATATTCTCAGGACTGGCATCTTTTTCTGATAGCAGCTTTTCGGAGTTAGTGCTGTAGTGCTGCTGCTGAGTTCTCTTTTCAGAAGCCAGCCCTGACGCATCATTAAATCTGGCCGACTGGAGTCAGCAGCTTTTAAGAGAAAATCCTTGCAAGATCGATGCAGGGCGCCGTCTCTTCCGCTCCACCAATGGATGCCCTTGGTCTGCTCAAAAAATCAGTTCCGCTCGCTCGGTCTGCCGTCGTGGCGATCGCCACCATTCTGATCCTCTTTGTTTCTTGTTCTCTGCTCGTCGCTGATCAAACCCCGCTCCATGTTGGCTCAGGGATCTCCCTAGCATCCGCATCAGCACTAGTACAGAGATTTTTGTCACTCGGGAGCTTAGAAGCATATGCAGAGAGTGTTCAAGCACTGGAGATGGAGATGAAAAATATCAGCGGAAAGGTGGAGAGTTTGAAAGATAGTCACTTAGCGGCACAGCTTGCGATGGCCGCACTGAACCAAACAGTGCAGTCCAAAGAAGGGGCACTAGCGGCTGAGATCCACAATTTGCAGGCATCAGAGCTAGCGGCAGAGCTCGCATTGGCCACATTGAATCAGACAGTGCTGTTAAAAGAGGGGGCATTTGCATCTGAAATTAAGACTCTGCGGGCATCAGATCTGGAGCACTCAAATGCGGAGAGCCATAGTGCAGTTTCCGAAGAGCGATTAGATGAGAAACCAGAGCATAACATTGGTGCAGAGAAACCAGTGCAGACACAATTGGAGCGGTGCTCTTCAGGAATGTTGCTAGGGGGTTGGCAAGATTCAACATACATTCCGCTGCCTTTTGATATCATGGACGTATTTCAAGCAGAGGCAGAAGGCAAACTTTCTGCCGAGCAGGAAACGGGCTTGCAGTATAAAGGGACAGACTTTACATCCGTAGCAGACGCATTTCCCTCTCTTAAGCACAAGCCCTCCAGTGATGGGGGCTTTACTTTCCGACCGCCCTGCTTCTATCACACATATTCGAAGGGGGAGTTTGTCCGCCTGTTTGCGGGGAAGTGGCTGTACTTTCTGGGAGACTCAAACACCAGGGCGCTCGTTCTTGGATTGCTCACCATTCTAGATCCCACCCACAACCAGCCGTTTGACGAGCAGCGATGGTTCAACAGCTCGGGCAAAGTCAGATTCCCGCACGTTGAGACGATTGATTACTTTTTGAGAGATGACGGGTCGATTTTGTCAAAGTTCGGGGAGACCGGAGGGACCGTTCCGGGAAAGAACGAAGTGCCGTCGGAGCCTTACAGCGTCCGCATCAGCTTTCGAATGCAATCGGTGAGTCGTCGACGTCTAGACTGGCAGGGTTGAAGGAACTTTGGAAAACCTGACGCGCGATAAGGCGTTGTGCCGGACTTCATACAGTAGTAACATACAGTAGTAACATACAGTAGTAACATACTGAATCTTCAGTGATCTCATTCCGATTGGAAAATTGGGGCTAAAACGGGTTGCTCGTGCTTGAGTCATCTGTCTGAGCTATGAAAATAACAGAAGGGTATAGAAAATAATGCCAAGCGCATCTCGGTTCTTCCTGAATGAGAGTCAAGGTGTCTCGATCCTTTTCAGATATGACTTATTTAGGGGCGAGCACGAGCTCTTGCCACAACTTGAATGTTGCATATCCGGCTGAGCTTGAGAGCTACTCCCTAAATCTGTTAAGCTTGAACTAAGAGGAATCAACTTTCCAGCTTTCTGATTAACCAATCGCAGTCCAAAAGCGCAGAGTTGCTTATCAGTATGACGCTTCCACATACCCAAAGTCCGACGTCTCCAAACGTCTTATGCAAGACGCTGAGCCGCTGAGATCATTTTCGACTCACCAGCAATTTCGAGGTTGTCACTCCCTACCGTCGACTTAGCTTAATAACACACTGGATCGTTTTCCAAAAGGATCTGAAGACTTCGTCCAGCACGTTTTCGGCGCCATAAAAGATAGAAGTCTTATTCTCCCTATATCCTTTCTTCGTCACAGTTACAGCGCACACTTCCGTAGTTCTGCACAGGACACCCTCAAATCTCCCGTCTGAAGCCCCTGTTCTGTGCCTAACAGGATGTGAGGCGGATGCTTTGGTCATTCCCCGACACTCTTGGCGAAGACAACTGGCGGCCCGACTTTTTGTACTTCAACACCGGCAACTGGGACTCGGGGGAAGCGGTCCACAACAACGTGTCGTGGTCGGTCATCGAAGATGCGTACGGGCCCCTCTTTGAAAAGATTGCGACCACGTGCAAGCCTGAGCGGCAGGTAAGTCTCTCCTTTTCTTTACGAGATTCGTTCTCGAATATCATTCTCGACTCGAAGCAGGACATGAAGATGCATACGGGCCCCTCTTTGACAAAATTGCGGCGACGTGCAAGCCCGAGCGGCAGGTAAGGCTCTCCTTTACTTTACGAGATTCGTTCTCAAATGATTATTCTTATCTCGAAGCAGGACATGAAGATTCATAAGGGCCGCATTCTAATATGAGGATCGCAGCAACGAGCCCGATCGGCAGGTGAGGCTCTCCTTTCCTCTACGAGTTCTGTTCCCGCCGAATGATTGACTTTGACTCGATGAAAATCTCATCTCGCAGGTTTGCGTGTGGGGCACTCTCACGAGCAACGTCCACCTGGAGCACCCGTACCAGCACTCGCGCCTCGCGCTCGCGCAGTGGCGCCAGCTGGCAAGAATTGCGCGCGCGCAGTCCGAAGAGGGGCGTCCGAAGAGCCTGCACGTTTTGGACCGCTTTTGGGCGGCCCACGTCAGCGACCAAGGGAGGGGGGGCCACTACGGACACGAGGTAAGGCCGATCATCGTCTCTTTGCGCCTGGTGAAACATTGGGTTATCCCCAGGGGTTTGCGTTGAACCTGTTGCCATACTAGTGAAAGTGTTGATGCTAACCCTAGTTTGGAACGGTTCGATCTCCTGCCACGTGTCATCGCAAGCCGACAAACGCCAAAGCAGAGTGATGGCAGACACCACGTCCGACTGACCACAAGGAGGAACCGCCGTCGACCAATGCTGGTTAACAATCGGATACCTGCCCTTCTACCAGGCAGGTACAGTATGCGTCTGGTTAGGTGCCCGTAAACCAACACTGGTTAAGGCCGGAGAATTACTGTGAATTGAGTCGATGCGAGCTGCACTCTGCGCCTTGCTTATTGACACGCCCATCACTCTACTTACACGGTCACAATTCGTGCTTCAACGTTCCCCTCCAAAGTGCCCGGCTCTTCTGCTGGCGTTGTGGTCATAGAAAGAAGAGATCTGAATCTCGCCACTTGTGCTTTTGTTTCGAGCGGCCAGCTACCTTTCGCGAGTGCTTTTCGCCAAACCCGGTATTGTACCCAAAAGAAAGGCAGCCTTGTTTGTATCATCTTGCGCTCGCCCAAAAGTTGTTCTTAACTAATTTCTCAGCACATTTCGGACGACCGTCCCGGCTGGGAGTCACCCGACGTCCGATGTCTACTCCAAGGTTTTCGCGTTCAATATCAGTTGCTAGTTTTCACGTCTTCCTTCCGCAGCGGCTTCCATGGGTGGCGGAATCTCCGCGACTTACGGTTCCCGGATTACCCAACCCTTGACATTATTAGTTTTTCTAGACACTCCATCTATTTCTTAAGGGCTCGTGTCCGTTGGCAGCATATGCTCTCTTGATGGACCCGCTTTTTATTTGTTTGTTGTGAAGGTCAACACTTGGGACATCCAACGGTTGATGCATGTCTACCACGGCATCGTACGAACGACCGTCGATGTGAAGCCGCCCAAAAGCAAGCAACTAGAGACGGGGGGAAACAAGCTCCCTGAGTGCACGCTCAAAGTGGACGGGCATCTCGCGAGCGCAAAGTGCGACTGGTTTCCGGAGTTGGTTACGTTTGGGGACGGGTGCGTCATGGAAAGGACTGACCCGGGGGAGGATGACGGCGGGTTACATATGTGGGAGCGCAACTGCGAAGCGAAAGTTGTCTACAGCACCGGAGTAGCCTGAGGAGTCTGAGGAGCCCAGCCTAGAGCAGTTCAGGCAGCGAGATCCTCCATTTCAAAGTACTCTATACTCCTGCACTCTATACTCATGTCATGATGCATCATTGGCAGCAGTTCCGCACATCTCAAACAATGTGCATTCTCGACCGCGGCTCAATAATTGCTCATGAAAGCTGTTCACTAAGTTTGAGGCTTGCACGCGACTAAACTAAGAGTTGAAATGGGTTGGAATAGTAAGTTGCTAGCCTGGCAAGACAGGGCCGAGGAGACCTAGCTTAAACGGGGTCAGCATGGAAATCCTCAAGCAGATACTCTTACTAGTTCCTTCAAGGAGACCAAATTCTAGAAAACCGGTCTGCCCAAATGAGTTTCTTAACATCATCTGATAGAGCTAGCGAACGGAGATCTACTGAGTTTTAGCAGTCACGGCGTTGTACTTGGATGATAGCGAAACTGATCGATGGTGTCATAGGAAAGCTCGTATACATAAGCTGCGTTGTAGAGGCTGGAGATTCCGTAGAAGCCGGCCATAGACCCGGCCCACGGCTATAGTAAGATGTGGAACCAAATTGAGTTTGCCTGTCGATTGTGTCCCGCAGTCACATGCAAGCTTTCATGATATAGTCCATCATGAAGTGAGAAATGTGTGGCGTGGTCTGTAAGCCTTGCCTTACAGCGGTTCGACTCGAATTAAGTACACAACAGGTTCACGCTGCCAGCGCACATCAACCTCAAGAGATCTGGTCAGGAAAGAAGCCGGCGCAGGCAGCCGCGTAAAATTCACTATCCAAAATTAAGCTGAAAGAATCACGGCGGGAACATCAAACATGCACGCCCTGACAGGAGCACACCGATGCTGTTTGTCAATCAGACCAAAGAAAGTAATGAGGTTGATTGAAGCATAGCGCTTTGAGAGCTACTTGAAAGGATAATACCTACCGTACCTGTATTTGATTTCGGCCAAAAATAAATAATTACTTGCCCTGCCGAATTTCGCTGGAAAATATTTTGATGCGATAATGGTCGATAACGGTAGTTTTTAGCAGGTAACGCTAGGTCGGCCGAAAGGATTAAAAGTTCCATATTTTATTAATCGGCGTCGAACCTGCCGAAATCAAATACAGGTACGGTAGTGAAAGAATCTAAAAGAAGTAACAACTACCTTCAGCTTACCTAAGGCACTATACTGCATATGCGTGCTACAAGGAACGCCCTATGCTCACGTCTGATCTCATTCAGATTCAAAGCTCTCTTATAAGCTGACTAGTACCACTTCGAACGCGTTTCGCTGCCAACTTTTAAATCGACTCTCAGCATGTGAGATGCACGCTTTGTGAAGAATGAACTCAATGATGTTTATCTGCCAGCGCACGATCATGCGCTATGCATCTTCCGACTCTTGCAGCGCCAGATCCATCATCAGCTTCCGTTTCCGCAGGTACGACTTGTCCACACTGCAATCACAAAGCGAACGATAACCAACTCTCATGCTCGCCCGCATTATCGAAAATTTTCAACAAACAAGCATCCCCTAGATTCCCAGCCGCTCTTTCAAAACCACAAAGCCACACAACACGATTGGCGAACCGGCTAGCGGGAAGTCAGTCTTAAAGAACTGCTTGTCCTCGAGCCTTTTCCCCTCGCTTTCCTGTTCTCTTCAAAATTTCTTGAGGTGATGAAAAACAGCTCTGCACTGTAGACCAGGCATAGATCAGTCGTCTCAATTGAGACTGTCGTACGTGGATATCATGGAGAAGAGGCTCTTGTTGAAGTGAGAGTGTTGACCCTTGAAGCACAAGCAGATTTGACCATGCGCTCTGAGTGCTGAGCCTTCCTCACCTGTTCAACATTGGCCGCCCTTTTTCGTCCGAAATCGACATTGGATCGAAGCCGGGCCCCCCCGGCCTCCCTCCGGTGGCAGCCCTCCGGACGCCCGTGGACGGCTGACCACCGTCCGATTGCGGGTTCGTATCTGCACGGGGCAAGCAGCCCTTCCAATTGATTGGAAAGTGCAAAAGAAGTCCTGACCACCACGCAACAGAGAGGGCAATCGTTGCTGAGACTAAGGTACACCAGGTGGAATAGGCAGCTCTAAGAGACATTAAAGAATGAAAATCGCCGCGCAAACACAGGACAACCACCGCACCTTTTAGGGGGCGCAGGACCCTTCGATTCTTCCAACCAAATTCGACATCCTTGCAAAGCTCGTAAGCAGCTCCGAGCGGCTCTACCAGAACCAAGAGTCTGCACATAGTCCACCAGGTGCGTTCCAACGTGAACGGCCGTCACGGGCTTACCAAGGTTCGGGAAGGATATCCGCCGACTTTTATGGGCCGGGGACAACACGACTGGCGACCTATCCTGCGCGTCATTATCGCCGCTTGCTCGAATTGGCGGGCGGGGCAACCTGTCGGGCTTGGTGGGGGCGGGACCTGTGCTAAAATACCTGCGCAAGAGCAGAAGAGAACGGTCAGTCGAGAGTTTCAAACCCTGTTGGAGCTTGCTGGGAGTTGTACCTAAAGCATGGCGATATGGGCTGGGGCTTGTCTGCGCACTGAAGTTAAGTCGCTCGGATGGCTCCCTTTGGATGGCTCTTGTTGACGACGGAACCTCGCTTTGTCTTCTTGGGAACGAAGCGAATACCTCTGAACTGGTATGCTCTAGGACAAAGCCGCGCTAAATGTACTACTTCCAGCAATCTAGGAACGCCCTTCCGACAGACACCAATCTTAAGGCAGCGGCGTGGAACCCCGGGATTCATATAGACCACTCCGTACATTACGAGACGAGACCATCGAGTTTTCATGCCGGCTGTCTCAACATGCCCCTACAAACAGCGCACAGCCTCACCTATGGCTCAGCGCGGCCTCGGCCGAGATCCGTTTCCGGGGATCGTACGTGAACATCTTTTGCAGGATGTCGAGGCAATCCTCGCTGACGTTGGGGAAGAGCTGCCGGAGGGTGGTGGGCGGGCATGGCACGAACTCAATGTAGTCGGGGAGTGACGTCATGCCGGGCCAGACGGCCTCGGTTGGAGTGCCGAAGGCGGCGAAGATCTGGAGGCAGACGGGAACAGTGAATGGAGGGGATGAAACAATGTTGGAGCCGGTAGAGAGCTGGCTGCGGGACTCTGCCTAAGGATGCAGAGTTGCGGTATATTACTACCGATGAGATGCTCAGTCGTCCAATGAAACCCAACGGCAAGTACAGAAAAAAGATCGAGCAGAGACGCTTCTTAGGCTCAACTCTTGCACTTGGCAATCCTCAAACTGGTCAGAAGCAAGTAGCCCGCATCTCACGAACAACTCTACAAGTAGACGACCAAACCACAAGGGACTTGGGAGGGCGAGGCAACGACAGGGTATGAAAGCGCCGCACCTTTCCTAGTTGGTCCATATCGCTCTCGCCGAGCAGGAACGGACGCCGCAAGATAAGCTCCGCGAAGATGCACGCGAGCGCCCAGATGTCGACGCCGGGCCCGTACTGCTTGCTGCCAAACAGCAGCTCGGGGGCGCGGTACCAGCGGGCGAAGACCTGGTGAGTGAACACACGGTCCGGGGAGCCAAAAATGCGTGCAAGGCCAAAATCCGCCTGCACGACAAAGACTTCGACTTCATGTCAAGGCAGAGTTCGGGCTGAAAGCCTGAATTGGGCAGAAAGCAGAAGTTTGATGCTATTCCGAGGGGATTGAAATGAAGATTTGAAAGAGGGTAGGAGGGATGATCAGACGTCCTTTAAGGGTGTGTCGAGCAGAAAAGTTTCAAAATTTCTGCGAGGTTGGCAAAGTGTTGTGTGATTTGGCCATGGGTTTGTGGTCTGGAACTCTTTTACACAGGCGAACACAGGCAATCATGATAGCATTAAATGCCAGAGCACCTTCTGTGTATGATGGTTGATTGCTTTCAAAACGTGTGTTAAGCAGAGAACCACGTCATACTTTCAAAGCGTTTTCAGCTAGAAAGTTCCAAGTTCTTGAAAGGAAGCAGTGCCATTGGGTGTGAATGCTGAGGCCCCTTGGGAACCTGACTCGCAAGCCCCTTTTAAACGATGACAAAGGCGGTCTTACCAGCTTCATCTGGCCGTCCGTGGCAATCAGAAAGTTGTTGGGTTTCAGATCTCGGTGTAGGACCCATTTTCGGTGGCAGAATGCAATGGCCTTCAGAGCCATTTGCATGTACGACTTGATGTCGGCGGGGGACAGCACAGTTGAGCGGTCCTTGATGACCTGCAATTAAAACGGGTTTTAAGGTCTTGGAATCATTCTTGATATAAAAGTACCGAGCAGCATAGAGTTGGCTGTCAGACAGTTAGGTGTTCACGTTCAATGCTGATCGGCTAAGCTAAAGTGGATTCTGAATCTTGCAGGCCTTTGCAAACAGGCTCAGGAAATTGTGCTTTGCATGGACACTTTGAGAAAAGACAGCCGGCCGAACCTGCGGATGCGAATCGACCGAGGCGCAAAGGTCAAGGCGACAAACACCCTCCCTCCTACTTGTGAGCTTTTGTCAAAATCTAGGTGTGGCACCGGCCAACATGACGTTACATTTTAGGGCCAGAGTGGGAAAGCTCACCCCCTCAAGGTCGCTCGTCATGAACTCAAACACAAGGTTCAGGTTTTTTTTCTTCGGATAGACGTCGATGAGCTCGATCACATGCGGGTCGTGCAGTTCCTTCAGCAGCTTGATCTCCCTCAGCGCCGTGACGTTGACGCCCTCCTTGTACTTGCCCAGCCGAATTTTCTTGATGGCCACTATTCGCCCGGTCTGAATGATATAGCAACGATTGGTAGCTTAGAACGTACCATCTGCCAAACAGGATAGTTACAGAGAAGCGAGGCCTCCTCAATCTTAGGCCTAATTGAAACAACGGAAGGTCGCTAAGTGTGAGAGATAGAAGAACGATTGAGCGACTCGGAAGCATACACAGACTTGCCTAAAGGGCAAGCCGAGCTTCCTGGTTGCTTGGCAGGGACCTGTGAAAACTTTGCTTTTTTAATGTTGGGACAAACAACAATACTGATTGCACCGCTTATCAGAGAGTATGGAAGCGATGCGCAGTTGGTGCACCACCTTTCAAAGCTACTACCGTCCCTTTTGCAAGATGCTAAACCGGCATATGCTCACAAAAGTGGCAGCAGGCTATGGATCCACCTGTAAAATTACTGGCCCTGGAAAGCTGACTCTGTAGGCCAGCTGGGTCAGCAGGGGGGGCCAGCTGGACAAATAGACTTCTAGACAAGCTGGAGTGTCAGATTTCTTAAGAAGTTGGGGTAGGAAGCTGCAATCAGACAAAAGTTCACCACAAAAAGTGATTTTCTTGTCATTAAACATTAACGGCTACCGAATCATCAGTCTCACCACTTTGTCGGTTGCTTCAAACACGGTCCCATAGGTGCCTTCACCGAGGGTCCTTCCCTTCTCATACCGCTTTGCACCGACCAAGTCCGACATGGTGGCGTGAGAGAGGCTTCTGGAAGTTCACATGAAGCCACTCTCAGGGACCAGCGCAGTCCCTTAAACACTTTGTCTTGCTGAGGGATGAGGGGTCTCGCATGGGATCACTAACAGGTGCCCTCTCCGAGCAGAGACTAGTTCATGTGAGCCGATGGAAATTTATGCAGATGTTAGATAGTTGTTCAACTAGACCTGTCCAGAGGTAGCCACTCTGCCATGCGCAGTGCTTGTCTTGATAAAGCGGGACGCTTCTACAATGGGACTCAACAGGGGGCGTCTACATAGAAGGTGGTCGGCACTCAACACTTTGAAGGTACTAAATCATCGATCTCTGACTGGGCAACAACAAAAGGGCAGGTCAAAGAGCTCCAGAGCGCCTGAGAAAGACGCCTTTCTCCTGCCTTCTTCCTGCTTCAAGTTCAAGTTCAACTTCAACTTCAACTTCAAGTTCTTCCCTCATTCAAATTGTCAAATCTGTTCAGTGTTCAGTTTTCGTGCCAGTCCGAATGTACCTAAGGCTAGAGCGCTCCGGATGTAAAGTGCCCTGATCGCCTGCTTATATTTCATATAACCGGCAGGTAAGGGCGTCTTTGTTTCAGAACATGCGAATTTAGGCAGTCATAGCCTGTAGGATGAACTTGACACAATTCATTCCAACGTTGTTTTGAATGCTGAAAACTGACAAGCAGACCCTTCAGCTTATGGCTTGTGTCAAATCTGCTTATAGCCACACAAAGGGCCGTATCAGATATTCCTGGGCAGGATTCCAGCTGGCTCTGGCGCTGCCCTGGCGCTGCATTGCCCTCGAGGGCCCTCGCATGTCAACGCATTGATTTGGTGCCACTGGTGGCGACAAGCGCTAGCATAGCAAAGCTGTAGCAGCCGGGGCTGGCGGTGGGTTCGAAAGGGCCAGGAAGGCAGTAGCAGAAGTGATGCAGCCAGGCAGTGCCACAGCGGGCACCTTGGAAAGGACATCACGCTTTGCAATGGTGGTGCAATTGCATGAGATTCAATCTGTACAGAAAGGTTGAAGCAGAGAAAATACCTGAAAATTTTCGAAGTCGCTGACAAGATGAAGGTAGTTGCGCTTGTGAGCGGGGGCAAGGACAGTTGCTACAACATGATGCTCTGTGAACAACATGGCCATGAGGTATGACCACCACCATCAATACAGTCCTCTTGCTTGTTGAGCACACCTGCTTACTTGAAGTTCCATCTTCTTTGCTATCTTCAGGCATGGGTCAAAGTGGAATCACTTCGAGCACATTCTACATGTTACTCACTTCTGGCATTGCACCCTCAGATTGTGGTTGTAAGAATACAAGGTGACTTCAGAACTGCAATTGTGCACCCTCTCTCTGCTGCAGCAATGTTTTGAAAGAGAGCAGGTATGTACTCTCAAAATGTATTATCAACCTTTTGCTCTGCAAACTTTACCCCCCTTCACCTTCATCAGCTCCTGTGCTTCTGATGCAGATTGTGGCGCTCGCAAACCTGCTGCCGGAAGATGACGCAACGGACGAGCTTGACAGCTTCATGTACCAGACGGTCAGTTTACGCAACTCCTCTTGTTATCGATGATGGTGAACTACTTACAAGCAGGCCAGCAGCAATCTGGAGTCAATCTTGTTGACCGAGTACCAATGAAGTTTCTGGACAGGGTGGCCGGCACATATTCAGACTTGAGAAGACGAATGGAACGATCTTAGCTGCCAGTCGGTTTGAAGGGACTTCTTTTGCCGTAATATGCTGACTCACTGGAGATACACGCATCGTTCTTTCGAGCAGGGCAAACGCAAAATGAATATGATATCTCCAGAATTGTCGAGACAGAAAGGCCAAAGGCTGCCACAACAATCTTTGTGAACCCCTTTTGCTCCTGACGCTTGGCTAATTCTTCCAGGTTGGTCACCAGCTTATCGCCGCCTATGCCACGTGCATGGGCCTCCCCCTTTTTCGGCGGCGCATCCGGGGCAAGTCCAAGTCGCAGGGCCTGCAGTACTCTGCGACAGAGGGAGACGAGGTGGAAGACCTTCAGGTGCTTCTTGCAGCGGTGAAAGAGGCAATTCCGGACGTCCAGGCGGTGTCCTCAGGGGCAATTGCGTCCGACTACCAGCGACTGCGGGTCGAAAACGTAGGTGCTTTCCCGAAGTGAAGTCGATATCGAGGGGTCTGGATATGGTCTATCTCCTGATGAGTATATAAAAGTGATCTGAAATGTACAGCAAATACTTTCTCACCTGTCTCCATCTAGGAGTTGGGTGATTGTAGGGAAACGGCAACACGGTTGGCAAGGAGTGGCGAGAACCTCTGCACCACCTCAAAAGTCGTTTTCACTGCGAGCAGGCTCGTCTGGGACTTTGTCTGCAGTCACAGCTCAGACGCGCCGTTGATCTATTCACAGCTGGTCAAGGACAGCTCCGGCTTGCAGGAACACCGCTTATCCAGGGGTTTACTGTAGCCGCCACACTCTTTTCTCTCGTCAGTCATCTTACGCTGAGCGCGGCCGCACCTTTGTCGGGACGGGCCTCCGGTATGCCGCCACCCTCTGCTACCGTCCCTGACCCGCCAGATTCTCGCAGGTCTGCTCTCGGTTGGGCCTGATCTCGCTCGCCTTCATGTGGCGGCGCGAGCAGTCCGGCCTGCTTTCGGACATGGTCGCGGCGGGCGTCCGAGCGGTCCTGGTGAAAGTGGCGGCCATGGGGCTGGACCCCCACAAGCATTTGGGGCGGGAGCTGGGGGCGATGCACCCGACCCTGGAGCGACTCAAGACGTGAGAATTTCCTCGCTCTAGTTCTAGGGCGGAGCTTCCGGGAAAATTCGGCTCTTCGGCAGAGTGTTCTGCGAGGCATCATGAATGTTTGAGTTTGAGGTTCGATCGAGCTGTGCGATGCTCCGTTTGGGCTTGAATAAGACAAGTGCGACGGTCTGCAAAGACGTCGGACGACAAACGAAGTAGTCGACCACAATCACCACTCTGGACTCATGAGAAGCGGACACGCAGCGCTTGCATGTCAACGTACGAAGGTCGGCTCTTGAGAAGGAGTAGAAAATCCAAGGGGCGATCCGTGCACTGATGTATCCACACGAGCAGCTCAGCAGGCGAATGACATGCTAGTTGCAAACGGTGCTATTGACTGTCAGGAGCCTTTGCTACTCAGTACTCGCTTGCTTACGTGTCGTCCTGGTTGCTGTCTCCCTTCAGGCTGTACGGTTGCAACCTGTGCGGGGAAGGGGGCGAGTACGAAACCCTGACTCTCGACTGCCCGCTGTTCAAGGTAAGCCGGCTTCCAACTTCGCTCGTCTCCTCTTCGCGTCTATCTCCGTGCAAAGATTTGGCTGGTCTCAGCCCAGGCTCGAAAATGTATGGTCTTGTGTGAAGCTTGATGACGCGTCAATGACTAGTCTGCTCTTCAGAGCCAGTTACAAGCATTCCGCGAGATGACATTTATCTTCATGTGTCGAGCGATGCTTTTGGGCAAAAATCCTATGTCGAGACTCTTGCTCGTTGCCTCAACACTTGTGAGATTGGTGGCGAATCCTGAACCTTGTTTCTGATGCTACCGAGGTGAAAGGGACATCGGCCGAGATGTTCGATTTGTATCTGCGGGAATGAACGTCGTATCATGACTGGCTTACGATTCTTCCGGAGGCGTTTCATCCCTGCGGCGCTCCCATGTTCGCCATAGACAAGAAGTTTATGTCTTGCTGACGCACAGTACAACCAAGACAAGTTCGAAGCTGCCCTTTTTTACGGAGTTCACAAGCTATCAACAGCCAGTCCTTCCGCCCAGAGGTGCGAGGAACTTCGCAACGCCAGCAAAACAGGTGCAGCTTTCTATTCGTGCAGCACGCTCGCATCGTTCTGGACGAGACGGATGTCATTATCCACTCTGCCGACGCCTTTGCACCGGTCGGCATTCTGCACACAAAAAAGTTCCATCTTGAGCCAAAAGAATTAGCGGCGGTCCCCGTACCTGAGGCTCGACATGTGTCTCAAAAAGGAGGCCTTGTCGATACGAACGCTCGGGTCGAGAGAGGCGGGGCGGAAGTCATCATGGTGGAAGACAGGGCCCCTCGTTCTTCGGACGAAGGGTCTGGCACAGTATCGGCCGCATCGGAAGCAGACCGGAAAACGGAAGGTCGAGAAGGGGTTCCCAATGTGGAAAGGAACGAGGCTGTGGACTCGATGGAAGGGGGATCAGAAGATGACGTCACAGTGGGAAATGTTGATCCAGACGGCATCTTTAGAATACGCTGCGGTCACCCGATCCCAATATCGGACGGTGGGCCTCCAGCCGTCCCCTCGACAGATGGAGCTCTTAGCACAGGCCAGGATAGCACAGGGGGAAGTTCAGGAGGGGAGACGGGCACCTTAAGAGCAAGCGGTTCCGGTCCCAGTTCCGGTTCCGCTTCGAATCTAAGAGAGGGGGTCTCGCCGCAGCAGACCGAAGGCGCCGTACGCTCGCTGCTGACGTCAGCAGAGGCGGAGCTCGCGGCGCAGGGCATGACGTGGGCCGACGTCATCTACGTGTACCTCTTCCTGGCGGACATGGCGCACTTTGCGCGCGCCAACGCTGCGTACAAGCAGGTCATCACGGAGGAGAAGTGCGCGTGCGGCCGGGGGGTCCCCTCCAGGTCGACGGTCCAGGTGGAGCTGCCCCCCGGGTGCGCGGCAAAAGTGGAGGTGCTAGTGGCGGGGGTTGGCAAGGTCGTGAATGGCCGAGCGGTAAGAAACGAGAGTGTCGGGGTCCAAAGCGGGCGAACGGACGGAACCGGAAATGCTTTAGAAGAGGGGAAGCGGAACGATGTTGAAGCTGCGGTGATGGCAACTCGTGGAGAACGGGGTAGTACACTGGCGGATTATGCGGGAGGAAGTGCGGAGAAAGGGGAGCCTAGAGCTTTAGGGGCCGCCGGAGGTGGGCGTGAGGAGCGCCAGGCTGGTGCGGGCGAAGCGGAAACTAGAGAGGCGGGAGAAAGATACGGATGTGCCGGGGAGGAGCGGCCGTGGAAGAAGGTGCTCCATGTGCAAAGCATTTCGAGCTGGGCGCCCAGCTGCATCGGCCCGTACAGCCAGGTAATCATATTCATTCAAGCTCAAGAAGCGAGAACTTGACTGTGATTATTTCGTGCTTTTCCGGACAGCGGATCAGGTTCCTGTCTGACTTGGCTGCAGAGTGATTTTGGCTTCCTTCTTGACGTTTGTTCGGGCTTTATGCGAGCCTAGATTGCAGGAGCCGCTGACTGGCATCGAACCAGCAAAGCTGTTGCGAGGAAGAGACGTTGGACGCATCGAGGTTCGGGCGGCCCCTCTTTACCCAGCTCGCCTCCAAACCAGCGCTTGATTCATGAAGCGTCCAGCCTTTCAACATCGATAGTTGTTTCCTAAAGGAAAAGCGGAGCGGCTGATTCCCAGTTCAGTCTGCGAACGATTCAATCGTATCCGACAAGCTTTCGGACTTAAGGTCAAGTCTGCTAAGTCGATTGAGTTGGAAAGAGGTTCACTCTGCGAGTGTTCTTTTGCAGGCCACGTCATACAACGGGCGGCTCTACATGGCGGGAATGCTGGGCTTGGATCCTGCCACGATGGAGCTCGTCGCAGGGGGTGCGGGAGCCCAGATGGCGAGGGCGCTCCTAAGTTGCGAGGCCGTGACACAGGTGAAGCCCTAGGTTCATATTTTCCGCACTTTCTAGTCTCTCCACCCCCTCATAACAAGTCACTCCCTTCTCCTTAGACGCCGCAGTATACGTGACTTGTCCTGGGCCGCAGTTACGGAAAGCCCAGCACGCGCTGAAAGCAACCGGCTTCATCTCGTGTCACCCCTCTCCACCCCCAGTGGTGTCCGCTAAAAGCAAAGCGAACCTCGCATGGCCCTCTGCCCCTGACGCCCTCTGCATGCCCCCAAGTGGAATTTCAGAACCTCACGATGTCTGTTGCTTTAAAGTTACCAGTATATCTCTTCCAAATGTGCGTGATTCAGGACACGCAGCTGCGTACGAGTTTATATTCGATAAGCGACTCCATCAATCGGAGTATTCATATTGGCATTCCCAACCCGTTTGCTTCTCGTTCCCCAGGCAATGGGCACGTCCGCACGGCTGAAGGGAGAGACGTTCACCATCTTTCACGACAAAAAGTGCTCGGAGGACGATCTCCGGGCAGTGGAAGAAGAGCTCGGCATATTCATGGAAGGCCGGCCAAGTGCTCGGTATATAGACAACTTCAACCAGACTTCCCCGAAGCAGGAAAGCGAAGAGAACCCGTTAGCGGGGTCTCTGCAACCTTCCCAACGGCGGGATCTAAGGGAAGAAGTGGCTCGGGAAATGCAGCTTGAGTTGGAGGCTGATGACGTGCAGAGTGAGGACGCTGCAAACGGTGTCTCCGCTTTGGAGATCGCCTCGGAAGCAAGCAGACACGGACCTTGCGTCAAGTACGAACGTGTTCCTGGATTGCCCAAGGGAGCCTTGGTAGAAGTTGTCATGGTATGCAGAGTTGACTCCATGTAAAGAAGAGTTACGTGTCCAGAGACTCGGGCGCAATGGCGGATATTGCGTCCTAGTTGCACGGACAGTGCTTGAGTTTGTCCGCGGAATGCACATACCGACGTCCTGCGCGCCAGCTGTACATGGTGTCCGTATATGAATGATGTACTGCCTCTAAATATACCGGAAGCTACAATTAGAATCTGATGCTCACAATGTAGCCACAAAGGTAGCCGGGTAGGCTGCTCGATATCATTAAAGCAACTTGAAGACTCCTAGGCTATAGCGCTACTGGTTGTGCTTGTGATGCGCTTAAGGCGTGCTCCAACGATTATATCAATGCAATCTGAACATGGCTGCCTGCAACTTATAATGACGTACGCACGCTAGCTTCATTGACAGCCTACACATGCAAATTTCCTACGTGCATGCATGCATGCGGCCCATGCAGGGGAGAGCCTATACGAACGGCAGCCCAATCCCAAACCCACATATGCAATATATCAATGATATATATGAGCTCACCCGACCGCGAAAATATGCACAAAGAATGCGCCATTGGGGTCCAGGCCCTCCGGCATGGGGCGGCTAGCTTCAGCATGTGTGCAGCGTACCGTCGTTTGCACAATGATGGCATATACTAGTTGACATGTTATAGCACGACGCGCAACTGAGCACAATAATGCAACCTATTGAGCAAACTTCCGCCGCTTGGCATTCATGATCGAGCTTGGCAATTAACTCCCATGGAAATAGGACCTATAAACACCACTAGCTCCAGTGCGGTGTACGGGAGGTCTTCATGCTGGAACGTACTCCGGGGACCTCATGCAATGCAATGCACGTTTTCTACAACAAAACTTCATGCATGCATGCCATGAGCACTTTTGATTTCCTGCGTACTATGACAAAGCTATCACAACGGCCATTCGATGCGAATAGTTCCTGATCCAATGATTTTTACCAGGATGCTGAGGATCAAGCAAAGGGAACGCAGAAAGCAGGTGCGAAAGTGCGAAAAGAGACAGTGAGGTTATTCGAACCTGAACCTAAAGGCATCTATTTACATTCAACGTTGTGTCTTCAACGTTGCTCACACACAGTGCTAGGAACCAATGTAGTACTACTTTGAGGGTCGCTTTTGCTCCCTTTACCCCCTTCAATTGTGGCGAACTGACTGGTCCGACCAACAATGGAGGCTCCCTGGTAAAACGCCTCGACTCCTAACTCCTTCATACACCCCAGATATACAGAGCTTGAAGACACCACCCATCAACCCCCTTTAGAAAATTGTAAGGTCTTAAAAACCGTCCGTTGTTGATTTCCCATTGCGTGCATGACATTGAAACCGCTTGGCTGGCATCCACCTTACGCCACTAGAAAGCACTTTCGTTTTCTGCCTTCAAAACAGTTCTATCCACCATATGCAAAAGCAATTACCGGCTCCGCGTGTCCACGTCGCTGACCCCCATCTCGCTGTACAGCGAGCGCAGCATCCCCTTTCCAAATTCCCTCCCCTGCCACTCGCTCAGAGCGGACATATGCATCAACGCCTCCTGAAAGAGCCAGTTCGGTTGGGGCTGTCCGAAAGTGCCTTCCGCCCCCCCCCGGATTGCTGCGGGCGCAGCGCCCCCCAAGCCATGCAGCATGGGAGTTATGAAGCGGTTGAGGGAAGAGCTCTGCGTGACCTGGGGAGGCCTCTCTACGGGGCGGGGCGCGGCGGAGGCGGCGGCTCTGTTGAGCTCAGCAAAGCTTTGGGAGAGGCTGGGGACGGGCTGAGCGGTGGGAGCAGGGGCTGGAAAGTAGCAAAAGGGAGTGTGGTTAGAACATCAAGACGGGCCTGGGATATAAATCAGGTGGGGGGTGCACATTCTGAACTCAATCATGACATCTCTACTAAGATTAAGGTTCGGTCAGGCCCCCACTACTGTGGAATGCTTGAGATGGACATGCATGTCCTGCACCTACCTTAAGGACTTTCAAGGCAGCTGAAGTGGATGATGGATTGAGCAAGGAAATGAGAGGCTGAGAATGCAGAGGGCAGACTTCAGAAAGATACTGGGGCTCCCAGAAAGATTTGTGTCAAGAAAAGGGCGCTTGATGACAAGCTCAGAATGTTCTGCTTGTGTGTAAAGTCATGACATGGCTCAACAAAACTGTGAACGAGCACTGAACAAACTCAATTGAGATACTCGTCCGGCTTGTTTGATGCGTGTCTGCATTTTGTAAGGTCTTGTTGAATGTTGAGTTTGGATGATTAGTGCACAGAATGAATGCAACTTGCGAACAATAGAGGTGTTCGACAGGTGCAAGCAAAGTGTGGCATGCAAAAGTTAATTAAGTGAACAAAAGCCAGATAACCAAAAACACAACAAGGAGACAAACAGATCCTAAATTGTAGTTGACTTTATGAACAGTGGACATGACATGTGCCTTGCGCAGCAAAAGGATCGGTGCCACAAATTGGCAGTTCCCTCTAAGAAGCTGATCCGAAGGCACATTCTTGTCAGAGGTCCCCGGTATGACAAAAAACAGCCTCCCATAATGATTGGTGCTCAATCAAAAAACACTTTTTGTAACAATTGACAAAACGAGGTGCTAACATGTGAGCAGATCCGTCCTCACGCAAGCGTGCTGGCTATGCCTATTCAGATATAAGAAGCTTTCAGCTTCTTTACAGATTGTCAGCTCTGAACAGGGCAACAGGTAAAGGGGAACAGCTCGCCTGCCTGCAATGTTAGCAAGAGATTGCTTTCTGCTACAAGTGTTAACACAGAGCAGTCACATCAAGCTCTTGCAAAGACCGCTTACCGGCAGGGCTCGTCCACCAGGAACCCCCCCCAGCGCTGTCTCCGAACAGCGACTGTCCTATTGGTTCCAAATCATCGCTTCCGGACGCCCCAAGATCAAACAGCCCCCCCCGGAACGGCGAGCCTGAGCGCCTCTGGTCAGTGGCCCCAAGAGCAGCAGGAACAGCATCCGCTGCTGAGGCATCATTGGCGATGCTCTGGGAGCGGAGGACGAAGTCGACCAGCTGGCGCTCCTGGCCCAGCCTCCGCAGAGTGCTGGCGAGCGTCCGCTGAGCTGACATCGTGCTGCAATGTGTGCTGCCTACCGTCTGGCTGGCGGGACCACACGTTTCAATCCGCAGGGGGGCCCTTGCAGGCCCTCAGCACAACCCCAAATGTGGCAAGGATCCCAGTGCTCTGTGCTCCGTCCACAGTGACAGAGCACTGCTGGCGACCTTCTCTCCCCTGGGCTGAGTCCCCTTTTGCTTGTGCTGATCTGGGTCTGTGAATTGAGGAGCTTTGCACACACGCGGAACCTTCCCCTTTCTTCCGCCGTGACGCAACCCCAGTCGAAAGTGACGCGCTAACGCTCTTACAATGTTTACCATTACCGCCGCAGGTCACGGACTGGCACAATTTTGCTCGAACTTATTAAGGAAGGAAGAGGTGAATTTAACTTGAAACTTCCGCTCTAGTTTTCCACCTCCAGAGTTCCAAACGGCAAATTCCAATTCAGCTGCCCTTGGTCTCAAGCATTCTCTGCGCGTCACTGTCCCTGGCACTTTCTTCTGAATTTCCTTGAAAATTTTATTATTCTGCGGTCCTCACGTGACAAGCAGGTAGGAGGCGGCAGGTTTTGTAAGTTTGTTTGTCTGCCAGCAAATTGCTCATCTTGGCCTGGTGGCGTGGTCGATTAGAGCACGCACCAATGAGCGACCTCCTGCCTCATACTTGAGTAACTGCTTGCAAGTAGGGCGACTTCTTTTCCCTCCTTACGAAGATGGAGCAGCAGAATCCTGGGAGGTTTACTGAAGCGGCATCATTTTCGGGGAGGGATATGGGGGCCGCTTCGGGTCTGAGGACGGCTGGGGTGGGTTGGAGCAAAGTGCGACTCTCCAGTGACCATGTTTCGTGGGACCGCCGCCAGCCAGGGGACGAAAGTCTGCTCAGTTTCGCCCTGGAGGTGGTTCCAGCTTGGACTAAGCTTGTGGACCAGAAATTAGGGTTGCGAAGACATCAGCAGCCATCGCCAGCAGATTGCGCTGGCAGTATAAGTAGAGTGCCGCGTAGGAGACGGGGACGAGGTGTTAGCTTAGTGGTAGACAGTAACTCCGCTTTTGACCTCGCTTCGCCACTGCTTCAGGAGGCTGAGATGAGCTGGGAAAAGGAAGAGGCAATTGAGGTAGCGGAACTGACACAGTCGTCAAAGTTAGATTCTGAGAATAGGGAAGCAAGCTCTACTGCGATTGTAGACGAGGATGTAACTGATAGAGAAGGTCTGGGGGCCCAAATTTTGAAACGAGGAGCGCGTTGGCGGGATGTACTGTCAAGGAACAGTGTCCAGCTGCTCAGGCAGCTTCCAAGGTTGAGTCCTGAGGCGGCCAACACGTTTAAGCACTTGTTCTCGGGGGCGGTAGCAGCAGCGGTTGCTAGGTGAGTCAGCAACTAGGGAATGCCTTTGAATCTCTCTGACGTTACAGCTTGTCCCGATCAAGCTGCCAGTTTCGGTGTCACCTAATATAGACTATTTCCACTCACAAACAGACTGACTAACTTACACTAATGTTTTCACTAAAAGTAGCAGGTTGCTCGGAACTAGCTGTAAGAGCAGCTTTTTATCATAGGGCGTACTCTGAACTTACTTTTTGAAAAATCGTTCCTGCATTTATTTGTTTGCCTTGCCCTTTCCACTGATGACTTAGTGATTTATGCACTAGTAGTCAAGCACAAGCAAAGGTGGCAGCTGGGACTTTGTTGGCTTCTGCGAGTCTGCAATGAAGCAAGGAGAGTTGTGGCACAAGAGAAGGCAAAGCTCCGAGCCTGGGTGCAAGGTGCATGCATCTGTACAGCTCCTTAACAGAATTGAGATTGGTTGCAAGTCCTGTCTTTTATATGGTGGTGATCGCTTCAGATTCCCGACTTTCTTTCAACAGTTGCTGTTGGAGTCACGAACCAGCACAAGTGCTGTTTTCATATGCAATGGGGTCCATGTGACGATTTGAAATGCTGAGTGCTACTTTTGAATCTTCTTTTTCAGCTCCTCGGTTAACTCCCACGGTGGCGAATGGTGAAAGTTGTGTTACATAAGCAGGCAGGCAACGCACTGGGGGAAAGAATAGCATTTTTCATGCTTTGCTTTTGCAGAGCGTAATGTCGCGCACACCGACACCGTTTAAGACAGTATTCTCCCTCTTCTCCCTGACCTTTTCGAGCCAGCTCTTGGACCAAAACCACGATCCAGATGGACACCCTGGACTGACACCATTTTCCGTTTCACCGCAGGACCTCAGTTGCCCCCCTCGAGCGCGTCAAGGTCGAGTACATCATCCACGACGTGCAGACGAGCGTGCCCGAGACCGTCTCCCGCATTCTCCAACACGAGGGCGCGGGGGGCTTCTGGAAGGGGAACGCTGTCAACATCCTCAGAACGGCCCCATTCAAGGCCGCCAATTTCTACGCGTTTGATTTGTATCGGAAGGCGTTTCTGAAAAGAAGGGGCCAGCGGGACCTGACGAACTGGGAGAGGATCATGGCGGGAGCGGCCGCGGGGGCGACCGCCACTGTCGTGTGCTTCCCGCTCGACACCGTAAGTAACCCCTGTGATCACCTTCTGTTCTTGTTTGAATCCCGTTCTGTAGCTCGATATTTCGTTGGTAGACGGGTACAACGACTTTCAGTCCCTTTGAATGATTGGACAGCTGGTAAAGCGGCTGTTGGCTGCTGCCATCAAGACCATGTTTTAAACAACCTTGTTCGTTGAGAATAGCTTGAGAAGATTGTTGAAAGGCTTCTCTGTTTCGTCAAAGTGCACGCGTTCACTCGAGGCCATACACGGGTTGTTCGATACCTGCAGTCACGTACAAAGATCCGTACCAGGAGACCCTTTGAAAGAGCTGTAGAAAGAGGCCTTCCGTTTCTATTGTGTTTCTCGTTCAGACTTTGGTGAATTACTTCTTTTTCAAGTGTGGAAGTAATGTACCTTCCTTTCAGTGTTCAATCGAGATCGATTGGAGATTCCAAACGAACCTGTATGTCGGATTGAGTCTGAACGGGAAACACTGCGAGACAGATGTGTTATCTTCCTGCAACTTGCGGTTGAGGGCGTCTGTGTAATAATCAGCATAGATTATAGTCTTCGCTGTTGCGATTCCTGAGCTGGTGAAATTTGCAACCGTGCCATTCAAAGAGCCGGCAGTCTCTGTAACGGGCCTGCATGACGTTCCCAGATTCTGGCATACGGCGTAATTTTCTTAACAGAAGCTTTCTTGCCCTGCAGGTACGTACCCGCTTGATTGCGCGCCCCGACCAATTTCGGGGCGTGATTGACTGCTTCTACCAAGTTATCACGAAAGAGGGGCCGATCTCGCTTTACCGGGGGCTACTCCCGGGCATAGTATCGATGGCGCCTGCGGGGGCCGTCTTTTACGGGGTCTACGATCTGCTGAAAGCACAGCACCTGAGGTAGGCCCAATAGCGACCCGTTTTCCGACTCCTCTTTACTTTCTTCGCGCCAGTCCGCTGTCAATGCCTCCGCAGGTTGAGCTTTTCTGATTTTGTGAAAAGTCGATGACTCCCGACGTTTGGCGGTTTTCTTCTCTTCCGACGCGTAATTTTTGAACAGACTGAAAGAGAAAGGCCGCTTGAGAAGCAGGTTCAGAACGCACTTTTGATTAGGTTGAGGTAAGATGCGGTTTTCTTTTGCGCTTCTTGTATGATATCGGCGGCTTATGCGATGCTTCACTTTGGAGATTGGTGACAGTTGATCAGTCTTGGATCTGGTTTTTGATCAGTCTGCTTTTGATCAGCCTTTAAGCTGAATTTTCCTTTTCCGTCCCTTCTCTTTAGCTGAGGGGTAGAATAGCAACGCCAGCGCAGACATCCTCATTGGAACACCCTGCCATCTGCCGTTGCGTAAGAGCAGGCCGCCCCCTCTGGAACACGCTTGCTTTGGTTTGTCGGTGGTCTTTAAGCCAGCTCCTTGTCAGTTCCGCCAGAAGAGGTGTCAATACCTCTGAACCCTCGAGTTTGCTAGTTCATTCCTTCGTGCTAATAGTACCTTTCCTGACTGCACAACGTCCAGTGAGAACCCTATCCTTTCCTTATAAGCTTCCGCGGGTTGTTGGGCAACCCCATGTGCGACGTCCTCCTTAACAGACGAGTCTCGAGCAAAGGCATGTAAGCTTTCTGTTATTGCCGATGGCATTGAAATCACTGCTGATGCCAGCGAACCTCAATGCAGGTCGGTGAAAAGCCGCGACAATTTTGACACTGCTAGTGGGGCGAGCGCCCCAGAACCGAGCAAACAAACACCTTCGACTTTTGGCACGCATCACACCGAGTTGGGGACCTTCCGAACGCTGCTCTACGGGGGCATATCCGGTATCTGCGCGGAAGCGACAACGTATCCGTTGGAAGTGTTGCGGCGGCAACTTCAGTTACAAGGCGCAAGAGGGATAAAGCTAGGCCTGCGAGAAACAGTAGCGCAGATTCTGCGCCAAGGCGGGCCGGGTGCGTTTTACGCAGGCCTCCTACCAAGTTCGATGCAGGTCATCCCGAGTGCCGCTCTAAGCTACTATGTGTACGAGGTTTGTAAAAACGTCATGATGGTGACGTGAGACACGGCTGAGCTCGGCTTACCAACGGATTGGTCCCTTTTACCGCTTGGCCTTCTGTTCTTGTACTCAATGATCACGTCTGATTGCGGCCTGAATCAAAAGGCCCGTCTAGCATATCTATGCCCCTCGGTTCAGCTGGCTACATGCCAACCCACACGTACCAATATGTTGCTTCAAGTATAGGGCCCAGGACGTACACACTGCATGGTTATAGACTCAGTGGATGACCGTCATCATGGTGCCTTGGGCGGGCCTGCATGGGGATGTGGCAACCCTGCGCGCGTCCGTTCACGAGGCGTCCGATCCACATCTTAATCTGGAAGTAAAGCAGCACGCATGTGCCTTTTGGTATCACATGTACGGTCACTGCATGTCCATGCGTTGTACGTAAATCTCAAGCGCTCCACCAATGAGCCAGGCGCCGGCGCACCGGCAGGGGCCCTCGAATGATGTAGTACGTACGGCCGGTCGATCATGCACATGAGAATTGCCGGGTTGCTTGACTATGACGTACGTGGAAATATAGCTTGCCCTTGCCCTTCAGCTAGCAATGACTCATATGTGACCATGCTCAGTGCTCATGCAAATCCTGTCCAATCGACCAACTTTGAACCGGGAAATGGCAGTCGGCTGAAAATTGCCATGCAGGGTTTGGATCATTGCCCATACAACCTTTCAATTAGAAACGTTCGAAAACGCGAGTCGCTCTCACAGTACTAAAATTGCTAAAAAAGATAGCTTTTGAAGCACAGCGACACGTCTAGTAAAGTCTGGCCGTGTGGCAAGGATTAACAGGCTGATAAAAAATGGTATTTCCAGTAGTTGTATGCAGTTAAACCGTCGCGAGGTACGGTCTTGGAAAATGGCGACCCCTACCATGGTGTACACTAGTTGGACTTCGTATCCAAAATTGTTAGCTTGACATCCTAATTTTCTCAATGTCACTACACCGTCAGATGCCCCAGTCTCAAACTCACTAGCAAAACCTTGAGACGTGGTATACAATCTCAACTCCTCAAAGGGTGCGATCTCCCGTGCCTTTTGGAGGCAACAAAACCTAAGTTGTGTAATCCCAAAACTCAGAACTAACTTCTAATGGTGTCCGAGGTTCACATACGCGGCACCCCAAGAGCTTGCTAAGGCTAACCTCAGTTGAAACCCACACACGCCTCATTATTTCCTAAGTGAAACATACTCTGCGGTTAGCTGGCAGTGAAACGGCTACTATGCTTGCGACGAACCTAATGCATTTTGTGAAGGTGTGAGCTGGAACTCAATCTAAAGTAAGCGTTGCACATGATCAAGGGCCGTTGGCTAAAGTACACTCTCGAGTATATTGAAACCGAGGGTTCACTCAAGCAGATCCAATATTAGACGCCGTACCCGGGGGGAACGTAACCATTATTCTTGCAGTGGGGGAAAGTGTTGTCCGGGGGCAAGAAGCCGTCGCAACCCTGCTGATCGCAGCACACGTAGCGCCCCTGGGGGTCGCTGTTGAACCAACAGCGCACGGGGAAGGAGCCGGCGGCGCCCGCCCCGCAAACACCTGTAAACGCGGGTTTGATTTGATTTCAACTGCGGGGTTGATGTCGAGCTGTCAGCATTCGAGTTTGAAGCATTCGACTTCAAACTGCGAAAGTTACAAGGTCGTTTCGGGTGTCCAGCGTGGGACAAGTTGGCTGATATTTTCCGGGTTTCAACATCCGACTCTCGCCTTAGCTTCAGAAATGTTTGTGACACTCCATCATTCCAGTAATACTCCGCGTATGCTGACATCAGCAGCTACGTTGGAAATACTTGACCAGCGACGGATCCCGTCTGAAAGGATGGAAGGAGTCTGCGTCCTACCAATCAGTCTCGAGAAACCCCTCGGCTATAATGCTTCACATCGTCGGTCCAGCAATTTCTTGACTCCAAAGTCGACCGTTTATCCCCCGGGGTAATTGCGAAAGAAGGCCTCGCGAGGGTAATTGGCGAAAATCCATGTCCCCAATCCATTTTGCGATGGGAAGTCGTCTTCTGCGCTTTGGAACGGCCAGAACGAGACGAACCGTATGTAGCGCCCCCCTGACAAGATGGGTTCCATTTTTCAGTGGGCCGCTGAAACTCGGAACAACGATATTGTATACAGAGGCGTGATCTCAGCCGCCCAATCGGAACCCACATCGAAAAACCCACGTCGGGGACCTCAGAAAGACCAAGACTGGGTTGTTACCTTGGTCTCCGCTGGGGGGACTGGGAGACGCCGGGGGGGTCGGGTTTGCCCCAACTCCATAACCTGGCGGAACGTAACCGTTGTTCTTGCAGTGGGGGGTCAGATTGCCCGCATTAAACCCGTCGCAGCCCTGGTTGTCGCAGCACACGTAGCGCCCCTGAGGGTCGTTGTTGAAATAACAGCGCGTGGGGAAAGAGCCTGCCGCGCCGCTCCCGCAAACCCCTTAAACACGCACAGAAACAACGGTTAAGAAGCGTGGTTAAGCCTGGGTTAGTCGCCTTCTAAAGAGCGGACATGTTTACAACCTGGCGTAGTGTCGGTTGACAAAGCTTGGTCAAATAAGGAAGCAACAAATGCAAAAAGAGTCGGGTTCGATCAGGTGCACATTGGTACAAGATTTCATACAACCCAACCTGAGCTGCATTGCAAGGTTGAATGATCAAACCAGCAACATGATAGAGCGCTTCGCGCTATCAGAAGTTTGGAATTGAACGATTCTACCTTGTAATGAAGACTGGCGTGCAGCCGTGGTTGGCTCTAGGAAATTGCAGATTGCATCGACGCGATTTACGAGGACCGCTTAAAAGTCAAGAGGTGAAGTTTCAATCAGATTCATGACAAGCCTATGAAGCGGCGAGCGCTCAAGTCTAGTCCACCAGAGACCAATCTGCAAATGTCTTCTTCGAGAAAACGAAAGAGAAACGAGGTGCCCGTTCCGCATTCCTCGTCAAGCTGGACCTTCTTTTCTCAAGACCACCGTTTCGAAATCCAGATCAATGTCGCCCCATAAGAGCATGATGCTCCGACAACCTGCCATCCTCTTCTCACGGGTTGATTCAACTCAAAAAAAGATTCCTAAGTTTTGACTATGCGGGGTCGAATGCCTACCTTGGTTACCGGTGGGAGGAGTCGGAGGCGTTGAGGGGGCGGGGCCGGAGGCACCGTTGTTGGGCGGCAAGTAGCCGTTGTTCTTGCAGTGGGGCGTCAGGTTGTCCCCGTTGAATCCGTCGCAGCCTTGATCGTCGCAGCACACGTAGCGCCCTTGAGGGTCACTGTTGAAATAGCAGCGCGTGGGGAAAGACCCCGCTGCGCCGCTCCCGCAAACCCCTACAACACGGGGAGAAAGCACGATTAACAAAGGCTGGTCGTTTTCGCTTTATTGGACTTTCTGCCGGGTGGATGGGCCGGTTCTTTGCTGGGTTCCGACCTAACCTAATCTAGAACCCTACAGACCCCAGAGAGAGACCTGAGAGGGTCGTTATTGAACCAGCAGCGCGTCGAATAAGGGCCCGCTGCGCCGCTCCTGCAGAAGTCTGCGGAAAATCCTTTCCTTGCCATTCCGCCGGCAGGCTCCGCCGCTGCGGCAGTCCCCTACCCGTGTTCCGTGTCAGGATAGTTTAATACAAGACGAAAAAAACCCTTGAAAGAGTTCGTCGCCTTCGTCAAACCTCAGAATGAATGTAAGGATACCCGGAAAGATAGCCCTGGTTAGACAAGCCTACACTCTGTCATTTGAGACTAGTGGGCATGAGTTGGATTGTGACAAAGTTTTTATGGAAAGCTAGTCTGATGTGGCGAAAAACCGGACCAAGCAGATGACCCAAAAGTAAGCGACTGAAATAGGCGTGGGATGCGGAACCCAAAAGTGTGTGACACAAAGCTCTTGAAGCCGAAACGCTTCAACTGCTGAAAAACGAGAACTAGAGCAACGGGGTCGGAAAGTTCAATGCACCAAGATTTTGATAGAGTCCCCGCATAAACGACGGACCAGCACTACGTGAACCAACGAAAGGCATAGCGCTCGGAAAGAGATTTCCACAGGTGAAATCGTGCAAGGCACCGACCTCGAGGGAGTGCCCAAAGAAACGGAAAAAGGAGAAACGGAAACGGAACCGGAAAAAGGAAAACACACCCTGGTCTCCGGAGGGGGGTGGCGGCTGGCTCGACGGCTGGCCCGACGCTTGCGGCGGGTAACTGTTGTTCTGGGGGATGGACGTCTGTCCGTTGCAGAGCGGGGTGTTACCGTCGGGTCCATAAGGCCCGCAGTAGTTCTCGCAGCACAGGTAGTGCGCTCCGTCCTTGTACAAGCACCCGGCTTGCGGCGAGCACGACTCTAGAGCAAGAACAGGGTTTGGCGTTAACGAAGTCCCAGGTTGAGTTTGAGGTGGTGGCGCGAGGGCGCTTGTCAAAAGTGATAGTCCTTGTATACGCATCCGGTTTGCGGCAGACAACACGCGGACACAGAAAGGGTTTGGCGTTAACTAGGCCTGGTTAAGGTGATAGTACGAGCGCGCACGTCGAAAGTGGAGGTCGTTGTATGCGCATGATGCGGTTGCGGCGAGCGCAATTCTGGGGCGTGTGGTGCAAAAAGGGTTTGGCGTTAACCAGGCCCGGTTAAGGTGGTGATCCGGGCGCCCACGTTAAGAAGGATGAGAAGTATAAAGAAGCATTCCTTGATGCATTCGGTCAACAGGAGCTTTCTGCAAGAACGTGATTGCAGGTTTTCTGTGTAAGAAAGCGAGGCCATCGTTTTCTGATAAAACGAAGCTCATCTCTTTGACAGGAGTTGACTGCTTTAGTGGTTATCCTGGCCAGACAGCAAGTCAACGGTGAAACGACATTTTGTACAACGGTCCCTTCCGGCTTCAGAGCACACTTTCAAGAAGGAAGTAAGACATCTACCACTTCGACGACAGTCCCCTCCGTGGGCTGCTCGAGATTGTTCGCAAGATAGAAGTTCACACGATTTTGCCGCAGGGCGCTTTCAATCTTTGTCCGTGAGCCCACAAACGAAGGTCGATCAGGGAGTAGCTGCAGAAGCAAGAGAACAGTTATCTGCGACAACTAGAGATGGAACCCAGTTGGACCTACTTCATTTTGCAGATCAGCGTAGCGAAGTGCTGTTGAGGAGACGGAGTCCACTGCCACGGGTAGTGTCAGATGGAAGAAAAGCGGGCCTGCTGTGAGACTGACTGCAATCTTGCCAAACCACTCGCTAACGGAGTTACACCCGAACGATATCGGTGCGGCCAAAAACAGCCGCTTCTGCGGCACGTTGGAACCAGACACTGATTCAGGGAGAAGGAATCTTTTGAAAAGGTAGTGTGACGTTCGCACAGATAAAAAAAGCGTGTTTGCGTGCTCACCGAAGAAGTCGGATCCGGCAAGTGGGCCAGTCGTGTTTCCAACGGTGGATTGCACGAAGGGAGTAGTCTTGGGAGGAGAAACCCTGCTCAACAATGTAACACCCTCAGGATGAAGATACAACCAGGCTGAGATAGGTTAATGCTCAAGGACGGGGTTGATCTGGGAGTTAGGGTGGGTATGGTGAGGAGCGCGTGAGGTTGTATCGAGGGTTTGTGTGTCCTTCCCGTTCCCGTTGTGAATCTCAACCTGGCTCAATTTCCACTCATCTCGATCTTGCCAATCACGTCAAAGTACTCAAATCTGGACCTTGTGCCAGGTTCGGATTCTGATCCTTCAGCTCAAACTGAAGAGACGAAGTTTGGCGAAGGCTCTCTTAAAACGAAAGAACGTCGATGTGATAACGCCTGGGCGGCTCAGCAGACTTTGGATGCTGTGCAAGCTTTCTTCAGCTTATGCTGTTTAATTTGAAAAACATGACTTTATCTGACGCGCAATCTGGCATAAATCAGGTCGACAACCTAGTCGGCACCCTTCGAAGAGCGGGTTCGTACCGGAGACTTTCGAAGAACGAGCTAACCAGTTCTGCTTTCTGGGCGGCTGCGATACACAACAGGCGCGTCCACTTAAAGACTCGAGAAGCATGTGCTATGAGTCCCCAAAATCTGACCGCTCTTTCGCCCACAAACACTAGAGGAGGAACGTCAACCTGCGGTCTTTTCAGCAAAGAGAATTCATCGCCTCTTTCCCTTCGCCTCTCAGCCAAAAGCTGTCAATCATAACGCATGTTGCGGGGTGCTGTCCCCCTCGCCTCTTCTCGGAAACGGATTTGATAGCAATGGCTGATCAACCATTGTTAGAGTCACCCCCAGCTCACTGCCCCCTCTACCACGTCTACAGGAAGAGGCGCGTGGAAAGTTCCGACCTCACAAGCAGACTCGAGCGGCATACTTGAAACGAAAAATGCCAGCTGTTCGCGTTACACTCACGGGATGTTGCAGAACGTCCCTGTAGAGAACGGGCCGCAGTCGCAGGTGGCGGCGACGGGTGTTTCCTGTTGTCCGAGGATGGGGCTGCTGCCGTAAGTCACATACTTGCACATCCCGCCGTTCTGGCACGGGTTGGGGTCGCATGGGTCATCGCCTGCAAGGGTGCAGTTCGCATTCGTGGAATTGGCTTAAAAGGTTTCATGTAAGTTAAGTTGTAATGCATACGAGGTCTCTTGACTTGAATTATCCAGGCCTCGAAGGCCTCGAAGTCTACGTCAGCACTGGGGGTCCAGGATCAGGGGTGAAGAACTGTTCCATCTAGACATGTGTATTATGACTTACTCGTTTAGAATGGGTGTCTGAGCGGTTGGAAAAGATGTCTGTCAGAAGATGTATGTCAAAAGGTTAAAAGGACGGATTAAGCTGGGAAGTCAGAAACCCCGTGTCTTCAAGCCAACATGATTGACAGCAAGTCAGGCCAAAGCACGAGCAAACGGGGAGTCTTGAGCATGGGAGCATCAGAACAAGGGCAAACTTGGTGCTGCAGCCCGAAAGGGATTCTGGCTCTTGAAGACCGTTTGTAAGCTTCTTTCAAGTACGAGGTTTCTGCCCTTCAGTCTCAGCTCTTGAGCCTCCTCTTGCTGCCAGCTCTCTCAACTTGAGCGACAAATTCTCTCCCAGAAGCTTAACATCCAGGCATTTTAAGCATACCTGGGGGGCAGCTGTAGTGAAAACTTGGAGAGGCAACTTGGGAATTCCAGTTCCCCTAAGGAAGCCGGATCGAACATAACATACGAAGTATTAGCTACAGAATTGAAGGCCTAGGACCTCTTGAAAAGCAAGGATACTAGGTGGCCTCCTTGCTTTCGATCAGGATATAAGGATCGCAGTGCCTAGGATGGGAATCCATAGAAGATTTTTACGAGCCACGTACCTGGAATGTAGCAATACGTCTGCGAATAGGTTGGGGTTTCGTTGGTCAGCGCCACAGATGGGGCGTTGCATTGGGTGCAATTGGCCACAGTGATAGGGCCCATAGTATAAGCTCCTGCAGTGGTGCATGTGTTTCCTGCAACAGTAAAACACAAACAGAAGAAGTTATAAAGAGTTGTAAGCAGTCGCAACATTATGCAAAAGTCGCAAACGTTGCTGCTTTCAAGTGGATGCAACATGACGTACAGCTCTATTCTGCATGGGGGCGTATTCATGGCTGCTTAAAGTGGGCATCAGAGGAAGAACTGTAATTACAATCATCTGAAGAACAATCTGCAGAGGAGCATCACCCTCGCGGCGTCTTGGAGCAGCTAGGGTGATTGTTTACAAGTAGGATAAACAATCCAGATGGCAGTACACATATCACCCCAGACTTTTCAGCGAAGATAACATGGAGCACGCAAACCACTTGCTTCTCCGTCAGACGCCACGCAACCAGCACCAGCGTCCAACAGAGTCTTTCTTACTCAAAACAATATGGTTTAGAAGTCGCTTGAAAGCCTTTAGCTGGCACATTGTGCTGGTTCATTGAAGGTAGTTCAACATGGTCATAGGTGGCCACTTTGATGGGACTTCCTGCAACCTAAGAAGCTCCAAAGGCTTCTGAGGGCACCGTCAGTCTGTAAGTGATACCTCCCCACAGTGGACTTTTTGTGAAGTCATGAGCATCATTCAGAGCTGGTGTTTTACAAGGGCCCAAGGGGCTCTCAGCTTCGCCTGGACAATCCAAAGCCCCCACCTTCTTCTGACCCTGAAACTCATATGAGTCCCTCCCCCCCACCAACCAATGGGAGGCCGCCAATCAGCTACAGAATGACCTACTCCAAGTGCCAAAGCCTGGTAGCTGGTACCAACAATGAATGATGCCTTGCCCTTCTGTACACAAACTGCCCAATCCGCCAGACTCAGTTCAGATCGCCATAGGTGCATGCTTGAGCCACGACCAGGAGGACCAGCGGAACGAGTAACTGACGGAGCCTGCCCAACTTGGTTCTGGATTCCAATCCAGGATCCCAAGGAGCAGACGTCCTACCCTCACTCGGGCTTGCATGTCTACAAAAACCACGTTGTTCAATCAAATCGAAATGGGGCACCATAAGGTCGCTCACCAGACCCACAAGGGTTGCCAATGCAGGGGTCTGCAAAGCAGGAGAATCCCCCGCCTCTGCGGTTTGGTACGACGTTGTACCCAGACGGACAGGAGAGCCCGGGGTAGGGACCCCAGAGAGGAAATGCATCCGTCCTTGCCGCCAGGAAAAGCGACAGGAGCAGGAGCTGGGACAACATTCTGAGCCCAGCCATTGGGGCGCCAAAGGAGGTTTCTTCTAGGGAGCTGTAGGGAGTGAGAGAATGAGGGATTAATGAAGGGATGCTTCTTTGATCAATCCTTGTATCCTGTGTTTTAGTATTACTTGCTGCATTCCTGCATTTCATTCATGAGGCGGCGGGTTTGCAAATGCTGAGCTAGCTGTGCTAGCAGCTGCAAGGACTGCTGCAAGCACATGATGATGCATGATGGCCCATGGGGCGGGCCGGGGTACTGAGAACATCATGCACATGTACCTAATGTGTACAGTTGAGTCTTTTAACCTACATACCTACATATTATTATTACGTACTGGTACCCGCTTTACCTAGGCCGCTCCTCGATCGCTGAACAGTGCACACATGGTGGTGACCGCACATATGACACATATCATGTACTTGTTATGTACAAGTTTACCGTTCCAAAGTTACGGCAAGCTGACAGGTCTGACCGTCTGGTTAGAAGTCCTAGTCCGGCGTCCTCCGTAGTCTGCGTCTACGACGGGGATTCCTGACGGTTCTTATAGCTAGGCAACCAAGAGCTTTTATAGTATTATGTACGTGCTGTCCTCCACGTTGATGTCAACACTTTGGGTGGTACATGTACTTCTCTCGCGACCTCTTTGTCAGTGTTCTCACGCTTCCACGCTGTCACGCTGTTCCCTGCATGGCAGCACCTGCCTTGCGTCGATCTCATATGAGCTTTTGAAGGTTTTAGGGTGCTCAGAACAGCCCCATTGAAGGCTGACCGCGACAGTGGACAGGGGGGGAGGGGTCTCAAAGTGCCCGTCGGCGATCCGGTTACAGCTGTAAAACTGTTTAGACACCACGCCATGGCCTCTAGCTCATGTGGCCTCTCGTTCTCATGGGCACCGGGCATGGGCACTTTGGGATCACCACAGACTGAGTACACTTTTTCCCTTTATCATATGGATGCTTTTCATATCATATACCGGTATGCATGCTTTGACTCTGCTTGCAAATTGTTCGAGTAACAGAGTAACATGGCATGATGCTTGCAGAGTGATCCTCCTGGTCAGCTGTTTGGGGGGGGATTGGGCGCAGAATCCTGCAGGGACATAGATACCTTGTGGCAGAGTAGGATACAAGCTCCTGAGAGGGCCCTTCGACTTTGTTCCCAGTTACATTGATAACTTCAGCTGACATTGTGCAGCATGCTTGATGCCAGTGGCGTTTATATCAGCTCATTGCACTGGCCATCGTAAATCTTGGCAGTTTTGTCTTCATGGATACATTATTTACTGCATGCCTGTGTTTCTGACCAAACGTGTTGACTGCGACATTTACACAGATTCAGCATCAACATAATGCTGGGCATGTTTTTCGTTTATTTTGATATCATCAACCTGAAAGGCTCCCGGTGCAGCATGGATAGCGCCTGGCCGGGGTTAAAATAGTCAAGCCGGTTATATGCGGTCAGCCACAATGATGGCTCGAATTACCCTGATTTTGCAATCACCACGCATATAACAGTTCTGCCTTAGCCTTTGGGTTATGTCACTCAGTCAGTCAGGAGTCCTATGAGTCCACTGCCCCATGACCTGTCATAAAAGCGATAGCCGCAACTGCTTTTGAAGCTGTAAGCGCGCTGCACAGCAACACGACGGTCTGGTAAAATCTGGCCGTGTTGGCATTGAAGACCAACTTCACTGGGAAATTAGCGAAGATCCTGTCATAGTGTACACTAGTTTGACTTTGTGTCCAAAATTGCTAGCTTGACATCCTAAATTAGTGTCACTACACAGACCCACAGCCTCAAAACTCACTAGCAAAACCTTGAGACGTGGTAGGCAATCTCAACTCCTCAAAAAGGTGCCCTCCCGTGCCTTTTGAAGGCAGTAAAACCTTGAAGTTGTGTAAACCCAAAATTCAGAAGTAAGTTCTGACGGTTTCCGAGTTCGCAAATGCTGGACCTCAAGAGCTTGCTAAGGCTGAACTCAGATCGAACCCACACCCGCTCCGAAACCTCTAAGCGGAACCTACACGGCGGTTAGCTTGCAGTGATACTACGCTCGCGACGAGCCTAATGCTTTTCGTGAAGGTGTGAACTGGCACTCGGCTACTCGGTCTAAGGCAATCGTTGCAAATGACTAACAGGGCCGTTGGCTAAAGTACACTCTCGAGTATACTAACACCGAGGGTTAATATACTCATTCAGATCCAATATTAGACGCCGTACCCGGGGGGAACGTAACCATTATTCTTGCAGTGGGGGAAAATGTTGTCCGGGGGCAAGAAGCCGTCGCAACCCTGCTGGTCGCAGCACACGTAGCGCCCCTGGGGGTCGCTGTTGAACCAGCAGCGCACGGGGAAGGAGCCGGCGGCACCAGCCCCGCAAACACCTGTGAAAACCGTCAGAGTAAGAGGGGGGTTTCCGTTCAGCAATAGCACTGCTGGGCAAATGCTTATCCCTTTGTCTGTCCCGTCTGCGTCTTGCCCGATCTATGTGGGAAGAATGTCAGCAAAAGTCTCAGGGAAAATTGTCACGAGAGCGATTGAGGCCACCAAAGGAGACGATAGGGCTTTTACAAAGATACCTTGACCGTTTGTGAAACTTCAATAAGCAACCAAGCAGTCCCTGCTGCGCCTCTCTTGTACTGAATTCCAAAGTTGATCAGGCTGTCCAGCCCTCGATCTAGAGCTGCGAGACTTTGCAGAGTCGTTCCGGCTCCCTCCAGCGCGGGTCGAATCTGCTGAGGGATTGCGGGTTCGACATCCAACTCTCTCCAAAAGCATTTAAGACGCTCTTCACTACTCGCCGAGTTTGCGGTGATTTGACATCAGTAGCAGTTCCGAGGGTTGTTGAGCCAGCCACTGATCCTGTCGGCTCCTTGAAAAAGTCGTCTTTCGCGTCTTCGACTTTTCAGGACGAGACAGACCGCAAGGAGCGCACCCCTGACAAGACGGGTTCCACTTTTCAGGGGGGCCGTACTTAAGCTCAGAACGACAATACCGAAAACGACAACATATCCTTAGTCGACAACCGAACCCACATGGATGCACATGTTGGGTTCTTCTCAACATTTTTTTCCTCCTTTTTCCAGCATTCGACAACAGAACAAAGTACTACCTTGGTCTCCGCTTGAGGGGGTGGGAGGCGCCGGGGGGGTCGGGTTTGCCCCAACTCCATAACCCGGGGGAACGTAACCGTTGTTCTTGCAGTGGGGGGTCAGGTTGTCCCCATTAAACCCGTCGCAACCCTGGTTGTCGCAGCACACGTAGCGCCCTTGAGGGTCGTTGTTGAAATAGCAGCGCGTGGGGAAAGAGCCTGCCGCGCCGCTTCCGCAAACCCCTACAACATGGAGAGAAACTATGGTTAAGAACGGTTGGTCATCTCTTGTTAGGCGCCTTTTGCAAAGCGGACCTGTCTACAGTCCGGCCTAGTGTTGGTTGACAGCGCATAGTCAAGAAAGGAAGGAAGGAATCAAAAGAGTTGGGTTTGATCAGATGCAGATTGGTGCAGAACTTCAAGACGCAGTAACGTCGTCAAAGCGCTCAAAAATCTCTACCAGAAGTCTAAAAAATTCAACAAATCGACCTTAAACTTAAGACTGACGTGCAGCCGGTGGTTGAAGCTGCAAACTTGCAGATGGCATCGACGCGGACAGCTTTGGAGTTAACAAGAGACGAATCAACCATAACCATGTTATTACTACAAAGCAACGAGCGTTCAAGTCCATACGGCCAAAATCCGTCTGCAAAATCTCTGAGAGGAAACGGAAGATAAACGAGGTGCCCGTTACGCGTTCCTATGCAAGCTGGGCCTTTTTTCTTCGGAATCCAAATCAACGTCGCCCCTTAAGAGCATGATTAATCAACGAGATTGCAAAGGACTGCCATCCCGTTCTCACCGGGAGAATCGATCTTTCAGAAGCTTTCTAAGTTCGACTGTACAGGTCGCCTGCCTACCTTGGTCCCCGGTGGGAGCAGTCGGAGGCGTTGGGGGGGCGGGGCCGGAGACACCGTTGTTGGGCGGCACGTAGCCGCTGTTCTTGCAGTGGGGCGTCAGGTTGTCCGCGTTAAAGCCGTCGCAGCCCTGGTTGTCGCAGCACACATAGCGGCCCTGAGGGTCGTTGTTGAAATAGCAGCGCGTGGGGAATGAACCCGCTGCGCCGCTCCCGCAGACCCCTTCAACACGGAAAGAAACCACGGTTAAGAAAGGCTGGTCGTTTTCGGGTTATTGGACTTTCTGCCGGGTGGATGGGCCGGTTACTTGCTGGTTCCAAACTGACCTGATGTAAAGCCTAAAACCCTTGAATAGACTTAAGAGGGTCGTCATTGAATCAGCAGCGAGTCGAACAAAGGCCCGCTGCGCCGCTTCCGCAGAAGCCTGGGGGAAAACGTTCCATTGCCATTCCGCTAGAAGGTTCCGACCGCTGCGGCACTCACCAAATTTTCCAAAGTTTGGAGTTACTCGTGTTCTCTCCCAATCAGCTTAACCTCGGTAGAGCGTCAACGAAACCCTCAGAAAGGTTCGTCGCCTTTGTCGAACCTCAGAAGAGATAACGAGGAACAGATTCTCGCCTTGTTCGGACAAGCCCATGTCCTCTGTCGTTAAAGAGAGGTGGTCTTGAGGAGGATGGTGACACAAGATTCTCAAAAAGTCAAATCGATGTGACGAAAAGTCGAGGCAACCAAGTTGCCTAGAACAAATAGATGCCTGAAAAAGGTCTGAGCTGGCGTTTGGAAGCGGAGAGTCCGTGCTATTGGATGGGTCTTGAGACAACGCCTCAACGTAAAAGTGCGGAATGCTGACAACGGAAGATGCAGCTCATACGAAACGTCGAATACATCGAGGATTCTGACAAAGTCTCCGCAGAAAAGACGGACCAGCATGGCATAGCGCTCGAGAATGAGTGGCTGTGAGCTAGACGCAGCGCTCAAAATGAGTGTCGATAAGGGGATACTTGAATGGCATAATCCAAGAAAAAAAGCGTCGAAAGCGAAGAGAAGAAGAGAGGAAGAAAACGCACCCTGGTCTCCGGTGGAAGGTGGCGGCTGGCTCGGCGGCTGGTCCGAAAACTGCGGTGGGTAACTGTTGTCTTCGGGAATGGACGTCTGTCCGTTGCAGAGCGGAGTGTTGCCGTCTGGTCCGTAGGGCCCGCAGTAATTCTCGCAGCACAGGTAGTGCGCTCCGTCCTTGTATATGCACCCGGCTTGCGGCCGGCATAGTTCTGGGAAACAACGGGGGTTTGGCGTTAACCCGGCCCGGTTCAGTGGTCATCCTAGCGCGCTTTTTGAAAGTGAGGGGCACAAAAGGCGCGTTCCAGGGTACTGCGGTTGGTCAACAGGAGCATATCTCGGTAGAGAAACCGGAGATGCCAATTTTTGGTATGAAAAAGCGAGACCATCGATTTCTGATAAAACAAAATCTGAAGTCCTAGAAAGGAGTTAAATGCTTGAATAAGCCATTCCCGGGTGGAATTTCTGCAATGACCGATTGCCTTCGTAATAGTATAGAAGAAGCATTAAGCGACAGTTTCTTTACTGCGTCGTCAGCGCGCGTCACAGGCGGCTCGAGAATGTTCGCAAGATGAAAGCTCATCTGCAAGAGCGCTTTCAACCCTTGAGCCCAGAACCAATTTTCCATCAAATTGTAGCTGTAGAAGAAGTAGAACACTTTAACAACGACAACTAGAGATGGACTCCATCTGGACCGTGCTCAGATTTGCGTTTCAACGCAGCGGATTGCCATTGAGCAGACAAAATCCACTGCTATGAATAGCGTCAGATGGACAAAACAGCGGGGGGTGAGATGGACTGAAAACGTATCAAGAAAACTCGCTGCTGACGTTACACCCGTGTTTGCTGATGTGACAGTGACCTACGCACCATGTACTTTCTGCTGCGGCACAACGAAACCAAGTTCGAGGAAAAGGAAACTTGTACAAAAGGATAGCGACGTTTGAAAGCAATGCTGGTTTGGGTGCTCACCGTAGTAGTCCGGATTGGCAATTGGGCCAGTGGTGTCGCCAACGGTGGATTGCACGGTTGGACTAGTGCCGGGAGGAGAAACCCTGCTCAAAATTAGAACCGAATTTCAGGTTAAGATTATACAGCCAGGTTACAAGTAGGTCCGTGTCTGGGGACGGGTGGGTTTACTTTGGTGGTTAAACTGGGTGCGGGCGCGGAGCACATAGGTTTGTCTCAGGGGTATGGTTTAGTGGGTCCTCCTGGTGTTGTATGCATCTTAACCTGGCTAAACCGAAGCTACACAAGGGACCTTCCCTTGCTCGAACGTGGACTGATACTCCTACTCACAGGAATCTATTTACAGCTCACCCACATCCCTATAGGTCTCGGAACAGCTGACGACACATTTAAAAGCTTTCAGGATACTTGAGAATGAGCCGTTCACCTTCTTTGATAGAAAACCATTCTTCACGAATCTGGATCTCCGCGGGTAGAAAAACCATTCTTGGAAAGGAAGTTGAGAAGATTTGGCAAAGAATCGAGAAAGTCGATGAAGCAGCGCCTCTGGGTGGGGTCAGCAGATCACGAAGGCTGACAAAGGTCTCTTTTGCATGACGGCGCTGTGAAAGCTTTGCTTCAAACCATGTTCAATGTAACCAAGAATCGCTTCAATCCTTCAAGAGCACCTTCCAGTCCAGGTTCGACTGACGACTCTTCTCAATAACCGAGTTCTGAGGCGGGTTTTGATTGTAGTTCACCGAAAACGAGCCAGGCTTTGTTTTCAGGCAGCCGCACTTTGAATTGAGGCTTCCTTCATAAAATTGGCAGAGGCGCTTTACCGCTTTCAGGTAATGACACGCTCCGTGTTTGAGTTCTGAATGATCATTTGCTCTTCAGAAATGTTAGTGACCATCAGAATTTGGTTTTGCAGGGCAAAGAGCTAGAAGTCACCACTTCCTTCCCTTAGCCTGCCAGCCAAAAGCTCTCAACTACAGCGCATGTTGCGAACTGCTGTAACGCTCGCTCCTTTCTTCGAAGAGAAAATTGAAGTCAGCAATCGGTCATGAGCCGGTTGGAGACATGCACCCGGCTCATTGAACACGTCCAAAAGGAGTAGCCGGTCAAACAATCTGTTCTTACAGATAAACTCGAGCCCCATCCTTAGGAACGAACTTAGCAGAAACGCAGGTCGACTTTCACTCACGGGATGGTACAGAACGTCCCAGTGTAGGCGTCCCCGCACTCGCATGTGGCGGCGACGGGTGTATCCTGTTCTCCAAGGATGGGGCCGTCGTAAGTCGCATACCCGCACGTCCCGCCGTTTTGGCATGGGTTGGGGTTGCATGGGTCATCGCCTGCAAGGGTGGAGTTTGCATCAGTGAAATTGTGTATTACGCTTTTGTGTAGGTTAAAATGCAAAGCATACAAGGTCACCGACTTATCCAGGCCTCGGATTTGACCAGCGATGGGTCACGCCTCCAGAAACTAGGGTAAAAGCACCGTTTTGTCTAAAACAGGTGTATGTCGAAAGATTGGAAAGATGGATGGAGCGGGATAAACCCACCGCAGGGCTTCAGACTTTCATGTCGTCGATTGAATGTAAAGAATAGCACTCAGGCCAAAATGGTGAGAAGACAAGGAGTCTGAGGATTGGAGCATCAAAACACGGGCAGATTGGTGCCACAGCCTGAAAGGAATTCTGGCTGTTGAAAACCGTTTGTGCGCTTTTCCAAGCACGGGATCCCTGCCCTCCGGTTACAGCAATTCAGGCCTACTCTTGCTGCTGACTCTGTCAACTCCAGCAACAATCTCAAAAAGTTCCACAAGCCAGACCTCCAGGCATCGAAGCATATGGCTGCAGCATAACAAACTTCAAAAGACAACTTGCAAAATTCCATAGCCCCTATGGAAGCCGAATCTTACATAACTACTAAGTGATAGCTACCGGAGATTGGGCCTAGGGCCTCTTGAAAGGCAAGGAAACTAGATGGCCTTCTTGCTTTTGATCAGGATACAAAGATTGCAGTGTCTAGGATGCGAAATCCTTACAAGACAATCACGAGCCACATACCTGGAATGTAGCAATACGTCTGCGAATAGGTTGGGGTTTCCTGGGTCAGCGCCACAGATGGAGCGTTGCATTGGGTGCAATTGGCCACAATGGTAGGGCCCAGAGTATAAGCTCCCGCAGTGGTGCATGTGTTTCCTGTGACAACGAAGACAATCCAAAATCTGTTAGAAGAGTTGCAAGCAACTGCCCGAGTGATGCAATTGTCGCCAGATTGCTACTTTCAGGTGATGCAACACGACGTACAGCTATTTTCTGAATAGTGGCGTAACAGTGGCTGCTTCAAGTGGACATCAAAGGAAGAACTGTTTATAACCATCTGAAGAACAATTTGTAGAGGAGCATCACCCTCGCGGCGTCTTGGAGCAGCTAGGGCGACTGTTTACAAGTAGGACTGACAATCCAGGTGGCAGTACACATATCACCCCAAGCTTTCAACCCCAAGCGAAGGTATAATGGAGCACGCAAACCACTTCTTTTCTGTCAGACGCATTGCAACCAGCACCAGCGTCCAGCGGAGTCTTTCTGACTCCAAACTTTATGGTTCAGAGGGACCTTGAAAACCACACAGCCTTGATTGGGCACATTCTGTTGGTAACCGAAGGTGATGCGACATGGTTAAGGATGGCTACTCTGACAGGACTTCCTGCAATCTGAGAAGCTCCAATCAGTCCAAGGGAACCGTCACTTGTGAGTGATACCCCCCATACTGTCTGTGACCATTTTCAGAGATGACCCTCTATAAGGGCCCCGGGGGGCCTCAGCTTCCTCAAGTGATTCCAAAGGCCCCCCTTTCTTCGTTCAACCCTGAGTCTTCGTTCAACCTCCCCTCCCACCCCCCCCTTCTATCCCCCCACAATAAGGGGGGGTACCAGGTACAGTACGACGGTACCCTGATTGCACTGCCTTCTCTAAAGAAAGAAACGCTGCCTGCATTTCTTTGCAGAATCTGCTCAATCTGCCAGACTTGGTTCGTAATGCCATCAACGGCAAGAACAGGAAACTAGCGGACTGAGTAACTGAGTAAATGAGTCAACCCAAAATGGTTTTGAACGTAATGCCGGATTCCAAAGAGCAGACTTCCTACCCTCACTCAGCCTTGCATGTACATGTTTGCAAGTACCACATTCTTCAATCAAATTGAAATGGGGCACCATATTGGTCGCTCACCAGACCCACAAGGGTTGCCAACGCAGGGGTCTGCGACGCAGGATCTCGAGTCGCCTCTTCGGCCTGGTACGATGTCGTATCCAGATGGGCAGGAAAGGCCGGGGAAGGGACCCCAGAGAGGAAAGGCATCCGTCCTTGCCGCCAGGAAAAGAGACAGGAACAGGAGCTGGGACAGCATACTGAGCGCAGCCATTGGGGCGCCAGAGGAGCTTTCTTCTAGGGAGTAGGGAGTGAGCGAATAAGGGAATGAGGAAATGCTTCTTCGATCAATCCTTACATGCTGCATTTACTTCCTGCATTCCTGCATTTCATTTATGTGGCGGCGGGTCTGCAAGTGCTGCTCAAGCTGTGCTGCAAGGGATCGGAGGCATCGGACTGCTCAGTGCTGCAAGCAGGCTGCAACTTGTGCAAGCACATGATGGGGCGGCTGGACTGTTAGAATACGGTAGGAAGGTATACCGTATACTGAACATTGTGAGTGATCATGCACATCATCTTGTGACTGACCCAGGCAAGAACATCATGCACATGCAGACGGTGAGCCTTCAACTTTACCCGCTAGGCACTGCTCCCTGCCAGGGCAGTGACTGACATCACTCAGACTGCACACAGTGCACACCTGGTAGTAGGTACACAGTACTGGTAATTCAACTGGGAGTACCTATAAAACGGCAGGCTGACGGGTCCGGCCGTCTGGATGTACCGGTACCTACTCCGGTCCGCAGCTGTCTGCGTTTGCACGGCGACTACGACGGCGATTTCGGACGGTTCTTTTACAGAGAGCCATTTTAGGTACCAACGCTGTAAAACAAAGAACACATGTGCTCTCCCCCAAGCTGATGTCAACATCCGTCCGACCACTGCCCCATGGGTTGATGAGTGGCGCATGACGTATTCCTAGGCTGGCAATGATGCTGACAGTCACTTCGGTTGTGACCAGTCGAGTCACCGGGTCTGGCCCCCGGTGTCGGATGGGCTCGGACAACGGTCCGCTCGGAGTCGCTGTCCGCACAGAGTCCGAATCGTCCCACTCAGAATTCGAGTCGATGAGACTCGCGTCGGAGTCGCCGAATTACGTGCCCCCAGTGACCGTCCGTGGACTTTTGCGAAAGCAGTTCGACAGTCAAAAGCCCTCGCTCGGCACGAAATCCAGCAAGCGGAAGTCAACAAAACCCCGGGAAGCAGCCAAAAACAACTACGTGGCAGATAAGCGAAAGCACTGGCAGAGAAAGCGAACCCCTGTCCAACACGAGAAACCGCTTTCAAACCCGAAGGTCCGAAAGACCGGCTCTTCGGCTCTCCCTCTCAACAAGCCCTCCCAAACCCCTGACCCAAGCAGTCGCGTAAACCCGGCGAAACCAACGCACCCAAATACATTAATCAGGGCGCGAACCTGATCCAAGCAGGGCGCGAACTCGATCCAAGCGCTTAACGTTTAGCGGGCGTTTAGCAACTTGTGCAAGTGAATGCTCTGTGAATGCAGAGCAACTGGAGCAAGGACGGAACGACCACGGAATAACGAGCTGAACCGTACTGCAGAAACCGTCTCTCGCTCCTTACCCAGGCCGCTTCAGTCCGACATGGCCAAAGGGGTCAAGGACAAAAAGGACAAGGACTCTCAAATGCGCGAACTACAACGGCAATAAGAAGGATAATGCAAGCGGAGAACTTCACACTGCGCGAGGAAAATGATTCTAGTAACGTTTCCATTCTCGACTTTTGCACAAACTTAGCGTCTTCGATTCTTCTTCGAACTCAAAAAAAATTCTGGATCTGAATATTTTCCCTCCTTCTGACCAAGCTCTTAAAGGTCTGCTTGTAATCTCTCTACCATGTTCTAGTGTAGGCCCATAGAAGGAACCGAGAACCGGAGAACACGAAATGATTGTGTGTTCGGAAATCGTCCAACCACTCGCTTCTCTTCAAAAGTAGCAACCTTATAGTCATTAGGACTAGTCAGAGAGAATGACGAACATGCATTCTTGCTAACCTGTTACATGAAATTCCCTATTGATCCGTCTTTCGTCATTAAAGAATGGTAACGAACATTTCAACTGTGATCATGATCAGTTTACCACCGGGAGGAGCAGCCCATCCTAAGGCGTTGTCCGTCCTCAGAACAGCTCCAAGAAAGTTTCGTAAGCTTTTCCTTTCTCAATCAGCAAGTCGGAAAGTCAGTATACTTCGAGAACGGTTGCCTCAATCTTCAAATACACGGCGACCTGTCACAAACGGACAGGCTACCTGAAAGAAGTGTTTCGTATAGTAACGAGGTTTTGTTGCAGTAACGGGTATAAATCCCTCCGGTCCTCGGTTCGCAATTTGTCATGTTCGTCCAGAACGATCTCAACGACTTGGACGAGACATTACTCAGATACCATTTTCCGACCTACAAAGCATGTCCCCTCAAAATGGGCGACGGGAAGGGGTTAAGAATACAAACCACCCAGCTTACCGAAAACCGGAGTCATTGGTGAATCGAACCCACATGACGAAGCGTATTCTTCAACCAGGATTTCGTTCCCCTGGAAAGGAATCTATTTACCCAATTTCAAAGCTCGAGTCAGAGAGACAAGTACGCTTTCTTCTCTTTGGTTATACCACTGATTTCCTCATTGGAGCGCTACCACTCTGACCCGTGGACGGCAAACAGGCCATCCACGGACATGGAAAAGAGACCCATGTTCAAACGACGAGAGACGTCGTACGCCTCCTTCATTCGTGCGAACGTAACAATGTAACAGCAGTTGTAATATGTTTCCACGGAATCATAATTCGGAGCGCTCATGAAAGACTACAGAACCTGATAAATCTCTGACGGGTCAAGTGGCATTCCAACCGGTAGCAGGACGGGTGGCGCCGGGACATCAGGAACCAGCCAACAATCAGTTTTCTTAACCCATCATGTAAAGCCTATAATCCAGAATCCCTCTCGAAGCTCTCTGAAACCACGCAAGACTGGCACAGGCGGCCAGAAAGCAACGGCCGCCGGTGTCAAAACTCGGCAGCGCGAGAAGAAGACCACTTCTTCAGGCACGCGGCCGCGCCCGCAGCCGACGAAGGAGGTTCGGGTGTATGTAAAACCCTCTCTTCAAAATAGATCGACGGCTGTCATTCGCATGAGGAAAAATTGAACGGTTGCAGACCCGGAGAAGAGCTCGTGACCACCTTTGTTTGCACGTCAGATAATCTTAGTCAACTGCAGTGAGTACTGAGGTTTGAAGCAAACGGCCGCGAATTGTCCAGAAACCTGCCTCTTGGAAACAACTTCGCGTTTAGCACACTTGACGAAAGCTGCAACACAACCTCTCTGCAAGGTTTCGAAGTCCATAGGAAAGGAAAAGGGGCCTGAAAGAATTAAGAAACGAAGACCACTGATCGATATTCATGAGCCTAGCTCAAGCAAGACATCAGGAAGGGGCTGGGCCAGAATTATCCATTTGATCTCTCTCTTCTGTAAGTGCCTCTCTCTCTCTCAAGTGCCACTCTGGAAAGCTAACCAGTCTGGGACGGGTAGGGTTAGTTTGGGGGTTAGGGTGGGTTCGGGTGCGGAGCGGGGTGATTTTGTGGGTTAGATTTTTAGTGTTAGTGTTGGAACTTACTATTGCTAGAGCTTACTATGATTGCTAAAGCTTACGATTGCTAAAATGAAGTTTCTTACTCTGGAAGACCCTCTGCAGGAGCAAGACTGATTAACGTTCTTCGTCTCGGTCACAGATTTGAACATTCCACATTCTCAATGCGGAAGCGTTACGCGGAGCAGGAAGATTGGCTTGAAATGATTGTTCGTTTGGCTCACCCATGCGTATGCTTCGGTTCAGATTGTAATGTAAATTGATCGTGATCGCTAGCATTCTGGTAATTTTGTGGCCCAGCCCCTTAGAAGGTTCCAGATTAGGCTCCGATGAGTTAGACTTCTTTTCCTTCAGTGGCGGTACGTGCCGGATGCTAGCATCCCATCCGGAGAACATTTCAAGGCAGCGCATGTAGGAACTCAGGATAGTAATTGACTCTCACACTAATTTACAGTCCCTGTGACAGTCTTTGCATGCAGTTTCAAAGATGCAAGACATATGACTGATGCTTGTCCTGTCCGGGATTCGTAAGCACATACACGTACTTGCGAGCAAAGACAGGTGGGCTGGCGAGAAAGACAAGGGCTGCCATCCCCCTCTCCTGTCACTCACCTCCTAAGCTGCTCAATAAATGACGTTTTTCTCTGTCTTACTAATTCAATCACTTGAGAACGGGAAGACGTAGAACGGAAAGCTCGCGTACCGGTAAGAAAATGAAGGTTCGTATACATGTACATGTAGACCGTCTAGCATGCTTGCATGTTCCTAGCTGTTGCTGCTTAATATAAATCCGTACGTGACCGTGGTCCGCTTAGACTCCATGTAAATGAACGCAACTTGGACCGTTGCCCATGGCATGGTCTGAGGATCGGTCACCCGGGCATAGCGGCTGCCGCACGGATCGAAAGCATGCATGTATTTTCGATGATGGTCTCGCAGCTTCGTTGCGCCGTGGCCAGTGCGGGCGGCCATATTCTATATAGGCTTCTCATGGCATACAATGACCGTCCGGCAAAATGCTCAACGCATTGCAGTCGGCGCGCACTGCAGTGCAAACACACCAAGATGTGTTCTGCTTGTCTATGGCTCACACGCAGCCGTTGGGCTTTTACAGAATCGAGGATACCGGCAGCATGCCATGGCACCCATCATGGGATACTTCAGAAGCGGCCACATTTCGGCGCGTCACAACCCACTTCCACAACCGCCATAAGGCAAGCGAAAAAGACTTCAGTCAACACCACATGCCAACAGAATGAAAGAGTTCAGGTTTTGTAAAAAGCTCAAAGTTGACCAAGTAAGCTGTGGCGTCTGTGACATCACAAGTCGTACACGATGAAGGTCCTGATTCATTGAAGCAGAAATCTTTAGTACTGTCCATATTGGGAGTACTGAGCTGCTTGAGGTGCGGTGTATTGAGTAGGATACGATGCAGCTTGTGTCTGGTCATAAGCTCCAGCCGCGGGGGCGTTGTAGTACCCCTGGTTGTAGCCCCCCGCTGCAGCAGGCGCCGTGGAGCCACCCGCCATATAGCTCTGCGCACAAAGACGGTTTCCATACTCTCTTGCAAGTGCTTTTGTTCCGATGCTGCCAATACCTAGCTTTTGGTTCCCAACGTCATCGCGCTTCCAAAGTGAACGGAACTCGTGCGGGCCACAAATTGATGGACAAGCCTCAAATGTCCCGATCCGTGCACTCTCCAGCCGAATACCGGAAGAGCCGAGGACATCAAAATTTCCAGATTTTTGTCGGCTGCAAGTCTGTTCGCGGCCTGGCAAGATAACTTTCTTCGGCCCTGCCCCAAAACCCTCTCACTCATCCATCGCACCCATCTCACAAGCATCTGCGTAGTGCACAGCTGCAGAGATTTCGTATGAGCATTGAAGCGTCTGCGCGCATGTCCCTCACCTCGACTAGCCTCTGCGCGGTCGACACCTGCGTTTGGCTGCCCGTGATTTCGAACGACAGGTTCTGGTTCGCGTCCGCCATCGTCACGATGACTGTCGCTCCGCTAGTTTGCCGGATGTGGCTCAGGCGGCTCCCCGCTGGTCCCAGGATCGCGTCCGTGTACGCTACAGGCACCGTCATCTTTTGCACGATCTGGGAAAGCAGCAGAAACGGAAGCTTATTGGTAATGTGCAATCATCTTGTGCGATCATCAGACATTTTCCGAACTCGGACAGTGTTCTCACACTCAAGTACTTTCGCCCTGTAAAACGTAGGAAAACAAAAGGAACGGTGAAACGAAGAAATGCTCCTGCCATAGAGGTGTTCCGGTATGCATACCAACAAAACTCTGTGCAAACCATGAACCTCGCCGGGTATGATTCCGCCTCTCGAATGTACGTTCTTGCTGAAGCCAAGATTGTCAAAGACCGAAAAGGGTCGGGGATAACCAACCGAAGTGTAATCCTACCGCTTCAGGACAATTGCGCAACACAGAAAAGGGGCCATGATAGAGCCCGCCGCTTGATCAACTCAACGAAGAAGCAGGAAGCCTACTTGGATCAAGCACAAAAGGAACTTGCTCAATCGGGTCTCCCAAGATCGCTCGTCCTACCAATCAGGTATCTCGTGCCTATGGCATCGTCAAGCGAAGCATAGCATCCACCCAAAAGTCTTCCCCTCTACCGAAACCCGCAGCAGTAGACTATGGTGCCCTCTTGTGCGTCAACTTACCTGCCCGATTGGTGCCGCTGCGGCATAAGGGTCCGGTTGTCCACCATACGAAGCAGGCCACTGCGACGCCTGAGAGCCATAACCGCCCCCTGACTGACCGTATCCCCCGCCATAATCGCCGGCCCCGTTTCCGTATCCTGCATTGCGGCAAACGGCTCGACTCAGTCTCCATGACCGACGAGGAAAAGCGAAAGCGGAAGCGGCAGCAACCAGAGACAGCTGTCGAGAGTGCAGGAGGAAAGCAGACAGATACAATGACAGAGAAACGACCTAGCCTCATCGTAAGATGTCATGGCTGGAGCAATCCTTCGAACAGACGTCAGACGCGCCTCCATCTGCGATGTCTCACCGCTTCGTTCTCAGTTCTGACCAGTCGCAAGCTCCAAAAGAAGACAACAGTCTTCTGAAAAGCCGAGTTTCTTGAACGGAGAAAATCAAAGATGCTTGATCCGAATGTAGTACAGTGCCACGTAACCCGGCGGAACTTAAGATGCATCCGTAAATGTACGGCTGTACGTTGTCATCTGCATCCATCATGTGAGATTGCCAAAAGACGCTGTGGAAAGGAATGCTAGCCGCCAGCATATGCTCACCTGCGCTAGCCCCACCGTACGACATAGGCGCCGCAGATTGACCGGCTGGTTGTTTAGACCTCTCCTGTAAGGGCAGAATCAACGGCTGAGCACCAACGATCTCCGCGGCACGACATCTGATTCGAGGACTCCTGCTGTACGCGAAGATGGAGCTCACTTATAGCCTCAGGGAAGGAACATTACTCTCGAGAACGCCAGCATCGAACTCCGACTTCGAATGCATACCAATGGTCAAAGATCAGTCTCAAATTGAAGATAGAAGCCGACTTGCATGCCGTTCAGCCCGAAAGCTGTGCCCAGACACCGTTTCACACGAGCATTCCTGCAACCCACGTCTCTTCGTAGCAGATGCGCAGAAAACAGTGGAAATGAACGACCTCTGGAAGGACTCGACCACGCCTAGGCCTAGCTTCGAGGCTCAAGTATGAAGTCGTTTTCGCTCCCCGAGTGAGTGGAACGACGTGGAAGGCGACAGCCTCACTGGTGGGGTATGGCTTCAAGTCCCGTTGCCCGCAACGAGATTAGAAGTTTGCGTAACTTATAGGGTAGAAATGAGTGTGGACGTTACAGGTCGGAGGCTCACCGGGTGTTCGAGGTGCGGCACGGCGGAGCGGTCGACGAGGTACTTGCGCAGCTGGAGGGCGCATACGCGCAGCGCAGTCTGGACGGCCGCCACGGGGCCCGAGATCTCCACCAGCCGGTCGTCAGGCAAGGCGTACAGGCCGACGTCACCTACCAAAAAAGAAGAAAATAACATGAGGGCTTTGTGGAGGTGACCAACTGATTGTCAAGTGACTGTGGGATTCCTCGGTGTCAGGAACCCGAACGCGCCGCCCGCTTTGCTCTGGTATGCCGCGGGGTATACCTCAAGAAAACTGCCACGCCAGTAAATCTACACATTGCCAGAACACAAGACTTGCATGTGATTGGCTTTGGGTCTCTGTATGTTCAAACAATTGAAGCAAGCGTTGTATTTTGGGAGGACCATCAGGAGGGCGACAGCAACGGCTCCCGAGGCTCCGCCGGCCCACAGAAAACGAGAGCCCCGAAAGTATCGCCGTTCTTTTTTAGTGTGCAAACCTGGAATCCTATCCTGTCTGCATCAGATTAACCTGCCTCGCATGAGAAAAAAATAACGGCTGCATATTTTGGTGTCGTTATGTGGGTTTCTTAAGATCGCTTCAAGTCAAATCGCTCCAGACTACGCTCTCCAAAGAACGGACCACAACTAGCAACCCAGGATTCATGTGGAACGAGAGGCTGGGAAGCGGAAAGTAAAGCTGCCGAGCAAGCAATCCTTTCCCGAATCCACTGATATTCAGGACACTTCCAGCGGGTCCTCCAAAGAGACTCCAGACCCCAAGCAGAGCGCTCGTAAAAACAACCGGCAAAGCCGAGTTGTATCGAGCTAACTCACTCCTCACAAACTCGCTCTCCTGCAGGACCTTGATGCTCGCCCGCGTCTGCTCCTGCATCGCCTTGATCGTCCCCCCGCCCTTCCCGATGAGCGTTCCCGCCTGCACCTGCGGGATCAGCAGCTTGGCGGTGGCCGTCTCCGGAATGGGGGGCGGCGGCCGCCCCTGCTGGTCCTCATCGTCGTGCCCCCCCAGAACAGCGCGGTCGTGCACCTTTAGGAGGGCTACCACGGCCGGGGGGAGCTCCATGTCGTAATTCTCGCGGGCGGACACGAGCACCTGGGAAAAGGAGGGGGTTGAAATTTCAGCCAACGGAAGGTAACTACTTTTGGATGTGCAAAAGCATGCATTGATAGACTTCACGAGATTGGATGTCCTGCTCTGGATAAAAAGTAGAGGGACAACGCCGAGGACACATGGTCCAGAAACGCACTACTGCCCAAAAAGTCAAGGAACACTGAGCTGAAGAAGGTTGGTACATGCGGGAGATTCAACGAGAGAGTCTGCAACAGCGCTGTCTGCTTTCGAGAGGCTAAGGCAAGCGAACTGTGTCGGCAGTCAGCCAGGCTGATGGGCAGCGTCGGAGACAAGTTGGAGGTACGTACGGTTTCTTTGACAATCGAGTTACTGTTTCGTGCAGCTCTAGAAAGCAAGCTACAATCCAGCAGAGGCAAAACGCACAGACTCTTGCAGGTCCCCTCGCAATCAGAATACAAGAATGCAGTTGTGATACAAGTAGATTGTTGGGCAAGCCAGCTCACCCCTCTCTCCTCTGTCCTTGGAATTGCCTCCATCACCTTCACACGGGCGTTTGTCTCCTGACATAGGTTCTTGATCCACGCACCTTTCTTCCCAATGATTAACCCAACCTGCAAACCGAGTGGACGTCCAACTGATCATTGCCTCTAGCCCAAGCGTACCTTTACTTGCACACTGAAGGACCCCATTGAGAGCAGAGTAAGGTACATCTCCGTAGCCTCAGATTCATTGATTAGGGGATAAACAATACTGTGGAATCTGCCAGCTGATCGATTTGTTCCGGCGCTCGGTTTTCCCAACGATCGAATCCATCCTATTGATGTGCAACTCAAGATGAGGTGTCGGCACACACAAGGCAAAAGAGCTCGGAGGCGCTTGGACAGGCGATTGAGCTGCCTGCAAAAACATTGCAGCCTTACAAACTGCAGCTTAGCTGCTGCCAAAGTGAGCCTGGAAGCGACTAGAAGAAAACGAGCTCAAGAAGCCTCGACCAGAGTGGTCCGACCAGCTCTGGAGATAAGCCGAGTCACACCCTAAGCCTGCTCAATGATCACCTCAGTCGACAAAACTTAAAAGTCAGAGGGCAGGGACTCTGCACCACCACTTCTAACATCGGAGCCACATTCTAGATCCCCGGCTGCACAAATGAAAGCGCCATCCCCTCGTGATAGAGCAATACAGAAATCTCAAGGCAAACGAAATAGGGAAATTGCGGCAGCTTGATGCACTGGTTCCAATAGACCACAAAAACGTATTCTGGGTATCCATTCTGACGAAAAACAGAATGATGTGGCCAAACATGGACAATTCAGCACATTTGTTCCTGACGTCAACACCAGCAAGCTCACGCTTGATCCGAGCAGATATAGGTCAACAAAATGCTTGCCAGGGCTTGAATTGCCGGCGCCATCAACAGCACTCAAAGATTGACTCCGTGTCCAGATATGCAACGGAAAGGCTTTGTCAAAATGAGGCATCAAGCCAACACAAGACCCACAGAGGTAACTTTCTAACCGACTCTACATGGCCAAACTTATCATCAAAAGTGGTAATGCCCGGGAACAATCGACATTAAATCCGACAAAAGATCCACAATCTGCTCCACGCATGCGAACCCCTGACAAGACACATCTCCCAGACAAGGCACCTATCAGACAAGAAACCACAATCAAGCCTTACCCTATTTACAGGAACTACCAGGCGGTACACATTCTCTCCAGGGTACCCTGGCCAGGGGCCCCCCGCCTGCTGCTGCTGCTGGCCTGTCGGGACAGCTCCATCAAACCCGTCTTCCCGGGCCCGCTTCATCCCAACAGCCTCTGCTGAAGGAAACTGGATCGGCGCCGCTGGCTCATACTCCGCCATGGTTCTCAAAGTCGTGCTAAGGAACCCTGAGTGGCCAATTGTCTACTGCAAGTAGAACGAACTCTAACCAGTCCTCCCCTCGCTTCAACGTTCAGCCCTCTTGCTTCGAAGCAGCTCTGCTTCCTAGCCTGCCTCAGGCCAGGCTGCCTTGCTGGTTCTGCGAACCCTGAAAGCCGTTATATGAGCTGCTACATATGAGCTGTGTTTTTGAGCACATTTTGTATACCGTACGACCAGAGTATGATTCCGAACGCTCAAAAAAAGCAATTATTTAAGTGAATGCGAGCCCATTTTGACCAATATTTTCCAGAATCCGACCCTAAATCCGAATCCCTTGTAGAAACCACGGTACCCGTGTTTTTTGCCCGTTCTTTTCGAACAGGTACGTACCGGCAACCTATACGGGGTCCAAAATCACTTTCCGAATCCATTTTATAGTAATTATTTACCTTTTCCGAAAAAGCAGATTCCGAATGCTTATCTGGAGTTTATGACTTTCCGAATGCAAATAATTATTTATATATTCGGAATCATACCTTGGTCGTACGGTAACCTATGTAGCGGCTCCGTTTGACAATCAGGTTCTGTGTATACCCCATCTTAATACCTTGGCAATTCCAAATCCAGGTTTGCTGTACAAACTTGATTGCTTGGTCCTCCCATACGCTATGGAATTTGGCCTTTGAAATTGAAAGAAGGGGCCCAGATACAGAAGACTGTTGGAGGCCACTGAACATCGCTGGCAAGTGTTGCATGGAGGAAACAATCTGTGCTGTTTGATTGAACAGAGCCTGAGGTGTAAGGTTTCTTTGAGGCGGCCATCTTTTAGGTTTCTGAAGTTCTGAAGGCTGACCTTTTCAGTCTGGAGGAGATTGAGGCCCCCGAGCTCCTGGTTGTGGAAGCTGGATTCCGTTAGTGGCGGTGGGGTCGGACTTGCGCTTGTGGTCGCCGCTCTGGTGGAGGAGAGCTTTCTGCTATTTTTAAACTGAAGACAGCATCCAGTTCATAGAAGTGCATCAGCGCACTTGAGTAGAGAAGAGGACTCTGAAGTTCAATCAAGCAGGGCAAAGCGACATTCTTTCCTTCCGACGAGAAGATGGTGAGGATATCAATGGTCTACTGTGTATGCTAGTTTGGCTGTTTCAAGCCCTGGAGCTATGTTGATGATCCACTTGCTGTGGCTCTCCAGACCTTCCATGAGTGCAAGGTTGCTCGTCTTGGCTTGATCTTCGAGACCTCTTGAGAATCGGATATTCATTGCTGGCAATAGAACCAGCCTACCAGAAGCATTATATCAAGGTACCTGGGGCAGTCGAGCACTATATTGGAATTTTTGCATCGTCTGGCAGTTTACCTATGTGTTCATTCAGCAGATGGGATGCTGCTGCATCTCATGCCAAACGTCGCAAAGTAGAATTCTACTCTCATCTAGAACACGATTCAGGGCGCACTTGGCAGAACATTGATTAGCTTTCCGCGCCAACATAGGACGTGGAGAACAGGATTCTCGTTTGGTTACTGGTTGGTCTCTTTGAATTCTCGCTTAAATTCTCCCAGCAATACCACGCCTACCCTATTTTCTGAAAAGTAAGCACATGATTGCAAGTTCCATTTGGCTATCGATCTTATCATACCCTCTCGTTTAGAAGTCGGCACCTTGGAGACCAAGGGACCATAGGTGGTAGGCCAGACGCCGTCTCCATTATGTGAAGGGGCCATAGGTTCATCTAGACTTCGACCTCTTTCATTGCTGTGATTTTCCTGGACCACTTACAGCTTCAAGCGACCACTTAACAATTTGGCTCTGGTGCAGGCGTCCCGCTCAAGGCTGTTCAAGGAGTTTAAGGAAGTGCAGAGGGATAAGAAGGACACAGACATCGTGCTCTTTCCGGACGAGTCCAACATCTATCGATGGACCGCATACATCAAGGTGTGTCGCGCTTTTGCAGTCCTGGCTTCGGACAAAATCTGTTGACAAGGTTACCGATTTATCTGCTGACATGGGGCCAAATACCAAACAGAAAGTGACTCCGGGGTAATGGGACAAATTTGGCAGACAACTGTTTGAAGGGAGGCTCCTGTTTGAACCAAATGATGGCCCGTTCGAGGTTCTCCAATTCTCACCAGCTTCTCCTGGGTTGGAGGAAGTGTTCGAGTGTTCCTTGTTTGTCAGTCTGCTAAGTTTGGCAGTGGCATAGACTTCATCATGTCCCACTCTAAGCCCAGTATGTCTTTTAGATAGTCCTGAAGCGAGACAGTCTTTTTGATGATTTGAAGTGCTAGTAGGCGCGCTGTGTGGAACCCAGAGCTAACCGGATGACAAGTTTGACTCTTTTGGATCTCGCTGCTACACTTGCCCTTCCCAAACAGTCGGTTTTTCTGTGGTGTGGGTTTTCTTAAAGATACTTTGCTGGGGTTATGCAGGGCCCCGCAGAGACGCCATACGATGGCGGAACTTTCCAGCTGTCCATCAACGTCCCAGAAAACTACCCCCTGACTCCACCCGTTGTGCGGTGTAATACCAAAATCTTTCATCCAAATGTCCACTTCAAGGTGAGCTACAGACAGGTATTTCAATCTGAAATGTCGGAAGGGGGCTGCTTGCTAGCACAAAGAAGGCGGGAAGCCGGATGTCTCGTCAAACCCCTGTGCTGTCCTTAGCTCACAAGCCAAGGAAAGCGAGAGCAACTTTGGCCGCCTGCGAATGATCAGCACAGGGTTCCGACACCCTTCGTGATTGGGGGTTCGAAAACCTCTCTTTTAGTGAAGTAGTTATTGATCTTCTGGTTGGTGCTGTGGGCTTGCATCTGAAGCGCTCAAGTGAGCTTTTCACTAGGTCAACGTGTACGTTCCTGCAAGTATTTGGAGTCTGTATGGGCTACGCCCGTACCTTCCTTCCAAAATTCAAGCGATGCGAATTGCTATGTTCCTTTGTTGCTTTCACTACCTGTCTACAGACCTGCTTCGAGGGCAGCGGGTTGGAACTTTGTCGCAAGGCAGGCCGGCTTTCATACTTGTGGAGCTGAAGTGAGCCCAGGATTGGAGAAATCTTGCTGTGGGAAAAGTGGCGGACGAGCAGGGACTAGGTCTCGTTCTGGGACTCTTTGGCCTATTCTAGGTTATTATTTCCAAGTTCCGGCTTCACTTTGGGAGAGCCGCTTTTGTTCTTTTTGAACTGACCTTCGTTCGGGACCTGGCTTCGGTTCGTCCACCACTGTCCGACCGCTTTGTCGACCACTTTCCAACTGGGATGCTCCACCCTTCGTCCCGCTCGGCTCCGATTTCAGCGATTGCACCTCGACGAGAGGCCACTTGTTCTGCATCGTCGTTTTACCTTTCGCAGAAGATGCAATCGGCTTCAGGTTGCGGGTACCGTTCTCTGGGTTTGAGGTCGATCGTCAGATCGTCAAAAATTAGGCCCGTCCACTCGAAACCTCCTAGACGTTCTCCTGGACAGCTGCTTCTTTCTCCGAGATTACTTGACTGACCAGTTCTTGCTGCGTTTCAGAGGGGGGAGTTCTGAACGGACAATCTGAAGGGCGTGGAGCCCTGCCGTGGAGTTTGTTTGGCTGACGTCATTGTTTGCTGCTTACAGACGGGGGAGATCTGCCTAGACATTTTGAAAACCGCATGGAGCCCTGCCTGGACACTCCAGTCGGTCTGCCGAGCGGTGATTGCGCTCCTGTCACATCCAGAACCGGATAGCCCGCTCAACTGTGACTGTGGTAAGTAGCAACAACAGATTCGTAGACAGATTGTTTCGCTTTGGTTAGCTGTAAGGCTGTGTTTTCGCATTGTCTGGCTTGTTGAAATGTTCAAATGGCGTAGGCTGTCGAATCGGTTTTCCGACGTAGATCTCTAAAGTGGAAAAGCTTCGCGCTTGTCCTGTACAGTCGCAGGCTCGTCGTTGAGGCCGATTCTTTGAATTGCTGATTGGAAGAGTTAATTTGTGTTCAAAGGTATTCAACCGGGGAAACGGTGTCAAGTAACACCCGGAAGGCGACTGACTCTTTTTAAGGAGGTCTGCGTGTTTGGTTTTGGGCTTCTACTAGAGCAGGGTCCTGAAATAGACGTTTCTATATCTTATTAAGGAGACGCATGCTTTCTCAATCCACTGATTGTACCTTGATCATAGAAGGTCCTGGATCGGCTTATGTTTTACAAATGTCTGCTAAAAGTTTCTTAAGTCCACTTTGACCATTACCTTCCACTTCGACCATTACCTAGGGAGCCGAGTTGCTCCACAATTCACTTGATGACTCAAAGAGTAACCGCCTTCAGCCCTTTTTCATTCTCTCAGGCTGCAATCGACTCATCTTGGTGGTTTTACTTAATCTGACCTACTCCGTAACACTCAGTTTTGTGCTTTTCAACGCATGCAGGCAACTTACTCCGAGCAGGGGATTTGAGGGGATACAAGTCGATGGCTCGAATGTACACGAAACTAGCTGCTTCGCAAGTCAAGCCACCTTCCATCTGATGTAGGCTCGAAATGAGGGTTAAGCTAAAACCCTGTCTCGATGGGGAGTCGTGAATATATCCGTCACAAAGACCTAGCTTTTGGGTAGACAGGTAATGATCCTGTTTAATGAGCATCTGTACATACATAGACTGATATTTGGTTGAAAGATCAAGGACCGTCAACGTGGTGGCTGCCTACCCAACTCTTAAAGTTGATTTGATTGTGCATCTTGAATTCGTTCGAAATGCATGTGCACTCGTTAAAACCCGTATGCGTAGAGCACCGCATTGGTATGTGTAAGTCTCCTTGGACTGCTGGCGGCTAGCCACCAACTGCCCCCAGTCCCCCACCAACATGATAGAATGTCAACGACTTAGCCCAAACAAGTTGAGGTAATCATTTAGCAACCTTTCAAGCCGACTTGAAGTTTCAAGCGCGGTCCAAAAGTACGACTGCCATCCATGGTGCTCAGCAACGCGGCGGGGTTAGAAGTATCGTCAGGTACGGTATGCGGCCACCTTCAAACAGACCGTCTCGACCCGGCCATACTACTATAAGTTCGCAAAGGATGATCTAATAAGCTGGTCCTCGCTTTTGTTTACTGTAGTATGAGTAAACAGAGTATAAGCCTTAGGCGATTTGGCCAGGGTTTCAAGAATTTACTACACTACTGGAGACCATGACGTGTGACGTCGACGTATAGTCCGCATTGAGGATGAGGGCTGGGTCAGCCTGGGTGTGGACTCTGGGAACCATATGGCAGTGCAACATTCTGCCTGCATTATGCGATTCCGATTCTTCCGGAAGTGGCCGACCTTGTCCGGAGTCGGCGTGCGTTGCGTGGCGGTCCCCGGCCGGACTCCCATGCATGAGCTAGTCTGTGCAGATTGCACAATGTGCCCGGTACTGCACGTGTTGGGCTGTAGCCTCTAGCCTGTAGCTGTGTAGGTACCTAGCTGGTACAAGGTACGAGGCCCGGAACGAGCCCCCAAGCAGCTGCACTCAAATCCGCACCCGAAAATTCCGCATTATCCCAGTCACATCTCGCTAGATTGAGGGCTTGCATTGACGTTCAAACTTCATGCACCTCAGTCTGCCAGCCTAGTGAGGGGTCTCACAGCACGCTGGAAAGCCAAAGGCAAGAGCAGATTTTCAAGCTGGAAGAAGCTGATCACATGTCAAAGGCGCCACACAAACAATCACGTAGCTGCTGAAGAGGGTACTGCACCTTCCAAGTAAAGGCATTCCGTTGTCTGTGGACGCTGTCCACGCTAACATGTGCTCTGTCGTCTGTGGACTTCTTAACGGTTTGCCTTTTGGGGATTCTATGCTGCTGAGCTGCTGTGTACAAATGCAGGTATACCCACTGCTCCTTCAGCGGGTAGCGAAAGTGTTTAGAGAAAGACGAACAGCACTGAACCAATCAACTGGCATTTAGATAATATCATCACATGAACCAGCATAGGAAAGGAAGTTGGAGCTGATTTGGACCCGCAGTCACGCTTCCAACTATGTCACCTACACATTTTGCTGTCGCTGCGGCCTTGGCCCTTATCCTTCTGGTCTCATTCAGCTACTTGCACTCGTCAATCACCATCAGCACCTGTGTTTTCCTGCTGCCAGCTGGCGCAGCGCGATTGGCCCAGCCCCAGCATCAAGCCATTCCGACGGGTGGTGTCAACGCAGTTGCCTTGCAAGATTCTCTGGAACAGAGTCAGGAGCAAGAGGGGGAGAAGTCAAAGTGTAAAGCATGGCAAGACAGCATCTCAGCGATTGGATTTGTAGAGATAAAGCTGCCGCCCGGGGCGAGGGACTTTGAAGAGGAGCCGATTCGGATCTACGAGACGAAGCAGCTGTACTATCCACAACAACATTGCGATGTTGGATGCAGGTATGTGCATTGTATTCCTTCCCAGTGTTGCATAGCCAGCCAGCATTCTTTCCGAGGAATGTTTTCTTCAGAGGAATCAGTAAAGTGCCCCCTTTTACGCCCCGCTTTTTCGGTGGTCAAGCTTTGGAAGGTATTGAGAGATTGAGAAAGGCCATGAGCTTCTAGAGGGAGCTGGTGACATGCCCTCGATCAGGTCTGCCTGATGGTGATCAGTTTCCACAACCTGGTTGACTTTGATTGGGTTAAATCTAGGGTTGAATATTCAGCTGGCAATCCAGCTGGCAAGCATAAATACTAGGATGTACTTGGACCTCCCAAGCTCCATCCTTCGCGCAAACACTATGCGCTGCAACCTTTGGGTTTGCTCTGCTTCATTTCCCAACCTTTTGCATCAAAATTACCTACTTTTCAAAAAGCTGCACGAACCCAGTTGCTTAGGAGATTCGAACTCAACCATTGCCCAGCTGACAGAGCGGGCAAATTGTGCTACCAACTTCCCACTGTACAGACCTTTCACGCTCTCCCGCAGCCTTACCGTGATTCAATACTGACTGTCGTGTTTCCCGCACTTTCACTGGCGGCGACGGCGCGATCCTCTAATTGCGTGTTTGTAGTGAAGCCAAGATGGTCTCCTACCAGGCTTTTCATGAAACATTTAAAGCACAAAGTAAGACTAAAACTCCCACCATTTAGCGCAGCTCTTCTCCGTGAGCTGAGAGAGTTTAGCATGGCGTAAACCACTGTCGCTTTTGTTCCCCCCCTCCTTCCTGCAGAACATTTACCCCTTCTGCACCTCCAAAGGATGACGACACTCCATGGGATGCCGTTGCTCACTTCGACTCCCACCCCAACGAAATCAACCGCTCCCTTGGGAGCACCTTCGTCTTGCGCAACATCGAAAGCCCGTCGAACTTTGGGCACCAGCTGTCCGTTGATCGAGCACGATCGGACGGCTATGATGTTACCGTGGCTTTCGAGCTCGATGCAGACGTCCCGGTACGCTTTGGAACTTTGATTTCAGCTGACCTGACTTTGCGCTTGATATCTTCACGGCTGTGAATCGTCCCCATGCTTTGCCCCATTGTAACTTTGCACCTTTGATGCTGGTTACTGAAGGATGAGCATACACACGCTTTGCAAGCGTCGTCAAGCTCTTGCCCGTCGGTTCACCACGCACAACAGAACATCGAATCCGGACTCTCGCCTGAGAATGACCGTTTGAGATTGATGACACAACAACCAGCTTGATCTAGCTCAAACATCATGGCGGTTCCTGCTATGACAAAGCAAAGAACTTCTGTCTTCAAGTTGCTAAGCGGATTCTGGTGCCGCTGAAGAGATCTTTGCCTGAAAGGCAGAAAAGCCAAAACTGAAGCCGCAACGCCATCTATCTCAACAATCAAGGTCATGCAAAAGCGCCGAGTCGGCAAACTTCACAAAGTTGTTGCAAACTGCCAGCACCGGGGATAGCTTGTTACATTCCGGACTTGACATGAATCTGATGGGGTTGATTGGATTACGCATAACGAGCTTGAATCTGGAACCAACAGTACGCAAATTTAAGCAATACCTATTATGGCTTAAAGTATATACTCAGCACTCGGAGTTTATCTTATCTTTTTCAAGCCTGAAATTTAGGTGGTATACACCAACTTCGACGGGGCCGGGGACTTTTTCGCGCGGCCGATCGACTACGAGGACAAGGTGCCGGCCACGGCGGCGTTCATCTCGAACTGCGACATGGTGACGAGTTTCCGGATGGAGGCAATGCAGCGGATGCGGGAGCTCGGGGTGGTGGTCGACTCGTACGGAAAGTGCGGGCACACGAAGAACGTCACGGGTGAGCTGCCGAGACATAAACGCGAGACGGTCTTTGCTTTGGGACGTGAGTTATTGCGTCGGATTGAGAGCTGTTTGAGTCGCCAGTTGAATGATAGGAAGGATGATTCGTGCAGACCAAGAACGTCACGGGTGAGCTAGCCAGAATGTAGAAGTGAGACGGAAAAACCGCCTCCTTTTGGGGGAGTAAGGCGTGAGTATTTGCCTGACGCGAATTGAGAGCTGCATTGAGTCAAAAATCGAAGAATGGAAGGACAGTCCGGGAATTAATGATCGTCTTCGAGCAAGCTGGCAAGAGCCTGGAGGTCAGCGGAGAAGTCCCTCAGCCGCCTTCTTTGCGGAAACATGAGATGCGACTGAACTTGTCCGGCTGCGAGCTGTTCAAAGCTGAGTCCGCGAATAAGTAGAGAGTCCGGGCAGATCAAGAACGTCACGCTAAGCTGCCTCTGAAATGAGAAACGTGATACTTTCGGAGAAAAGCTGGTCTACCTCACGTCTTTACGAGAACGTCCTGAATCCTGTTGCTCGGAGGATTGGTAGACGTGTCGTGTAGCGCTGCCTCAACAAGAAGACTCAGCGGGCTGTACGAGGATGTAAACGTATGACGTCCTCTGAGGACCGCTCCAATTTACCTGCCGGAAGAGCGAGATTTATTTCTGGCATCCCTTCGATCTCGTGTAAGGTCATCGGCTGTGTCCTTCAAACGGCCCCATCGGACCTAAAAAATACTCCTAGAAGGTTCTGGAAAGCTGTGAGAGAAAGCTCTCTCCAACCGCTCCATGGGTCCTAGAAATGACTTTAAGAAGGTCTTAAAAATGGGCGTAGAAAAGGCTTCCTCCACGTTCGCAGACGACGACTGGTACGGAATGGAGCACGTGTACAAGTACGAGTCCAAGCTGGGGCTCACTCAGCGTTACATGTTCTACTGCGCCTTCGAGAACAGCATCTGGCCGGATTACGTCACCGAGAAGTTTTACCACGGCTTGCGGACCGGCGCCGTACCGATCGTCCTCGGCGCGCCCAACGTGGGCGAATTTGCCCCGAGCCCGGACTCGTTTCTGCAGATAAGGAGTCTGGAGGACATCCCTGCGGTTGTGGAGAAGATGAAAGAGGCGATGCGCAACCGGACGTACTACGAGGTGGGCAGCACTATCTTTCTTCGTTTCTTCTTTTTCGCTTCGTGCGTTGGGCGCGGGGCTTTGATGTGTGTCTGTCTTTTGACCCCGCTCTATTGACTTAAGCTTGGCGGCCCGTGTCCGGGTCCCTTCTTTCCCTTGCCGCACCTTTTCTTCTTGCAAGCGCTAACTCTCCGTTTTCATCGATGATGGGCGACCCTAGAAATGCGGGTCAACTCATTCTCGTTTTCAACGCAAGGCGGAGCAACTGCCCCGTTTGAATGTACTAGGACCTTCGCGAACGTTGCCTCATAGTTCTAAGACCCCCCGTGACACTTCAAGTGGGCGTTGAGGTTGAAGAAACCCACGTGGCTGTCGCGGCGTCCTTCTTGCGGTAAAGTCGCCTTCCGTGTCGCTGCCAAAATTTCGCTCGTGCGGATCGCGGCGACATAAACAGCTGCATCCCTGGTTACTGGTCGCTAAATGCGGATGCATCCGCTGACGCCCTCTTTAAGATGGGCGTCAACGGTAAAACCAGTCCGTTCCGATTTGCTGTTTGCTCAAAAACGGAACCCAGGAGCCTCTTGTTGTGGTTCCGCCGTACCTTCGTGCGCGTGGTTGCCCCGTCTGTTAGCGGCCCCGGAAGAGGGACTACGAACCAAACCAGTGCATCCTTGACTGCAAAGCACAGTAGTGCACTCTCAGAAGCTGTCTTCGGCTCGCATTTGAGGAATTGATGGCGAGACTTTTTGTTTCAATCACTTGCCGTGCGCGAGATCTCTTCTTCTTCCATCTGGAAAACGTGGTGTGAGGAGGATCTTACCTTATCCGCTCCATCGTCTCTGTCTCCCAGAAGCTATTCAGAAAGAAAGACGGTCGCCCTCATTCTTCTTGGCTTTCTTGCAGAGCATGCTGGCGTGGAAGTCGGAGGCTCCATCCGAGACCTTCAGAGCGATCACGGACATGCCAGCTGTCCACCCCACGTGCCGGCTCTGCATCCTATTGGCCGACCGCATACGACAAAAGGAATGGCGGGAAGGCCGGGGCAACAGCAGTCTTCTAAAAAATCGAAGCAGCGCCGGAAGTTATTTCGAGCAACGCCCCATAGCTCCTTTTATCATCCCTGCACGGTCGTTTGACCACTGCTCCTGCATAAGCGATGGGCCGACCCCGGAGGTTATGAGCACCAAGTATCTACTCTTCGTGCGCGAGCGGGGGCTGTTCCGGTTCCGTCCGGTCTTTCTGGGCTCGGAAGACCTCACCCTTAACGGGCTTCACCGAGCAATCATTGAGGGGTTTATGAAGATGCATCACCGAGTGACGTGGCAAGAGCACCGGGAAATCTCGTCTGGGCTAGCGGCGCGTATAAGCTCTTGGGAAAGGCCGGTCGTGCATCGCGTATACGAAGTGGGACGCACGCAGAGGCAGGTGCTGTTTGGCAACGGGTCCTTGCAACACGACGCTCAAGTCGAGGCGCTTGTCAAGTCGCAGCCCTGTCCACGGCTCGAAGCAATCTTTGTGTAGCTTTTGTGTTGCTCAGTCAAATCTAGATAAACTACTTGTTGACTCAATCCATTATCCAGGTGTAATATGCATCTTTGTACAGTAAAATTAGAGGACGCGTGAGCCCAAGCTGAGGCATTTACGGGTTAGTCGAAAAGCCGGCATCGAAAGAGCCGTTACCAAGTTAGCTCCGCTTGCCGAACACTTCAGACGGTCAAGAGGTTTTGATAATAGAGAGATCGGCACTTTCGCTCAAACCCTGGACTGGCATACGAGCAACTTCGAGTTATTGCAAGTTGGCCGAGGCAGCTGCCTGACAAGCGTTGGACTCAAGGACCCGCGACACATTAGGAGGCTGATTCATGCAAACGTCCGCTCAAGCCCGCCATGATGCGCGTGGCGTGCGCGTAATAACCATCTCAGCAAGGATAGTGCCATGATGCACCATGACAGATGGAAACGTCTATAAAGTAATACCGCGCATCCGTTCATGTAGATAACGTCAGTGCGCTTCAAAAGAATTGATGCTACGTAGCGTAGTAGGAGGGCCCCGGGTGCTTCTATGGTAGTTTATTTGCAAGACATTGGTGCAGAGCTCTCGGTGAAGCGCGTCCGTGCTCATTGCGCGTGAATGATCAGCATGGAAGCAAACTTTGGCCCGTAGCGCGGTGCATATAGCAATTACGACGGTCACTCGCGATACGTACTCAATGTGTGAAGTGAGAGCTCATGGTCAAGTTGAAATCCGTATGCCCTGAAGACTGAGACCGCGGAGAGACTGGCCGAAGTCGGAGTTGCTTGAGCTTGCACAGCTCATGCAACAGCTTGCAGAACGAAATTCACAATAAGACTGCAAAACGCCATAGGGAAGCTCAGTGCCCATGCATGCACATGACATATGTATCGCATTGCTACGCGGGAATTGTGCTACTGCCTGGCCAATGGATCTTGTTGTAGCAATTGAAGCATGTTCCCCAGGGGTCGCGGCGGTAGGAGAATGGTCAATATGAGGGTATATGCAGACTCGGAACACTCAGCCGACGTCAATACACATTTCACCATCCAGATCCATCGCGTCAACAAGGGCCGTCACTGATCCGCAAGGCTCTTTCCTTGCAAACCATTTGATGTTCATGCTGATCTCTGGTCTGACTTCTCTCAGTAATTTCGACCCATATCGACTTTCGTGCCGACCCATATCGACTTACGTGCCCATGTTGTTGGCCCCAAATTTTGTCTATGTATGTACAACGTGATCAAGTACCTGCTTCTAAGACGCACCTAATCAGAATGGAGCTTTGCAAAGAGGGGCTGAAGATCGCTGTACGGATTCTGCTTGTCGTTGACAACTTCAAAGGTGACGTTGTCCGGACTCAGCCCCTCTAAACAGCCAACCGCAACTGCCGCCACATCCGCTCGGCTGACCATGCCCAGAGTTTTGTCGCCCTGCGAGGACCTCTGAAACCGTCAGCTTCCAGGATTCGAACGTGGTGTTTTCAACAGCCCTAATCAGATGTGACGACTCTTGACCAGCGAGCCTCTTCTGAAAGACCTTCAACAAAGACGATTGCCGCACCAAAATGCTGCGAATCTAAACGTGTTGCGAAAAATCTGGTGTGCTTCTTGATGAAAATGGACGGACTGTTTTGTTCGAAGGATAGGTGTACAAACAAAGAAAGGCGGGCGCCCCTCTAAGCCGACGCAGGACCAAACTCACACGATGTTATCTGGACAAGAGCGGGTCATATAGGGACGGGGCTATCGCCATTCTCGTATCATTACTCGAGCCGCAGAGTATTGTGGACCCAAGGTCGTTGAGGAGGCAATCCAGCAGATAAAAATCTACGCTGCACCCCTCAAGTTAGACAAAGCACGGCGGAAGAGATGCCCAGCGAAGTCAGGACCGAGGAGCAGCCCAAACAGCGCAACGAGATTCTAGGAATTGAAGCAAACTCCAGTTATGATTTCGAGACGCGAACTGCCAATTGTACCCCCGTATAGACACTCGAGGCCTCTGAGTCGCCGATAACTGATGCGAAGGACGTCAAAAAGCGGTTTCCAGTGGCTAGGTACGTGAACGCGTACGCAAGCCACGTTGAAAAGAAAGGGCAATGCATAGCTTCTGCCGTTACCTGGTCCATTATAATGCCGGCCTTGGCGCCCTCGTTGTCATTCAGCCCCCCTGGCCGAATGACGTAGTAGCCTAAGCCGTCCCGGCCATAGGTTTTCCGCAGGTAATTCTCCCCCTGCAAAAGCCAGTTGCTCCGGCGCTTAGAAGCCCGTCCTCCACCCCGTCTTTGTTTCCGGTGCACGTGGTGGTTCGTACGACCTTACGTGACCGTCAGTGTGCATGGTTCTAATGACTTTGCGTAAATCTAAATGTGCAGAGTTGAAGCGCTCGTCTAGCATCGGATGACGACTCGCTCATGCACAAGAAGACCCAGAGTTCTCAGCAGTTCCAGACTTCACGGACGGGATCTCGGTGAACCCCTTTTTAAGTGGCATAGTTGGTAACAATCAGATGTTCCCTCCCTACAAAGACGAAGAGGATCGCTTCTTTCACGCTCACCAGGAGCTTCCAGTGCAGCACCCGCCCCGCCATTGTGTTGAGCAGGATGTGGATGAAGGAGAAGGGGCGTGTGACTGCCGCCGAAGAGATGAGCACAAAGCGAGGAACGCGTGCCGCAGCAGCTGCCGAGACCAAGTGCGTGACGCCCTGCGACCAAGAAGTCTCGGTCTTTCATAAGCGTTTCAGGGTTTGTGGCACGTCGGGAGTGGCACCAGTTCAGGAAGGGCGTGTAGATATTGCGGAGTTTTTGTGTCATGGCAACGGCTGAGACCATGGGCGTGACGGCCGGCCTACGATTGGATGCTTAGGGTGTCAGCGGTTGAGGCGTTGGCCTGGGCTACAAGTAAATGTAAAAAGGGGACAGGATTCGCCTCAGCAGGCAACCTTACTGACCCTGCTGATGCTCATTCTGCGGTAGGGAGGATGACGTAGCTTTGGCAGACCGACCTATCGATGAAATGAGCACATGGGTGGACGGACGTCCATCGTTTCCGGTGCCAAAAGGAAAATGCAACGAACAAGTCTTAAGCTTCTCATTGAGAGCACGGGCCCAGGAAAAACTCGGGATTGAAACAACCTCGCTGCCGTGATCCAGCGGTTGCAGCCACCATACCTTCATCTGCAAGCACGTGAACCCCTCCCAGATGACGCAAGACCTCTCTCATCAGCAGAAAGTGGGAGTTGCCCTTATCGGAGTCAACGACCTGCCGCGCCCCATAGCTCATGAATTGAACGGGTGAAAGCGACGAACGGTATGAGAATACTCGTAAGTTCGAAACTTCTGCAATGGAAAGCTCCGAAGGAACACTATGACGGAGAAGAAATGCCGTCTACCTCGAAGTCGACCTTCCTGGGCGTCTGCTGGTCCAAGCCGAACAGGGGCAGCCGCCAACCCTGCCTCGCGCCTACTGCGCACACGACCGCGTCTTTGCCAGCGCAAGCGGACTGTAGGGCATCCGGATTTGTGACATCACCCGTCACGAACTTGACCTGTACCATCGTAGAAAGCACAGCCTCAATGGAAATTTTCTAAAACTCGTGAAACAAATGCTCGAAGGTCGATATCCTAATGAGATACTCGGAGAAAGTCTGCCGAAAATGATAAGGCGTACCTACCTTTTATCACACGCGTGTACAAGGAATTGCAAATGCAAAGCCACCACAAGAATGAAGATTCCTATCTTTAAAGGATATATGGATCGGTTCTCAATAAGCTCAGATACCCCGAACAATCTGGTCCTATCTGCGCTTAGAGATATGGCGACCATGGGGACAATTGAAGACCGACCGAAGCAGGTGGAGCTAAAGACTGAACCTACAGGAGTCCCGGAAGGGGAGCACAGGGGAAGCCAAGCACGATTCCCTTGACCAACACGGCATTCATAGCAACTAAACCCGCCAGCTGTATGGGATTTCCGCTCAAGAAGGGGGCTACGAGCGACATAGCAACTTATGAGCCCCCTTGAAGAGTGCACTCTTATTGTTCTCCGGTTGAACAAGCAAGCTAGAGGAGGTGGCTTAATGAAACCAATTGGGCCAGCAGGGGCATGCCCGTAGGCCAAGAGAACCGACATAGCACGGTCCTTGAGGTCTGAGGCTGTGCAGATGTTGTAGAAGGGCTGCAGGCGCGAATGCTGCTGGGAAGGGGCACTCCCGAAGGCGAGCATGGAAGCACGGGATCCAACATCCTCAGGAGTGCGCAAACATTTGCCAATGAGCCTCACCCGACTTGCTTCAGGACCGATTGCCGCGGCCGTCTTTTCTTCGTTGCGGACGAGCGCGTACACTTCAAACTTTGGCTTGGCGGACAGCAACGCCTTGGTGACCTGGAGGTATCAAAGGTTATGTATACCGAATGCAAAGGTGGCAGTGAGTCAGTCAGTATCCTTGTCAGCATGCAAGTGTGGGGATACTTAGGATTCTCAGCTTCAAGCACAACTGTCTTGTTGATATAACCCCCATCTCCTAAACCAGGTTCTCAGTCAAAAAGAAAGAGGTCCTGACCGCTGACAGATGAAGCCTGGGTCACATCTACTGGTTTCTCTCAAACCCTATGCTGCCTTATACCCTCAAGCTGGTGCTTCAATCAACTTCCTCGCATCATTCTTCACCACCTCTCTGCTCAAAATTAGCTTCTGGACTTCTGTCGGTGGAAGCTAACAGCAGCAACAAACTTACACCCTTTGTGCGCTTTCTCATCAACATGAGCTTCCCATGAGTCCGCATGAGTTCCTGACATCCACAGCAGTGATTCAAATGGAGCACATCCTGCATCAGCAGCCTACCTGCAACCCGACCCCGCTGCTGCTTCCCACCACCAGCACCTTCCTCGGTACTTCCAACTGCGCCTGCATCTGCATGGTTCAAATTAGGGATATAATATAGCCCCACAACGCTTTCCTTTGATTGCAATCCCCGGGTTCGCTGGTTCAATCTCCTGACAACCGTGCTGCCAACTGTAGGATGACTCACTTCTGGCAGCTCGGAAGCTCGCCCTGTCTCTGCAAGCGCTGCATGCAGCAGCAGGCTTCAGCAACAGTCTGTGTGAGCGACTGGAGTCCGCCTATCTTGAAGGGATTGAGTTTTGTACCTCTACGAAAGCGCCACCAGCATGTATGCAGCATTGCATTGCCCTCAGCACCTACCTAGTACTTAGCGTTCATCTTCCGAGTCAATACAGATCTTGAAAATTAGCGTGAGAATGAATCTGGTGTACGGCGCCCCTCTACTCGGATGTCACTTGCCGTGCCGGTTTGCCCAACCGTGTCGGGAAGATCGGTTTTCAGGGTCAGATGGTCTCCCTTGCACCTACCGTTTCTTGCCGCAGGCACAGTGCTTGGTGGAATTGGCTACAGCCTATTTAAAGGGCGGCGCCGCGCACTGGCGGGCCGCAGCCGCCGCGGTCAGCGGCACTGCAAAGTCAGCCTGGCACTGCAAGCCAGCCTGAGGCTCCTGGCAAGGGCGGCTCCTGTCGGAGGCCGCGCGCGGGGCGCCCATCATCCTGGATTCATGACTCTGACAACTTGCAGGCCGCGTAGGCCGCATATCAATTGCTGAATCAAACTTACTGACTGATGATCAGCTATATGTGCGACAACAAATGTGAAACCATGCTGTCTTCGCTTCTCTTTAAGCTGCAATCGCGAACGCGTAAGCGAACTCCATACCGTTGATACAAAACGGGAGTGCCTTGATAGTACGTCGACCGCCCGCTGGGTGCGGCATCGCACATGTGCTCGATCGAGTTCCGGTTTTCGCTCTATAATTTGGAGGGGGCCGGGTTCATATTCGTTTTTTGCATGTTTTCCATGACCATGCCAGACCGACGAACGAGGTTGCAGCCCCGCTCTCTGAAGTCTACCGCATCCCAGTGACGTATGTCTTGTCGTATCCGAGTGCAAATCGCCCACTCGAAGTGGCCTAATGATACACCAAGAACCCTTCACGACACGAGCATTCGTCATACAAACGTACACTTGCGGCTCCTTTATCCTTGGTTCCTATACTTGGATGTATTCGGATCACATGGCTCCAAGTCCGCCACGTGTGTCTCTTTTGAAGCGATTCGCTGGCGTTTGCCACCTCAGCCCTCGAAAACACTTCGACTTTCAAAAATTGACATTAAGCCTTGCTCGTTTCTAAACCGTCACTTAGCCGTGCTTTTCTCCTGCTCACTGTGAGACTGGAAAACGCTGAACGGATTCCGCCCTTTCCGCGGCTCCTCAAGGGAGCGCTCCCGGATCCACTTCGTAGCGCTCCACTTTTCGCCCTTCAGCACGGTGCAACTGGTGTGAATGCTCTCCGGATCCGGCCGCCCGTCCGGATTCTGTACCCATGGACGAACGTGGTTTGAATCTTTGATGAGACACGAGGGCCAAGCTTCGTTGCCGCTTGATTGGCTCGTTATAGGTGGACTTTTGATCTTTCGACTTTGCAAGGCAGTTCGATAGAGATTCCTAACACTGCAGCTGTGTTGATGCCGGTCAACGAGCTGGTTCTGGTTGCAATCTAGCGAGGCCAACGAACTGAAAGCTGTCGACGAGGACCAAGGGGGTTCTCGCGGCGATTGTCCGTACGGGTCTGCGGATTTGAGAGACTGCTTTAGACCCGGGCCAAAGAAAACAGAAAAGCAGTCGGCTGCTTAATGCTTACCTTGTTCCAGAAGAACACGGCATTCCCTTTCTTCGGCGACACCGACACGCCTGACGTCCGGACTCCTCCGCACAATCCCTGCAGATACGAAACTCAACTGAGAGTCTTCTATTACATATATGATCATCTTTTGGCTTCTGGATAGCATCGATGTAGGTCTTTAGCACGTGGACCGATGGACCTGATTGCATCGTAAGCAGGGTTTTTCCGATAACGACAAAGCTTACAGTACGTATACCTGGGTGTTCCACTCAATCTGAAGATACGAACCGGCAATGAAAGTCTTTGTATATTATTACTTGGCAGTTTACAGTGTGAGTCCGAGAGCACATGCAATGGCAGGTCACATAGGTTTCGCTGCATCCGTTCGTATTCCAAACCTTGCCTCGTGCATATGCAGACCTTATCATTCTTAAGGAATCGTCTCTGGTCGATTCGCCCCTGTCAAAGTCGCTCGATCTACCGTCGTACGACCTGCCGACTCACTTCAGCAAGCTGCGAGAAAAGAAATCGGCGTGATCTAGCAACTTTCAAGTGTGGTCTGATCAGCTGGCAGCGACGCACAGGTGGGACTTACCGAAGGGGTCGGCTGTCCGGGAACATAAGCGGTTGGAAACAGGGTCTCCCCGCCTTCTTGGACGTCCGACAGGTACATGATCATGGTGGCGACTCTGCAGACGGCCGAGAGGATCTTCATGTCGCCGAAATAACTCAAGGCATTCTGTTCTCGAGAAGGGTCCATTACGGTGGACAGAAATTCAGTAGTGACGAGCTAGAGAGAGAGGAAGCAAGCAGCGGCAATTCGGTTCAGCGGCAGCGTTTGCCAAAAACTTCTCGTTGAGCGGCAATTGAAAGCGTGTAGAGCGCAAACACGTTCATCAGCCGACTTTTCTTTCAGAGACCGATGGGCACAGCTTCACTAGGACATCTGATGTATTCACAGCCCAGAAGATTGCGTCGATATGTCTGACTCTTTATAATAGCGTACATCCTCAGTGAATGTGGATACACAGGAAATCTGGGCTGCTAAGCAGGTTGATTACCAGACTTAAATCACGGGTTAATGGAGGATTGATGGGTATTTGACCTCGCTCCAAGGCTAACTATCGCCCAAGTCTGTATTTTGGACATATGACCACCTTTTACCAGCCCATATCCAATCATGTTTAACGGCTACAGATTCCTGTAGTGGATAATCTGCTGACACACCTGTTTCCTCCCGGTTGTCCGCGCATCATCTCCCCGGAGAACAGGTCGTAGTGTGTCCCATAGAATTGGCCGTTCTCGTAGCGAAGGATCTACAGAGGCAAACAGCACAGCTTCTTGATTTATTTCACAAAGACGTTAGCAATATGCAGCTGATGTGACGCGGAAATATCATTGAGACGTCTGACTTTCTGGTAAAAGCACAGCCCTTTGACTGCGGCAGTTGGAGACACCTGAAAAGCGTCACGACGCAGATCCAGCTGCCAGTCGGAGACTCGACAAGAACGGGCCAAATAGGAGACGAGTCTGCAAACCTGAAAGCGACGCACTAAGTGTTTGAATGGTCTTAATTTTACCTTTCAAAAAGAAACTGCAACAGCGATTACCAGAGAAACCGGTTACAGCTTCGTCAAGACACGTGGCCTCCAGAGATTGTACCTGCATCACCTCTCCATTCTCTGGCGGCAGGAACGTGTTCTCCGCAATGCGAGCCTGCATCCCACAGAGTCCAATGACTTGCATATGCTCAGTGAAGGAAGAACTCCATGTCCTCAACGTTTGCAAGCTGTTGCGAGTCAGCGACTCGATTGCTGGTGTCTCTACTTAACCTGGAGCCGCCCACTTCGCTTTCAAAGAACTAAAGAACGCTTTTCAAACTCCACTCTTTCAGGGCGATCTCTACGCTCTACTCAACAGAATCACCTTCTCACGCTGCCAACATTTGCACGGACGCGCGTGCACTTTCTCACCACTAGGAACACTTTCCGAGCAGGCCCGCAGTTTTCGAACACAAACCACTGTGCCAAACGCACTTGCCTCGACGGCTTGCACGATCGGATCCTGGCGGAGGGATCCCCCGAGGAACGACCCGGAGCTGGTGCGCCCGCGATCCACGGCCGAGCGCCCGTCCGGCTGCACCCTGGCGGACCGCTCTAGTTCGCCCGCGCCCAGCGCAATCAGCCGGTCGCACTCGGTGTCTGCACGTGAGAACAACCCTGGCTTGATACTTGACGGAAAGGTTGGTTAAAATGAGGACCTTCGCGTGCTTTGCTCCGTCGCAAACGAAACCGTTCTTGTTAGAGCTTGGGGTGACTGCAATCAATGTTCTGAGCACCATCTGAGCTTCTTTTCCATGTATAGACGAGAACGAAAGGAGCAGATTTTTGCGTGTCACCGTTACTGCTGACGATTTTATCAGCGCGGCTTTGCTGTTCCTTTCTGCTACACCGGCAAGCATATGGAGACTGGGCGAGAAAGAAGCGCACCGCTCTGGTTTTTCAGCCAAGGCTTTGTTTTCGGAGAGCTGGGGAAGCCAACTAAAGCCTGTTCACGGGCAAACTGAAAGATGCCCGTAAAGCAGTCTGCAAATTTCGGCAGAGGGCAGAACCTTTCTCACCGTTCAAAAAGTCGTGGATTACCGCGACGCGCGGCCGCCAGCTGACCAGCTCGATCCGCGGCCGCCTCCGTTCCGGCAGAACCGCTCCGCTCCTTGCATCCTCTGCCACGTCATCGCAGCATTCGGCGGCGTCGTAGGGGACACCCGCAGGGGGCCGTTCCTCACCCCCGGTCACTGACAAGGGCCACTGACCGTTTTGGACGTCCGCAGGTTGGGCCGTCTGGTCGTACTTTGAACCTGTCCGAGATCACAGCAGTGAATGGTTGGTTCGCGAGTATGACGTTCTGGCCTCGAGCAACTTTCGTTGCCAACAAGCTTGTTAACATGTCGATCGCCAGATTGTCTGTCTGAAGATTTCGATTTGATTGCTTGGTGCTCAATTATGGCCTTTCCAGCTTTGAGAAGCTTTCGTTGCTGATCCTTTTCACATATCGAAAGACGAAGCTGCACGTTCTGATCTGATTGCTCCAGCCAATTATGAAGTCTTTACGCGAGGATTCCCGAACATTTAGACCAATGAAATCCAAGAGATTGCAGATTTTGATGCTGGTCTCTTCTAAACGCGGTTCCATTCTGGTCCTGTATTTGAACTTGCAGTTCTAGAAGTTGAGCAAAGTCGTGGAAAGACTGGGAGTCAAGTCTGCCCGCCCGTTTCAGCCGCACAGCTTTCTCAATCCCGCTCAAGTTGGACTATTTCGCTCCTGCAAGAGATCTGGTATTTGAAAGCGGGGTTATGCGAGTTGAGAAAATTCAAAGCGATTCGACTATCACCTCTGCCCGCCTTTTTCGGTTGTGCAGCATCTTTCCCGCCGCTCGCGTCCAGCTCGGGGGGGGCGATCTCCACCTCCCCTCTTGTGGGCACCTCGTTTTCACTTTCAAACGGCCGTTTGGCTGGAATGAAGCTGCCGACCTCCGATGACTGCAGAGAAGATGAGCATATTTCCAAGAGGACTCCAGTGTAGTTCATTCCTCGCGCGTCATATTTCTCATAAGCCGTGCTTAGATGGTGTTCTGGCCGGTCACACACCGAAGGATTCAGATTGGAACCCGCATAAGCGACAAACTTATTAGTCGAAAAAGCCAACAGAATTACTTAAACCAATCAAGCTTTCCCTATTTCCAGGTTGCAAAAGGGCGAAGTGCGCCTCGTAAAAGGGGTACTCTATCTGCGCAAAATGGAGAAGTGGAACGAGCGGGTTCCGAAGCTGAATGCTTGCGATAAGAAGGGGCTTGGGCGTCATACCTGGCCGGATTCCTTCTGCAAGGGAAACTTGAATGGCTCGGTAGACCACTTTGAAACGGACGCCCACCGGTCGGCGACTGTTTGCCCGATCGACGCACTGGCGTCGTGGCCCCCACCGGGGCCGAGAACTAGAACAACCACTGCAGTGAAAGACGAGGATTTGATGCTCCTACTGCGGAATTCAACCATCTTATCCCTCTCGACTTTCCTGTGCTTGCCAGATCACACGTCGTACCATGGAAGCCACACATGCAGAGGGAACGTGGTGACAGAAGGTCACTTTCCAGACTTGTTGACGCGATCAACCTTCAAATTTCAAGGAACGCTTGCTGCCTTCCTGCCGGTGTGAGCGTACAAAGGCAGCCCATCCAGTGGTGAATTGTTTGGGACGGAGAAGTAAAATTTGCGCTGCCCAAGGAGGCCTTCTAAAGTCTCGTTCTTCAAAGTTACTACGCGCGTGACCTCAGAGCCTCCCAGTCTTCGTACCGGGACGCAAGCTGCACCAGTCTTCCAACGGTCACCTCGTACTGCGGCTTTGATTAGGAGCGTCTTTTACTCCTAACCTCGTAAAAGACAGCCTTAACTTTGCTGCAACTAGAAGAAAAGAAGTTGCCCCTTCCAGAAGACTGAAATCCCGAGACCAAATTAGACGAGATTGAATAGAGAACCTTGCCCGGAGAAATAGGGTCAAAGCCGTACCTGTCATGAGCCACGTGCATGCAACTAGAAGCGCGACGACAGCAGTCACGCTCGTCCGCCCGGACGCAGGGCCTCTGCTCCGTCCGAACAGTCCGCTGGCTGCGCGGCTTCTCATGGCGCCAGGGCACATTCACCTCTTCAATTCGAGATTCAGAGAAGGCTAGGTGAGAAATGCTGGCCCAGTATCGGGTTGAAAAGCTGAAATCCGGTCCCCTATGTATTCTTGATTGCGACCAGAGAAGCTGTTTTCAGAAGTGCCTCCGGTTTGCTAAGATGGGTTGCTCAAGAAGCTAACCAAAAAGATCGCACGTACCTAGTGGGTTTCCGTAGAAGCCGTTCAAGATGCTGGCAGACTGCCTCAGTGGTGCCGTTTCTGACCGAGCATGCACAGCGCAGAAGCTTCGCATAGAACGCTCTTCTCCGGAGAGTCCGTCTCTCTTCGGGCGATGTGCATAAGAGGTGTCCTGGCCGAAAGAACACTGCTGCTGCAATGACCCCGTCAAAGGCGCTCTTCGAAGCACGGTCGACCCAGATTTGGGTCGCCCATTCGTCAGTTTCTCACACCCAGATCTGACGCACGCCTTTCGCGCGACTTTCCGAATGCTTTAATGCTTTCGAATGCTTTCAGCATTTGCCAAGGGTGTCAATCGGTCCCACGACGAAATCTGCACATTGGCGACCCGACACCCTCGCTTGAAGTCGGACGAGGTTGCGTCAGTCGCTCATCCAAGAAAGGCGGTCCATTCAAAAAACAAATTCGAGGCCAATTATGTATGCTTCGTCACTGGGGGAAAGTACGCCAGCTTGTTTATGACTGCAGAGACGTTTAAGATTGCGTAGATCGTCGGATTTTGATGAGTCGGCACAAGCCTGGCTGCTTGCAGCAGGTCGACAGGTCCTTTTAGAGCTGTCTCAAGTGGCAGCATGTGGACGCGTACTGACGTACGAAGGTTTTTAGAGTCCTGTCTGACCCGCATTGACGTTCGCGATTCCTCGATTCGATACTCAAGAGTGATGCAGCTTTGGACAATACAGAAGAACAAGACCATTTGTTGCAGCAATAAGATTAGACTCGGGTTCTATTTTTAGTAACTCTCGCACTGCAAAGAAGGTGAGCAGTGAAGAAATAAGCAGACACTGGAAGCCGCAAATAGATGACAGTAGTCACAAGGTAAGCCCAAGATCGCCCAGCAGAGATCGCACAAATCGCACCGGCCTGATTATGATGCTGCATTACAAAGTACTACGTCCCTAAGGCTGATCAAAAATACATGTTAGGGACGAAACTCAGACAAGTTGGGTGAACGTTTTTTTGTCGACCGGTGCACTGAAAAATAACAATTTTACTTTTTTGAGATATTTAAAACGTGAAATGGCCAAGATGAGCGCTTGGACGTTCACTGAAAAGACGAGATCAGCACAACGACTGTTGATATCATGGCCCACAGAAGTGCTTTTCGGTGATTCCCTTGTTTGTGCGCACACGTGACGCTCCGGGAAGACTAACTACCATGTACGTGTTGCCCATAAATCGTGGATCCTATGCCAGGCTTGGACACGGAACACTTCTCGCACGGAAGCGTAGTACAAACGTCCGGCCTGAAGCGACGTCATCAGCATACAATATCTCCTGCCAGTGGGAGGTACTCTGCCAAGATTCCTGCATCTATTTCTGAAAGCATAAACTAAAAGCGGCAAGTCTAACTAAATAGCTGGGGGGGTTCGGGGGGGCGGCAGCCCCCCCGTTTTTTAGAGGAACAAGTTCGGTCTGATGGACCCTCAGACTGCCCAGCGACCTAACAACTTTTATGCAGTATGTACGTAACCTGCCCATGCGAAAAAACATACGCGAAATGAGCGATACTGAAGGCCGCCCAAAAGAATGGTTTTGCCCGGGCTCGAACCGGGGACCTTTCGCGGGCTCTGCAGACGCCGAGGTGACGTTATTTGTGAGGCGAACGTGATAACCAACTACACCACAAAACCGGGGGTGTTGCGGTTGGGCGCAATTAAGATTATGTACACATAGTATTGCTGAAGTTCTATGTATCGGGGGGGCGAACGCCCCCGCTTTCGTTATGTACGTTGTGGACGCACCTACGCACCGCTAGAGCTCGCGATCACATTCATCTTCAGTACACAATCGGGGGGGTGTGACCCCCCCCCCCGAATCTCCTCGCTTCTCCTCTCAATTGAATTTCCGGTAGCATTCACCGCCCATACGTCTACCAGTCAGAACAAGGGGTTGCCGGCACTCCCCGGGCCGGAGCTCCGGCCCCCCCGGCCCGCTGAGCGGCTCTCGCCTGTCAATGTCATGAGTTGGAACCAAATTGGCATTCAAGGCGTGAGCTCGCTGGGTCGCTGGAGCTATGGCGGATCCAGAGCGTGGCGGTCGGGTCGAGACCCCGTCTCCCTCCAGCTTGACAATCCCTTTGCTGGAGGACGAAGCTGCCAAGGGCCCAAAAGCTCCTGATGGAGGGATCTCGTGGCTGTCCGTCTTCAATCTCGCAAATGCAGCGATTGGGGCGGGTGTCCTTGCATTCCCCTATGCCTTCAGGTGAGAATGTCAGCTGACAGCTGGCAGACAGCTGTTTGTGCTGCTGCAACCTGTACACAGCTGCTTGATCAGATGGGTATTTTGACGCTCTGAACCTGATTCAGAGACCTGAGCCAAGTGTGCTGATCGTGAGACATTGACTGCCTGATCGCTGGTTACTTGAACAAATATAAGCGTGAAATTGATGGTCAATTCTCCATTCTGCTTTCTGATCGGCTCGAACAAAGCCCTTCTGAGGCGGCGCACTGCTGGTAGAATAGGACCTGAGCATGCTCTGCTTTTAATCACCAGTCGATCGCTCTCAAGGCTGAAGTGATCTTAATTCATGTGAGCTGACAAGCTAGACTCCAGCTGTAATATTTCAAATGGGCACAAAGACAGCTGTCATAGCTTTGCAATGTGCGTAGCATTACACGTGCTTCACATGAGAGTCCGTAAGAATGTACGGTTGAATGGTTGATGGTTGATCACGGCACGCCAGCTGTCAATCAAATGTGCTAGCCCACTCGCTTGGGCAGTGACGATGGCTCGCAGCATTGCTACTTGATAATGAGACAAGAGAACACGTCATGGGCTGCCAATCATTGAAACACCGTTCTGCCCATCTACAGATTCTCACATCTTGCCCTGGCCGTCGGAGATAGTGCATTGCCCATTTAGGGAGTTGGAGCCCTGCCCTTGAGCTAGATTAAACGCCCACCTGGGCCACCTTCTAACTTTTAATGCTTTTGCCTCACTTAGTGTTGAGGGTCAAAGATTGAACCCAAAATAGAAGATATCCAGCTCCGCTGTACCCAATGGTCAACTCCCAGACCCGAAACCCAGCCCTGTGGGGTCTTCGATCGCACAGTTTGTGAACCTTCTGAAACCAAGCCTTGAGGACATCACCACAGTGACTGTGCAAATGAGTCTCCCCGTCCAATCCACTTCTCACCTGATAAAGTAGATTACATTGGCTTCCTGCAGGGAAGCAGGCGTTTTTGGGGGCCTTGCCGCCACATTCATCATTGCTATCATCGAGATTTCCGCACTGTGTGTCCTCACACGATCGGCGCAGCGCTTTTCTGCCCCTAGCTACCAAGTGAGTGACTGAGCATTTCTACATACATCTACTTCTTAGGATTGTACTTGCGTAAAAATGGTCCAATCACCTGTCCAAGGAAAGCATCTGATCAAGCCAGCATACAAATCTTGTCAAAGCATGCTAACTTAGGAACTGCTTACACAGAGCGTTCATACAACGTGCTTGTAATACCCGAGCAGCCTCTTGAGCTCGTGACAACACAAGCGATTGGAGAAAGCTTGCAGCAGCTGACAAGAAGTGGCTGTCGGTGCAGCTTGGCCTGGGTTGCAGTTGGCTTACCCAACCTCAGGACAGAGGGGCACAACTGCTCGCCGCTGATATTGGTCGAGTGGGCTAAGGTCTTAGCATGCACCAAGGTGACAGGGGTAGACATTTTGAAAGCAGAAACGGAGCATAAAAGATCCAATCTGAGAGTCCTCTTTTCCTTGCCAACAGGAACTCGTGTACACTGCGCTTGGTCAGCGCGTCTCCAACCTAGTGTCGTCCTTCATGTGGATCTACCTCTTTGGCAGCTGCGTCGCTTATCTGATCATCATTGGTAAGCCGAAACAGATTTGGGACGGCTGATGCTCCTTGTGCCCGCTTCTTCCTTCCGAGAGTGTTTCAACAAAAGTCGTCAAAGTGGGTTCACGCGGGCACCAGGTTCTCAGTGAGAATTGTGTCAGTCAGGAGGAGTTGCGACATTTGTAAAGGTCTAAGGGCGGACAAACCGGGCTATATCTCACAGAATTCTGCTCAACGTTCAGATGCCAACAACATGCCAGAATATATTTGTCTTTTTAAAGTGAACAAATCATCAACTGCCTGTCAACCGCATCTCAAGCATCCCAGACATTTCCTAACCATGCATCTTCTCACATTTTGCAGGCGATGTTTTCCAGCCCGCAGCGCAAACCCTCTTTGGCGCCTCCCACTTCCTCGCGCAGCGCTGGGTGGTCCTCTCGCTCTTTGCGGTCCTTGTGGTTCTGCCCCTCTGCCTCAAGCGCACTCTCCGCTCACTGGGAGTCGTCAGCTCGATCGCTCCGACGACGCTCATCTACCTAGCGATTGCAATCCTGTTGTACGGGGCGCGGCGGGTGGTTGTGACGGGCGGAATACCAGATGACGTAAGCATTCCGAGTCCTCACGTCCTTCGAGAATTCTTGCTGATCTGGGACCGTCGGGCTTGTTGCATTGTCAGCTTCTGGTGTCGCTGACGTCAGTTGTACGGAGAAGCGGCATGGATGCCCGGTCGAGGGCCGCAAAACCGTCCGAATGGCTGCTGGGCTTGTGTGACCAACGATATGAAGATTGCTGCTGTCGCCTAAGAGCAAAGTAATCTTACGAAGACTAATCGAGAAGCCAGGGGTTGCTGTTTAGATCAACGATGTTCAGACCGGCGGCCTGTTTCGATGTAACCTATACAAGTTCTCAGGCAAAGCGCCGCTGGAACCGCTGCCTTTCTTCTGTGCATGTGGCTGAAGCAAAGAAATTTGGATCTTCATCCTCCAACTCCTCGAAAAGTCATCGTCCCCAATGGGAGAACGTCGAGCAAAGCAACCGATCGACGGTGGAGTTCGTCTCTTTCATGCTATCTTCCAAACTTGGAATAACAGACTGGTTGATTGGCGTATGCAGGTGGTGCTCTTTGGAACATTTACCGGGTACTGCAAGGCCGCCCCTATCGTAGTCTTCGCTTTCCAGTGCCACATACAGGTGAGCAGCAATCCGGTTATACTTTCAAAGCCAGCACTGTTACCCTGCAAGGATCTTTGACTGCTACGCCGTCGTTGAAGTTTTCTTTCAACGGTAGCTTTCAACGTACCCTTTCTACACGGTTACACTCAGAACTCCAGCTCTCATACATAGCCGACTTTGTCCCCGCACGCATTTGTCAGGCAATCACGTGACCGATTGTGACTTTCTGAGCAGAACAGGAAGCTGAATTTTAGTACCATCAGGCAGTAGCCTCCTTCATGCTCTGTCTCGATGCACAATCTTGTCATGTGTCGTGAGCTTCCGTTTTCAGGAGCTATCAAAAAATAAAGAAAAGGTTTCCATAATTTCGTTGTTTGCCTTACAATGATCACGACAGTCCTGCATAAAGAAGTAAACCACTTATGAGTTTCCTGGCCCGTCGAGTACCCATCCATTTTGAGCAAACTTGGATTCAATCTCAATAAGTCGGCTTCTCAATGACAAGCAGTACCCTCTCATTCAACAAAGTACACCTCTTCCCGCAGTGCATGCCCATCTTCTCGGAGCTCGTCCACCATTACACGAAAGGTGTGAACCCACTCGACGCGGAAAAGTGGTCCGTCGTGCGCCGTCAGATCATCGTCTCCATGGATAAGGTCATCCTCCTGGCCCTAGGCACGTGCCTCGTCGGCTACAGCCTGGTGAGGTTTCTTCCATGACGGACCTTTTCAGGAATGACGGGAGCCAGGAATAATAAGCCCCAGCTAACACTGAAACCTTGACCCAAATTACTTGCCCCGCACCCGTACCCACCCTCACCCCAAATAAACTCCACCCGATTCAGGCTGGCTAGCTTGATATTCCTGCCGCTAATTGATCTGAGTTTAACCGAGCTGTTTATTCCGGACGCTTCTGGGGTTTTCGAAACATGTGCTTCAAAACGGCGCGTTGGCTACAGCTTGTTGAGCTCTATCCGGACGCTTCGGGGTCTTCGTATTGATAGGTTATATCGAGGCGTCCCGCATTGTTGCAGTCCATGGCTAGAAAATAGTCAATGAGGGGCCTTCATCTCGACAGTTGATCCTTTCTGACCGCCTCTAAAGATGTTCCCACGTCTTACGAACCCGCAGTGTCAAGCGACTGCCTTTGAACTTCTTTGATTTAGCGCCTAGTTGAATCTTGTGGTTGAACCCTGATACTCGAGGACTCCACGCCTTTACTCGGACGTCAAGTGGTTGACGTCAGTTTCAGATCTGACGTCAGCATGCGAAAGGTTGCAGGTTGGCGCGTTCGGCTACATCGCGATCCCGGACGTCCAAAGTGACGTCCTCAGCAGTTTCGGCGAGGACAATCTGGTCATGTACGTGGCGCGCGTCGGCATGGGCCTGGTGAGCAGCGGTTGCTCGCCTCTTGATCTCGTTTAGCTAAGTTACTATTGTATGGTTGTGTGTATGAGTGCGCTCCTTCTGATGTCTACTCGTTTGCCGTCTACTTCGGAGTAAGTCGGTATGCATTCCCTCCTGTCTATCCATACATCATCGACATTTTGCTTGGGTTGCCATATGCTCTTCATCAGCTGGTCGTTTATTTCGCTCTCGGACTCCTCGCAATTCGCAGTGCCTTCCTTTTCTACCCTCGGCTTGTCAACTACTGTGCTTCCAACCTGATTCTCGGAGTTTTCCTTAAATTTACAGGAGCCCTTATTGGACCTGACCAACCATGTTATATCGTTCTCTTCTTACGTCTTCATCTTTTGTCCGCCAGGTGGCGATCGTTTCGTACCCGATCAACCACTTCCCGGCGCGTCTCATCGAGATGTCCGTCCTCAACTTCTTCTGGCCCCTCCCAAACCCTTACGATCCCAAAAGATACATGCTGCGGTTCAACATCCTGACAGTTGCTTACGTGGCGGTGACGTTAGCAGTCGCCATCGCCGTGCAAGATCTGGGTCAGGTATACATGGTCATCGGGTCAACCGGTGGCGTTCTGGTCATTTTCATAATGCCGGGGATTTTGCTTCTGGATGCCGCGGGGATGCTTCCGAGCCGACGACGGACGCTGGTGTCAAGGCCCTGGGTTACCTCAGAGGCGGAGGGATCTGACACCACAGAAAGAGCGAAACCGGAGGTGGAATCCGGGCAGTCAAGCAGGCGGGTTAGCGAGTCCGGTATACTCGTAGTCGAGGGTCGGTCAGAGTATGAGGAAGCGAGTGCGAGAGGCGAGGGATCCCCCTCCATACAAACGATCCCGTCCCCTCATTTCACCAGCATCCCGCATGTGGGTCAGAGGCCATCGGAAGAGTCGGATGAAGCCGAGTCCGACTATACGTATCTCGGGAAGTCGCAGCGGAGTCTGGCCGCGCTATGGGCGTTCCTCATGATTTTCATGGGGGGCCTTATCTTCGGCGTGACCGTATGGATAGTCGTAGTCAAACGAGGTGGGATGGCAAGCTTTTGACAGGTAGAACAGCTCAACTTGACACATGCTCGCGCCTTAAGTTGGGCGGTATGCGATCGCTCAGACTCTTACGGACTTGATCTGAGACTTTGTGCAATTCACCATTGAATCAGAAGCAACATAATTTACAACATCCCGGCAGCTGGCTGCCAGGGTTGCCCTCGTGTTTCAGCTTGGCGACCATGTGAGCCGCTAGCTGTTAAATGTTCATTGCCGCTGGCTGGCCTGGTAGACGGGTATATGCTACGCATAATTAACTGCAGCCTGTAGTAGGTATTTTCAAGCCATTGCGATAAAAGGTCCCGTTGGCCACGCTCCCCTTGCATAGTGGCAAGTGCGTGCTGTGCGCAGTAAATGACATGGCGCATGTGTGCATGTCGACTATTTTCGCGCCCGGAGCCGCTGCATCAGAGCGCCTATCTATACAGTTACCCCTGCCAGGCCAGCCCTCGCCCAGCCAAGCTAGATTTTTTGCGGAATCTGGTACAGTCGGAGACGATCAATTAGAAATACTAGGCAACGAAAAATTGTTTGTCCAAGGGGAATGGATTTGTGCAAGCGAGAGGACCTACTTGCCTTACAGATCCTCATGCTCCACATTTCAATGCAGCAACGGAATCCGTGACTGGCATACGTCAACCAACACGTACTATGCACCCCTATAGATTCTTCTTCCACCACGTACTGTGCACCCCCAGCCTCTTCTTACCACCGCGTTCTCAACTTAAACCCCATGGCTTCAAATTTTATCACAATATACACCGAGAACTGGCGAAGCACCGGGCCGCCCATGCGCGTGAAGGGGCCTCTTTATTTCCAAAGGTACAAACCCTTTCTGCCAATGATCACATCGAATCGACGGGTCTTGCAAGGCCCCCGGCCTGCATCTGCCTGGAACCGAGTAGCTGATTCTAAAGAACCCTCTGACATTTAGGGCCCGTTTCAGTATCACTAAGCCAGCGTTCATGCGAAGTTGCAGGCAGCGGACGCCCCAGAGGCGCAGCCCGCGTTCTTGATCGTGATTGGGAAAACGTTGGTCCCTTCCACGAAGCTCAGAAGACGGCGCAGGGTGGCGACGTGTCCCACCCTCTCTGTGGGGCTGTCGGGGTTGGTTCCGAAGCGGCTGCGCGCGCAGTCGGGCGCCAGCAGAGATGACGTGCGGTACTCGTCGTCGGATCCTTCGACCTGGGAAACAGATGGACGGCCACGATTTGCAGAGTCGCACAGGAAGTTTTGGCTGCTAACCAGGCTGTTTTATCAGACTTGACTCTCAGGTTATTGGACACGTAACCAGTCTTCAACCGTTGATTTAAGCCTGGTGACCGCCCAAGTCTGGTCGATTGACAGTTAACCTCTTCTTAACAAGCCCATAACCATCCGTGGTCAAGGACCCAAAATCCCTGTGTGGTAGAGGGGAGGGGATAGACGATTTCAAGAGCGGGGCAAACGGACGGGTGAGAGCAACATTCAAAGTGACGCTTCGGAGTGCGGCAATGGACGGACTGTATCAGACCAAGTACTGTAGTGAGGTACGAGTAAGAGACGAAGAGAAGAATATCGGCTGTCTGTGGGATCTACAGTCGCCCGCTCTGAACCTCTGAACCAACCATCTTTCCATGCTGTTTGGCGCGGGATATCTGAGCAGCATGCTTAAATGGTCATCAGGATTGAATTGGCCACAGAGAGATCGACAGGATCCTATTAGAGACGGCCGTTATGTGCTTTCCGCCACAGGCAAGCTTGATGCTGATAGGTAGTTCAAGAAAAATGCGATCAACCGCTTTGCTTTGCAGCTTTCACACAACGGCGGACCTGATCTTGCGGCATGACTTAAACTGAGCAATAGTCGGAGTATGCTTCGGTCCAATCTAAATTCGAACGGCACAAAAAGCGGAGCTGGCGAATGGGGGCGAGGAACTCACGACTTCAGCGGCCTGCATTTGGGGGCCGTTCACCTTCATAGCGGCAGCGATGACGTCGGCCCGGGAAGGCTGCAGAGGCGCAGAAGTACAGTCTTTCAGGTCAAAACTGTGCAAATTGTGAATAAGGGGCCAAGCTGGAGAACGTCAGCGTTTGGATGCAGCTTGCGGTGGGCGCCTCATGGAAATACTGGCACTCTAAAATATACCAACAGGAGATTGCGTTGAAGTACATCAGCCCCGGGCACTAGCTAAAAGTCCTAACCCAAAAACTGACGCGCTCCGCACCCACACACACCCTAACCCCCCAACCAACCCACCCGTCCTCCGGATGATTATCGCAATGCAATGCGCCGTTGATGCAACTCGACAGTTACCAGGATTTGTTGGAAAGCCAAGCTGCGCACCGTCATCAGCGGGTGATCATTGCCAAGGAGGGATATTCCCGGACTCGGATATCTCTGAGGGCCAAGAGCGAAAACCCTCACAGGAAAAAATGGCGCGAATTTTTGGAATCCTGGTTTATGCCTTTCTCGGTCCGATTGAAAGCTGCGAAGCTTTCTTAGCCTTCGTACGGGATCGAACGCGCGGGCTAGCTGACCTGCTTGATCAGCGCTGGCATCCGTTTCTGTCCCGTTACAGCAGGATACCTGAAAGGGTGCTAACCGGAGTCTCCGTACATCCTACATTCAGAACTTCCATTCGGAGCATTCCTTTGCATAGATTGGGTTCCAACGACGCCCCGCCCTTACCTGGAATGTCTGGCCCAGAACGCCGTGCACCTCCGAGGTTGCGTGGATCCAGTTGATGGCCCAGTCGAGGTGCTTGCCTGCGCAGATGGACTCTTCTGCCGTGAGGTTCGTTTGTCCCCTTTCTTACAAGCTTTGGTACTAGCGATTCTACTAGATATGCATCATCAGGGGCTGTTCACTTGGGCCCTTTTTGCATGGTTGGTCAAATTGAGCAAGAGGCCGTTGTCTCGGATCTGCCATCAAGGTTGCGCTGGTGCCCACTCACACTGGGACACTGTGTGCTTATATTCTCTTATAAGCTTCTGGCTGCGGACGTATTGGGGGCCCTGCCTTTGATAAGCACCAGCTTGTGAGCAGTCAGAATCCAAGAAGGACGATTGAGCGGCAGGGGTTGTTGACCCTCAAACGGAGCGCCTGTTTGAGACGCGGGCTTCGCCTAAACAAGGTCAGATGGATCCCCAGTCCCCCCAGCGTACATAAGACTTCCATAAGAAAGCCACGTGTCAGAGTGGGATGGCGCCACGTACCCGTGGGCAGGTCGTGGTTGTCGGTGGTGATCGTCATGTTGGCCAGGCCTTCCACGACGAGAACGACGGCGAAACCGTTCTCTTCCGCCATGGAGAGCTCGATCCCCGCATCGGGAGACGCGAACACCCGGAGGGGGCCGAAGTTGTCGCAGGCGGAACGACCGGTGAAAGCATCAGGCGCGAGGGGCCGTCCATCCAACTCGATGCCGAAATTGGCGTCGTCATCGGAGGGGACGTCCTGAGGATTCGAATGCTTGGACAAAGTCAGGGCTGTTGTTGGGCGGGGAGTTGCGTGCGGGGATTGAGGGAACTCTGGACGGAGGTTTTTACTCTCAGGGGTGTTTGAAATAAGGGGACGAGCAAACGTCAAGTCTGCAGCGGAATCACAATCCCAGGAAACTGCCTCAGCAATACAATAACGTTCCTAAGCATCACCTAAGAGCTCCTTCGGACATGGAGCTTGCTCTTGCTTTACACCTTCGACGTAAGCAAATGCAGAAGATTCGCGCATCGAAGACAATGGTCCACGTGAGTAAGACCTTCTTGTCCTGCCATTGAGTTTAATTGGAACAAGAGCAGCCCGGATCAATAAGAGGATTTTACATTGGTTCACCTGATTCAGCTGGAAGCTGACTTCGTGCACAGAATCCCCAATCTTGTACAGCAGTGCAAAAGCTGCAAGGGACACATTTCATTCCGTCATTCTCGTTCTCTTCTGCTCTCTCCCGCACTTCGTTTCTATCAAGATTGAAGAACTTTACTCTGCTAGCAGAAAGCAGTCTGGTAGGATACGACAGGCGTGACGTGAGGAGGAGAGAAAAGCCCGGAGACTGTCGTTGGACGAACTGAAGGTTGTCACAACATCAACTCCTCCACCTAAGTACACTGCTGCCTGGGTGTGTTTGGCCCCTCTTAGATGGCTGGTCAAACGGGACTTAAGGAAATACGGATTGGCTATCTGAATGTTGCAATGCTATTTGGTAGGTCGAGCTGTGCAACACACTACATTTCCACCTTGAATCACCACAGCAGCTGGCAAACCTACAAAGGTTCTTCAGCGCTTCTTCCAACGTTCCTTGGTTTGCCCTGTGCCTTATTGTCACAACTGAGAAGCTGGAAACTGCTGGAAGGAGAGGCTTGCTAATCTATTTCACGTGTCTGCTTTGATTACACTCGTCTTCTTGTTCACTGCCGAAAAGGGAAAGGGCCTTGTTACAGCATCTGCCCTTTCTCTTGCACCCAGTTCAGCAAGTCTTTGGAAAGATTTTTGTACAGTGCTTATTCGGCCCTAGTACGGTACTACTGTCAAGCGTTAGTTGACCTTTTTACAGGGCTCACCATCGAAGTAGGTCACGCCGTCTTGGCCAATCAGGTGCGTGTTGATCTGGATGTTGGAGTCGCTGATCATGCAGAAAGACTCGCCAGGATAACCATGCCAGTCAAACTTCTCCCCCTGGAGGCCAGTCATGTGGGGATCTGCACAAGTGGCGAGGAGACTATGTATCGAGGACATGCCAGACTTTTCAAGATCCAAGGTTTGAGAAGGCTTGAAAGAAACCCTGCCTCCTCTGATTCAAGAAGCTCATAACTGTTCCCAGAAGCGGCTTACTGATTTGAAATACTCGGTCCAGTTCACCCGAAAGTCATCAAGGACCTTCTGCTTCTTTGTCAAAGTGTTGTCATGATCTGGGCAGACTTCAAGATCGGACGGGGGAGCACCATGGCATGCGGGGTGTTCTTGCCTTAATGTGGTTTTTTGACCACGGAGATCTGACAAAGGGCTGGGGACCCATAAAAAGAACCTCTTGGGAAGGCATTGCATCGGCTTTAGTGTTGTCAGAACCTTAGGAAGGGCCTTATTGAAATACTTGACCAGAACCCACAGCATTTTGCCCTGCCTTGTCTGACCTTCCCTCCGCTTTCAACTTCGGCTTATACGAATATAAGCAGTGCCAGCAATGAAATTGATCATAAGGCGTTAGGAGCCAGTGACATGCCAAAGCCCCATTGCCAGTCTCCTTGACATAAGGACCCATAGGCTTGTACTTGGCACTTGGCGGACTTCTACCTTCAAGAAATGCAGTCAAAGTTGCCCGGGGAGGATGGAAATTCTCCAGAGAAAATAGGAGCACATTTCTCTTGGGCGCATTCTGGCACATGATCACCGGAAAGCCTTCCTCTGTGCTGCGCTTCAGCAACTTATGACTGGAGAGCAATGTGACACGGAAAAAGCCTATATGAGCCAGAACTCAAGCAAGAGCACTTCTTGAAGGAGATTGAGTAAATTGGAGAATGCTCTGCGCCTGACGACACTGCTGCTCTGTGTTAATCAGGAAGGGATGTTCTTATGCCAAAGCAGCCTTGGCCAAAGATCGCTTCTTTCAGTGTTTAAACCAACAACTGAGTATCCAACCAACTATACCATTCAGACGAACATACACACGACGCAAACAACCATGAGCTCAGTAAGAAAAAGTAAATTTTGGAGTTGCTTCGTTGCCGTACCTCCGTTTCCTCCTATTGGAGGGAGGGGAGCTGCAAGCACGGGAGCCCCGCTAGACAGCAGCACTGCTCCAAGGGCCACGAGCAACAGCTTCATTGGCAGCTGGCGGTGATAGAGCGCCATGGCTTTCTGACCCCGACCGCGACTATGCAGCTGTTGCAAATGGAGGACTGCTTGTCGGATCCAAGTGCCATGAGGAGTACTGCTACAAATTCAAGCTCAATCTACTAGTACCGTACCTATTTAACTTGGGTACAGTATGTAGCTGGTAGGTACAGTATAGGTTACTCTACAGACTACACGTACTGCTGGGACCTAGGTAGTGACGTAGTCCAAGAGTGACATCATGCATGATTCAGAACGATTGTTTCGGATACTATCGGGAGGAAAGAATCGTAAATAGAAGGAAGTGTGAATAAGAAAACTTGTGACAATACCTACAAGCAGTGTTTACCACGAAGTCGGGATAGCCGGCTGCCCAGAGGGTCAGCCTTGAAACAGTCGGTTGGAAAGTTCTGTTGGTCGGTTTACCAGGGCGGACCACCTGGCTATTCCCTCGTCGGTTCCCCGTGCGCGAACCTTGCCATTAACAGAAAGCTGCCCTATACTTGGCCGAGTAGGAGAGCACTGATCAACCAGTTTTCCATGTGACACTTGAAACGAATGAAGGCAAGGTCCATATTAACTTGGGAAGGTTCCTGATTTACCTAGTTGAAGTTTCATGCAAGTTCTGTGAGAGTAAAGTAGTGTCGAAATGTAAAGAAATGAAATACCGACCACTTGTAGCCTAGCCAGACGACTTAGAATTGGCCGGTTCAGCCGACCGACCATCCTCATTAATGATCTGCTTTCCTGCCGACCTGCGGCCGGCTACTTCGTTCTGAGTTGGTCACTCTTGAAATTGGTCGGTTCAACTCGGTTGCCACACCACTGCAAGTCGGTTCGTGGCAAACATTGAATCTGGAATCACATGCGAGCTGAACCCCACCCCCCGCGCGACGCCCCCACCTGGCAAGGTCCGCGGCGAGCTCGCGAGGTGGGGCGTTCGCGAGGCTCAGGGCCAGCTCGCGACACCCCCACCGGGCGAAGTAAAGGGCAAGCTCGCGAGGTGGGGCCTTCGCGTAATCCAGGGCGAGCTCGCGAGACCCCCACCCCGCGAAGTCCAGGGCGAACTCGCGATCCAGGCGAGTTTCCAGGGCGAACTCGCGAAGTTGTGCGATGGACCTGGAAACCTGGATTGGGCCGCGAATCCTGGTGCCATGTGGCGAGGCGAACCTGGACGGCCCTGTCGCGAGCTGACCTCATGCTGGCCGCTCAGGGCGAGCTCAACTTAGGCGCAGAGCGAAGTGCCACCTCAAATTTGGCGACTTATGGTGAGGCAGACCTGCGCGAACTGACCAGTGGCGCCGCGCGGGGCGAGCCTCAGGGGCGGGCAAGCTTTGGCGCCCCACCGGGCGCACTACTCGCGGGCCCGGCACAGATCAGGTTGGGCCCATCTTTCTCAGGCGCAAGGCGAGCTCGCCTTGGTGCTTTTTTAAGGCTGGTCGCGAATCCATCTGAGTTGGAGTCGGGGCAAGTTCGCAGCTGGCGACTGGGGCAAGTTCGCAGCTGGCAGCTGGGGCAAGTTCGCAGCGAGTTCGCAGCTGGCGACTGAAGGGAGTTCGCAGCTGGCGACTGAAGGGATTTCGCAGCTTGCGACCGGAGCAGTTTCGTGGTTGGCGACCAGAGTACAGTCGCCGCCGCGACGGCGCCACGCCGCGACCTTATTTTGGGCCTGATGTTCGCGAACTCAGGGGTAAGTTTGCAGGGGTTTCGCGAGATAGGGATTTGAGATGTCGCAGCAGAGGCTGGTGGTTCGCCTGTAGGCTGCCGACATACTAGATTTCGCGAATCGAGGGCACCGATTCGCTGCATAGGGATAGGTTGGAGCTGATTGGCTCAGTTCGCATCTTTTGATTCGCTGTCAGTATGTTCGATTCGCCCCGTCCCGTCCATGGCATTTCGCCCAGAGTTTGGTGCACTTGCAGTGCCCCTGCTCACTAGCGCCTAGCATCTATCCGCCTGACTTTCGTTGGCAGACTATAGGGCGAGGTTCGCCTCAGCTGCAGGTAGGCAAGAGTAGGCCTCAGCTTCAGTGAGGGCGAGTTCGCCTAGTAGGTATTAGCAGACTTGATTGCAGTGACTTGACATTCGTATTCTTGACTAGGAGATTCGCGAGGTTCAATCGCGCAGCATCTGAGGCGCTCTCTGAGGCCTGTATTTCATGGCGCCCAGTTAGGGGCTTGCTGCCTTTGTCTTCTCCTCGCTCTCAGCGAACAGCATTGTGCCGCATGTTTCCAGGATGTTGTGTATTGCATGTATGACATGTCTGTGTGAGGCACCAATCGCTGGATTCTCATCCAGGCGATTCAGGGCGGTATGGGACGCCCCTGAGTGTGTCTCGACTCAATTGAATGTTGAGGGGGGCTCGCTGCATTCATCACTGACTTCCGCTGCGTAGGCAACTTGCGAGAGAGCTGCGAGAATCTTGATTCTCGCGCTCTGCGAACAAGTGTGCTGCTGCTCTGCCCTTGCTGCGAGTTCTCGCCCAGGGTGGGGAACTCGCCAGTGGAGGGATTCTCTAGCTTGTACACTGATCTGGATACAAGCGGGGTCAATTATTGACGACCGAGTATTCAAATTCAAGTCCCTTTCATACCGGTAGTACCGGTACCCGGTACCTAGGACTACCGTATACCGGTACGGTAGTTCCGGTTCACATGCGGACTGTACCGTAGTTCCCGGACTTCACTACGGTCTTCGGTAGTTTCACTAGTGACTTGCAAGTTTAACTAATAGTCAACATTTAATCGAGAAGTATCGTGTATAGGGGTCGTCCTATGCTCCTACTGTGTCCTACAGATCCCTAAACGAGCATACCGTACCGTAGTCCTATAGAAAACTACCATGTAAGCAACTCGAGCTTGGCGTATACGCCGGAATCTTAATACTTCTAGAGGCATCTGATCAGTCTTTCCATAACCTTCCGGGACGCCTGCACATGTGAACAGCTTTTAACAAATCACTGGAAATTGGCTCCGAGGAAGCTCAAAAGGTATACCATTGGTCCTCTTCTTGCACAGATGTGGCTAGTCGGTGCTTATATTTGATGCATACGTGCACGATGAGGGCAGGCCGCTCAGCATGCGCGTGAATTAGGCATGGTGCATTGTGACATGTGCATCATGTACTAAGGTAACACTGATGTGCATCTCATGCACTGAGCCGGAGGCTGCAGGCATGTACGGCATAAAGTTCAAACCATATGTCATGTCGCACAGTCAATATCAAATGAAGTTGAGGGTCGTAAGTGCACTCCCAATCCTGCACACTTTCAAACACGGCCAGCCGCGGAAATGATGCAATCTGAAACAATCAAACTAGCTATTAGGAATCGAGGGCCCCCTAACTCGTGACCGGCAGTGACCGACAGTGAGCGATAACGGACGGTTCGTTTGCAGGCTGGCGCCGGCCCAAACACTGATATACAGACAATATGTTGGTCCCGACAACTTCGCCATGTCGGATTGGAAACTCAAAGCGCAAACTCTGCCCACTTTACCGAGGTACGCGCTTGGTCCACCCTTGAAACAACCCCCAAACATGGGCTTTCCGTGCAGTCTTTTTGCGCGAGTCTGCCTTCTCCTAGATGCGTTGTGCACCCACAAGAACTCTCATCCTTCCGCCCGTCTTGTATGGCGGCATCTCTCGGCCTCGACATTCTTCGTCGCTATTACACACAAACACCAAGCAATCCGTTCCTCGAGATTTTTGACAAACCCTCCCGTTAAGTCTGCCCGCTAATCTCCGGCAAATCAATCTCCACCTCGACGCTGTCATCGTCCAGGTAGTCCGCCTCCGCCTCGGCAAGCCCCGCGAGCACTTTCCCCGTCTCGTCATACTCCAACTGCTTCACGTGCCCCCCATACTTCCGCATCCACACCCCCGACTCGATACAATACTTGAACGTCGGAAACGTCGTTACTAAAATCTGCGCGAGGCTCAGCCCGGGCTGCCCCCGGTCCGCGATCACGAGCCCTAGACTCTGGCAGATCTTGACACGTGGCCGCGTGCGGCCCTCCAGCGAGTACCCCACGGCCTGCGGGAACTCCAGAAAGATCTCGGGCGACAGCCCGAGTTCCTTGGTGAAATAAGCCAGCCCCTCGTCGAGCTTCTTGCTCGACATCTGGTACAGCGGCGAGTTGATCACGATCAGGTCCACGAGATCCTCGTCGGGCCGCTCCAGCCCAACTTTTTTCAACGAGTCGCGCAGGCGCTTGACCTGGGAAGGGGGTTGGGGAAAATGTGAATAATCTCAGACGAGCTCAAGGCAATAACACCAGGTCGGAGCTCGACGACAGGTGTCGGCAAAACGAGCTCGATTGGAAACACACTGTCTCGATGAGCAGTGTTTTGATACCCACCGGTCTCGGCGCCGAATCGAAGTGGTCGGTACCGTTACTTAACGACCTGAACCGCGGTCTGTGTCATCGGCAGAGTTTCGGGGGGTTCAGAGTACCCGCCAATACTGCCCCTTCCGAGCAAGGAGTCAAGCAATTCGCTCAGCTAGCGGAACTTGCTCGATGGTCCACGAGCAGCAATATGTGATGCTCTTCAATTTAGGTGAAGTGAGCTCAAGGTATTGTAAGCTTCTGCCCTAACACCAAAAACCTAACCCTTAAAATCACACGCTCCGCACCCTTACCCACCCTAAACCCCCAAAGTAACCCCACCCGTCGGCGCACTTTACCGAAATTGAAGTCTTATCGATATGCGATCCTATTCTCCCCACCCCCCCTCACCTGGCGCTCCAGGTGGCAGCAGACGATCTTGGGGCGCGAGACGACGAGCGAGCGGAGCCAGTCCTTGCCGCGGCCCAGCTTCTGCATGTACGACAGCCGCCGGTCGCACGTCTCCACGGTGGTCAGGAACAGAAACAGGTTGCGCTGGAAGCACACCGGCATCTCCGCGTCGCTGATGCCGTACCTGGAAACAAGGTTATAGCCGGGTTAGAGACGGGTTTGAAGATCCTTGTGGCCAGATCCACGGTAAAAATGCATGCGAATTGATCGAAGGTTGCGCTGGAAGGGCACCGGCAGCTCCGCATTGCTGACTGCCGTACCAAGAGAGCATGAGGGTGAAACGGGGGGTACAAGGGCCTGAGAGGTTCGTGGATGGTTTTGACAAGAATTGAGGGGGTGGAATGCATGTGGGTTTATTAAAGGTTACGCTGGAAGCACAACAGTACCTAATCGACGCTGATGCTGTACCTGAGGAAGAGGATTACTTGGTCTGCAAGGCGCTGCATGAGGCCCAATTTGAGGAGAAGGGGCATCTTGGGTGGCGAGCCTAGGATTACAGAGGCAAGAAGAACCGGACGGGAAGGAACATGAAAGGACGTAACCGGACGTGGAGTTACTTATACAGGAGAATGATGCACTCCGCAGGCCGCTGCATGAGATTCATTCCGAGGAGCTAGGGCACATTGGTGGCGAGCTCAGAGTTTTCAAAACACAACGGAACGAAAAATGAAAGAACGGAACGGAATGAGCGCTCACTTGCGCAGGAGAATGACCTCCCCGCGAGCCGCTGCATGAGGTTCATTCTGAGGAGCCAGGGCACTCTCGTCGATAACACAGTTACAGTAGAATGGAACGGAACGGAACGGAACGGAACGGAACGAGACGAACAAAAGAGAAGGGACAAATCGGACGGAACAGAACGTGCACTCACTTACGAAGGAGGCTGACGCGCTCCGCAAGCCGCTGCATGAGTTTCATTCCGAGGAATCAAGCACTTTCAACGGGAAGACAGATACAGTAGAAGGGAACGGAACGGAACGGAACGAAAGGGAACCAGAAAAAGCGTGCTCTCACTTGCGCAGGAGGATGATCCGCTCTGCGAGCCGCTGCCTGAGGTTCATTCCGAGGAGCCAGGGCACTTTGGTGGCGAACTCGAAATTTTGGAAATAAACGGAACGGAAAAGGGAAGAAAGGAATTATGAGCGCTCACTTGCGCAGGAGGATGACGCGTCCGCCAGCCGCTGCATGAGGTTCATTCCGAGGAGCCAGGGCACATTGGTGGCGAACTCAGAATTTTGGAAACAGAACGGAACGGAAAAGTGAAAATACGAACTCACTTGCGCAGGAGGATGACCCGCTCCGCGAGCCGCTGCATGAGGTTCATCCCGAGGAGCCAGGGCACCTTCGTGGCGAACTCGGGCTCGGCGAGGCCGAACGCCTGCAGCACCCTGATATTGTCTGCAATGCGCTGGAGCGGGTTGTTGAAGATGGATGGGTTCCTGCAAGGGGGGGAATTTGCTTAAGTTGTCCCCCCGACTTATGAAAGGGAATAGGGAGCGCCTTGGATACGAAACGCATCCGTTCAAAAAGGTTCCATGCGAGCACGCTGGAATGCGTTCTTGGTTTTGGAACTGAAAGATTGATGATAGGGACGGCTTGCTTTCAGTCCACAAAATCAGCAGGCCAGGGCTATCATCTGCGCTGAAGAAGCAGACACCTGACCACTTTCGCCGACAAGGATTGGAAGTGAGAGGAACGCCAAAGAGAGTAGGGAGAAACAACGGCGACAGGACTTCTGCATCTGCAGTACGCTGAAGCTGAGAGTTCAGGAAGCATCGCCTCAGGCGGAAAGAGAAATTGGAAAAGCAGAGGATTGGCCGGCGAAAAACAACCGCGACTCACTTGAAGACGAGCTTGATCATGCTCTCCGTGTCGTAGTCCAACCGGTCCAGCACCGCAAGCACGCCGTCAACCCGCCTTTCCAGGTCGCAGAACGGCGAGAAGTAGCGGGGATAGCTTATGAGCAGCGCGATCGCCATCTCTCGGGTTATGTGCAGGCGCTCCTGGAGAAAGTCGATGCGGTCCTCCACGCTCAACCGGATCGCGCTGATGTCCTCCGGGTTCTTGTAGTTGCGGGTTAGGAAGCGGGTTAGGTAAACCGCCATGTCCAGGGACGAGCTGTCGAGGCCGAAGTCGGAGTCTGCAGAACTTGAGGAGGGCGTGTCAGTCACACAGCGAGGTTTACATTCTACAAATATACAGATCAAAGAGAGGGCACAAACACGCATACAGAACATTACTGATGAATACTGCGAACCGATCAGGAGTGGCGATGTAAAGAACCGAAAAGCGGAAACCGGAAAGGTAATGTCGAGGCCAAAATCCGGTCTGGAGAACAGAACAAAGGGCTGAACCATGCCAGTCCTTTCGGCACTGCCAATCTCAAGTTGGCTAGGCTATAAACAATACCGACCAACCAAAAGACCAAGACGCACCTTCTGTTGACCCCTGCAAAACTGAGATCTGTTCAAGGTAACGCGCTCCTAGCTCTTGAAATCGTTATCTCGTGGCAAGTCTGGTCAGATCGATTCTGCACACCCGGAAAATCAATTGATATAAGGTGGGAGCTTTAGCAGAGTCTGGATCCGAGTTCCGAGCGACACTCACCAGAGAGCGTTTCGCAGTAGCTGTTGACAGCCTGCGCGCGCTTGATCAGCGTCTTGTAGAACTCCTCCTTGAACGCGTCCAGCTTGGCCACCCCCGACTCTAGTTCCAGAGCGTCCAGGAAGCCCTGCAGAGGACGCGATGCTACAGTGTCAAGCGGCGCAGGATTTTGCGATGCTCGAGGGAGCAGCGCTGCCGCCTAATACGGAGCGAAGCACTCCACTTTGCAGGGGTCACAAATCAGAACGGCAGAACGGCTTTCGATACCTGGTAGTTGATAAAGCGCAGCAAAGCCACCGCAAACGAGACACGTGAAGCGTTCACTTTTCGATGTCGGACTTTGAACGGCAGCGCTGCGGTTCTGGTCGTTGTAAGGCCCTTCGTAGTTCTGAAGTTCCCCTGTTGTCCGTTCCCAGTCCTCAAGAGAGTTTTCGCAGGAAAGAGTCCGTAGTAACAATTGGGTGGGCTCCTCGATAGATTTACCCGTCACTTTCTGGTCATGCGGGGTCCGTCGAAACACCGAGCGCACTTGGCACAGGGGCGCCAGCGGTTCCTCAAATATAGCAAGTGCTATCGGGAGGGGTGTAGGGTTGAAGTCTGTGGGGCTTTAATTCTGGGCTTTCGGGTACCATGAAGCGGCGTGTCGAAGTTATGTTTCCTTGAAAGTGTCCCATTGTTTCCAATTTCTCAGAGCAAACTGACCGATTGAGATCGCGGTGTGGCTCCGCCTGGCCGCTTGAGACTTCCAAGGGGCTTCTTGTCATTCCAAGCAGCACAGCAGATTTGTTACAGCGGAAGTGGAGTCCACACTATCTCGCCAGAAACTTGCCTGGTGAAAGAACTTCGGACGTTCCTCGGGCCGCAGCGCCAGCAGCTCCTGGAACGCGTCGTTCGGCCCGAAGCGGAACGGCACGTGCAGCCGGCTGTCGTCATAGCTCAGCCCGTACTCGACGTCAGCCTGCGCGTCTGCAGATGGGAACGGCGATCCTAAGACGAATTTTTCGAAATATCCTCCTTTGTTTGTTTCTTTTTCATTCCGGCCGCAGCCAAGGAGGTAGGGAACCCTCCTTTAACCAACAACGGGCTAGAGGGTTCAAGTGTCCCTCAAAGAGGATCGGGTTTGCTCCTGACTAACGCCTGCATAAGTTTTCGTGATGTCCGTTCACAGTGGACGGGCTTCCTCCGTGTTATTTTGACAACTTCAGTCATTGAAAAAGTGCACGGAAGAACGACAAGGTCCTAGCTCGCCCGGTGCTCGACATCAGTTTGCGATTCTGCAGCCGAGCAAAGAACATCCGAGTGACGTCACATTATTCCGGAAATGTCTTCTGCTTCAAACACAATCACACCCTTATGATTGGCCCAGTCCACAGATCCCCGGGTGAGCTCCCAGTCTTGACCGATGTACATCACTCGATGAAGTACGGCCTGCTTAACTCTCATCAGCGGATCACTAGCGGAAACCGTAACTTTCATGAAATCTTCAAAACCCGGCTACCCCGGCCTGATTCTCGCCGAACCAGCGCACCTGCGGCTTGAGCTCTTTGTCAAATGTACTTCGCGTCAGCTGCCATAGCAGGGTCTGCTCGATCGCAACAACCCAATCCTTCATAGCTTAAGCGAACACAGAAACAAAAGAAACCCGAAAAACCCAAAACCTCACCCACGTCCTGGCGCGGCCGGCGGACCTCCGGCTTGAGCTCTCTGCCATTGCTATGCGCGCCAGCTGCCAACTTGACTCTGCTTAATCCACAATTTCGACACCCCAACTCTTCATAAGTTAAGAAGAACCCAAAAAACAGATAGCCAAAACCCCAAAAACTCACCCTCATCCTGGCGCAACCTGGCACACCCGGCTTGAGCTCTCTGTCATTGCTGCGCGCCAGCTGCTTAGTTCTCGAGTTCAAAACCCCAACCCTTCATAACTTATAAAAGAACCTCAAAGACTCACCCTCGTCCTGGCGCGGCCCGCGCACCTCCGGCTTGAGCTCCCCGTCGTCCCACAGGCGCATCACCTTGCGGATCATGGCCTGCGCGCTGCCCTGGTGCGCCGCAAAGTGCTCGGCCAGCACCGACTTGCGCGTCTGCTGCGCTTTCGGGCGCGCGCGCATCTTGGTCTCGATCGCCTCCTGCCGCTCGCTTTTCTTGGGGAGCAAGCCAGCCTTTTTGAGCTCGGCAATCTTGTCGGCGGCATACTGGCCTGCAGGTGGCAAGTCGTCAAGAATGAAGCCATGACCCGCTGAAGGAGAAACTAGATTGGACCTTCGGATTGAGATGTCATAACGAGGAAGAATAGAGGAAGGGGGGCAAGACTTAAGTTGTCAACTCTGGACTCCAAATCCGCACAGACCAATGGGGGTAGTAGCCTGATTGGAGCAGAATGTGAATAAAGTTTGAACCAAGACATGTAGTTGTGAGCTAAGACAAGTTAATGATGACATGCTGTTCAAAGTCCCATGCCGGACCAGATTCCTGCTGACCGTCCAATTGATGAAAAGTGCTGTACAGGTTTCGTCTAAAGAACAGCTTTAGGCAAGTGACTTTTTGTGACAAACTCCGTAAGCTTTTTGGCAGATAGAAGAAGACCACATCTTTTCTAGCAAACGGCCAAAGTGGCTGCCATTATGGGATGCTTCCAAGTCTTCTTGCATAAGCACGATGACCAGAACCATCATGTTTACCCAGTAAGTCTGCTTAGCGACACTTCAAGAGCACAAGGACAGCGCGCGAAACCACACCTGTGACTGCGCTGAACTTCTTGCGCCGCCGCGCATTCAACGGGTCGACGTCCAACGTGTCCTTTTGCAGGAGCGCCGCCAGGCTGCTCTCAATCCCCTGCTCCGCCAGAGCCGCCTCCTCATCCTCCCAATTCACCCCCTCGTCCTCACTCTCGTCTTCGTGACCCTTTCTGTTCGGCCGCAACGTCTCCCGTATCATCTCCAGCTTCTTTGGATCCCCCAGCCGGAAGAACGGGTTCTTCTTGCCATGCGATCGCTTCTTCGGAATCAGCCGCTCCCGCCGCGGCAACTGCTGCAGCTCCTCATAGTCGAGCTGCTCAAGCTGAGCAATCTTGGCCGCCCGGAGGACGTCAGCCGACTTCTCATCGGTCAGGTCCAGGTTGTCGAGGTCGACCTCCTCTTCCGACGGGGCCGCCACCTTGTTGCTCTTTGACCACGCCAACGGTCCAAAACGTGTCCTCGCTTTGCCTGCAGCGCCCCTAGGAGCCGTCCAAACGCCCCGTAATGCGTCCACCTCTTTCCGAACCCCACCCAAACCTGGCCGCATCCCACTTGAACCTTCTCGGAACCCCTCGGGCCCTTTTCGAGGTGCATTTGCTCCAATCCCACTTTGTGCCAAAGTGTCTGGCGTTGCCCCGTTGCAGCCTGCTCGCAAATACGTGACAGGTTGTCTGAAACAGAAAAGCCGCTGTCCGGCTTCATCGTGGCACCGTCCAATGCCCCTCCGCTTTGCCGCCTTACCCCAGCCCCACCCACCCAAGACATCAAATGCGGCCTGCGCATTCAGCGGCCCCTGCCGCGCACCTTTGTTGCAACTGAAGGCTCTGTCTGAGGACCCTGCACCCCCACAGCTGGCTCTCAACTGGCTTCGCACGGGTCGAGAGTATTCGAATGCAAAATGACTTCCATAGCTGGTGCTCGCCCCCTGGTCCAGGCAACCTTCACAGCCCACCCTCTCTGCGAAACGGCCGGGGAAGGTCTGCGCGGTGGCACTCATTGTCACTGACATTGTGACCAGCACTTCAAACAAATACAAGTGAGGTCATGAGGACGACGGGGTGCAATGTTCAAAAAGCATTCCCGCAGGTTCAAGAAGCTAACGACACGAGTGCGGCACAGCAAAGGCAACAACTACGACCGGTTTTCATGTTGATTTGACCAGCTTCAGCAAGCTGACCTCTGGTGCAATTGTCTAGGGGCCACACAATGCCTGCTGAGGCTCTCGCTACAAATGAACATTGTAAAGACTTTGAATTCAGTGCGTGCAATTGCTCTGGAGTCTGGGTAAAGAAGTTGCTTCTTTTTCTCAGCCGAGGAAACAAAACCTGGGGCGCTCTCATGAGTCATTGGCGCCATTCACGCCAAGAATGGTAACCGTCGGGGTTTGACGGTAACGGAGAAGCAACCCTAATAGTCTGGATGCCGCGGGCGGGCTGCCGCCAGCTGCGCGGCCGCGTCCTGGTTCGAATGTACAACTGCCTGCGCAATTAAGAAAACTTTCCAGGCCGGTTGGTAATGTCGACAAGTCCAAAAGAGTTACTATGAGTCTAATAGTCCTCGCTTCCATTCTGTCCAGCACAGCGTACGTCTTACTTACGTCTTACTTACACTCGGCTTTTCGATGCCCATAGCTTCGGATATGGCGCCGTCGAGGCCATGCGAGAAAGCGGAGCTCGCATGAATTGCGCATGCGTTCAAATTGAAGGACCGAACGGCACGAAAGGGAAGACTGCTTATGTGCCGCTTCGACATGACAACATGAAGCTCTGACGTGAGTACTGACCACGATCGGGCGACCGAAGCGCTGTGACTCTCGGCTTTCATTGACGATAGATTTCCAGCTGTGCTTAAAGTCTTCAAGACTTAAGTTCGACCCCATAGGGCCGGGCACAAGTTATTCTTTTCACAAGGTGACCTGGCAGAGTAGCGTACCTCCATAGGTGGGAGCTCTGCTTACGAGGCCCTCCGCTTCGCCTCTTTCTGCGTAGCAGTTTCTGTAGTCAAATTGGATCTGATCAGGGAAGGTCATTGTCCTCCGCAAACTGCAGGCTGGCTTCCTTCTAATTGATTCTAGCTAGAGGGCAACGCTGAAGTCGCAGAAGCTACAAAGAAGCGGAAGAAAGCTGCAGTATGGAGAAGTTGGACGAAGGCATGTTCGGGATTCTTCTCAAGTTCGTGCGCCCAGAAGAAGCATGCAGGCTGGGAGCAACATCCAGAACGTTCTTGCGATGGACGGAACAGAGCGCTCTGTGGAAAGGCTGGTGCGAAGAAGCGTTTCCTTCGATCACGACCTCCCCTGCGAAGAAGACTGTGCGCGTGCTTTGTGAGCGCGTGGAGACAGACTCTGAGCGCGCGCGCGCATACAAGCGGCTGTACGCCGCGCCGCAAGGGAGCCAGCGCGCATCTCAGAGCGTTCCGGCGGAACCTCCTTCCGCTCCCTCCTGGTCTGGCCTCGTCTCTCAGCTCCAAGATTCCGTCCTTCTGGTGGACGTGTTTGCGGGAGAGGAGGCTGTTCTGGCATGCTCGATCGACGGGGAAAGAATGACCCCCGCAGCTGGTGACAGATATTGGAGCGTCAAAGTCGAAGCAACTCATATTCCAGCGGCGGAGAAATGGCTGAGAGTCGCTTTCGAGGAGGACCGGAACACTCGGGTGAATGCGAGCATGATCTCCCGGTTGCTGGCTGGGGAGCCCCCGGGGGAGCCCCTCCACGCCCCGGCTGAACGTCACGACATCCTGGCCTTCTCATGCAAGATGATGCGCAAAAGCGACGGCGGAGAAGTGCGCGCGCTTATTGATAAGGCGGCGCTTTTCACGGTGGAGGTCTGGCCCAGGTGGCTTCAGAGAGTGTCAGAGAGGCATACGCACAGATCCCGGCACCAGATCTACTCGGGCGACAATAGCAGAATGGGGCTCCCGGTGCACGTCCAGTGCGCGCTTCAGTGTGAATACTCTTTCTCAACTGGGACGGGGCCGTGCTCCAGGCGCTGGGAAGAGTCAGATTTTCAGAGGTATCTGCTCGAACTTACCCTCATCAGCAGGTGACTGGTGAACGTATGAGTGAGGTCCGCAGAGATATAGTCGCTAAACGAGGTCCTGCTTTGTAGAACTTTCTCCGGCATGATGGACAGTCGTCTCTTGCTGTCGGGCAATATAACTTGACTGGACGGTTTGCCAGGAGCCTGCATCACCCTTCATCTCGAGAGGAAATTACGTTGGTGGTAGTGCACAACGCGTAGCTGCAGCGGGTATTTTTGTAAACTATCTTCACTTGACAATCGACTGATCTTTCTCATTTCTCTGCACCGGAATGGCGCCCCTGGCATGCCGTTCTGTAAGTTCGTTCTTTCCTCAATATTCTTTCGGGCCTGTAGAACAACATGTGTACGCTGTATAACAGCCCGAAAACAGATTTGATACAATATTGAGCAGAGCTCCATGTGGCGGCTGCCAAGCATCTGGGCCTTCCATACGAGCCGTAAATGCGATTTTGCAGGGAATGGTATAGGTGGGTCATGCAAACAACGCGACCGCTTTCGCCTTTGAGGATCCGTGTGCGCATGGGCTCTGTAGCCAGTGGCTTTTAAGAAGAGCAGTCATATGGTCGTCTCACATGTGGTCGATTCATTAATCCCTCCAATGAATAATGGAGGAGCGGCTTTGCCTCTTTCGAAAATTGGCGTGGCCAGTGCTGTTGACGCGTTAGTTTTAAGTACATGGAGCAGGAACTGTAAACTCTGGAAACATTATCTAGCCAGCCATGATCAGTCTGCGCCGGCCACAAGACTAGATGTAAGCACTTCAGTAGGTGGTACTGATCACTGCCAGGGCATTGATGAATTTTCATGTACCTTACGTATCATGGACTGATGCATAAAAGCGGCCGGGCCGGGCTGCAGTGAACATGGAAGGTCAGATTTGAAAAGCCTCCTTTGCAGCATCGGAATTTCAAAGGGTCGCCGTATGCTGCAAATGGATCATGCTTAAGCAATTGGCATGCATGACATGACATCGAAAATCCTTACGTGAAGCTAAGTCTGTCCTGTCTGCATATCTTGCTCGCGTGTCTCATTCCGATGAACATGACCTCTCTTTGCATACCTTCACTTTCTCGCGCTGCGCTCATAATATTGAGGATGCTACTACACTATACTGCAGCCCTTTCTTTTAATTCTGAGGAGCTCAACCTCATTACGTAATGTTGCCCCTGAACGGCGTATTACTTGTGTTCGCTTGGATTCTGCACCCCTTCATGCCGCCTACATGCGCCCGTTAACTTTCTCCAACTTTTCGTCCCACAGGTCATCAAAAGACTTGAACGGTCCGTTGTCTGAAAGCATGTTTTGGAAGGTTATACGCTTCTTCTGCGGCGAGATCCGGCAGAGGGCGTCGTAATCCTCCTCGGAAAGTGACCAGTCAGCAACATCCAGGTTGCCCTGCAGAAGAGCGTTGATACCCAATCAGAAAATCTCTCGGACCATTCATGGAATGCTCGGTCCGCATCTACTAGATCTGTGCAGGACATCAAAGATGCGGGTGGCGTTTCTATTCAAAGCTTTCCGGACTTTCGGCTCCCGACAGCCTTGATGCTTAGACTTATGAAGACAAGACCTGTCTGAAGGCCAGAGAGGTAAAAGCGAGTCTGGAGGGCAAAATGTGGGAAGTGGTCTGCAGAGCGACCAAAGAGAGAAGAGGAAGGCCTTCCGAAAAGGGGACTTTGAAGAGTCCAGATGAAAAGGATAGCGTCAGACCTTGATTCGCTCCGGGTTTTCACTTGTCGGCAGCACGACGCAGCCGTGTTGGAGGCCCCACCGCAGCAGCACCTGCCCGGGGTTCTTGCTAACCTTCTGAGCAATCTGCTTCACGGTCTCGTTCTGCCACAGATGGATCAAGCAGTCAGCGATTGCCAGGCTTGTCGTCCATTTCAATAAATCTTTCATGTGCGTAGCTTTTAGTTTTGAAATTGCTTCCGCCGTCGATATACGGCGGGGCTATATGGTTGCGGCAACTTGGCTTGAACCGGCATGCTAGATATTGCCCCTGGGAAGCATCGTCCAACGGAACGGAACTTACAACAATCGAACGTACAAGAGATTGCGCAAGAAAGGGGCAGAGATTCTGCCTCCAAACCAGCAAGAATCAAGACTCAGGGATTGGGTTCAGTGCCCTTGCTCCCAGACCGTTCTAGAGACCGGTTTTACAGAATCTATGTCTTGAGTGTGCTGGAAACCGGGGAGCGCAAAATCGGAGAGGCGCCCACCTCCCACAGCTTTTCGAATTCGGGCCGCGCCCCGCCCAGTGGAAAGTACGCGGTCGGGACAATCCCGTTGGCGTGCGCGTGGCTAATAAGATCGTCGTTGCGCCAGCCCGGGTGGACCTCAATCTGCACAGCCAAGTTTCGCCGTCGAAGAATGGAAAGAGTGGAGGGTTCGTCTGAAGATCTATCTGCAGATCTTCGAAGGACTGGGCTTTGGTGGAGGGGCTACACTTTTACTCCAATGAGAACGCCTACGAAATGGAGTCGAGCCTTTGCGGAATGTCATATTGAGGGGGATGCGGGGAAACCATTTGAAACTACCAATCGTTGTTTGGGAGATGCTGAGCTACAAATTACGAGGGAGACGCCCGTTAGTGTTCGTGCTCTGCCTTTCCTCCAGTGTCTGCTGCAACCGTGTCTTCAAGAACAAAACGTGCTACGCCTTCGAAGGCATATTTAACGTAAGCAAGTCGGCCGCTGCCGGCCAGAGGGCTCACCTGATGGACGGCGGGCCGGATGCTGACACGTGGCAGCAGATCGCCGAGCTTCTTGAGAGAAAAGTTGCTGATTCCAATCGCTTTCGCGAGGCCCTCCATGTGAATCTCCTCCATGCCCTCCCAAGTTTCCTGAATGACACCGGATTACACGCAATCTTTTGAGGGATATATTTACCTTGCCCCCAACTCTCGTCACTTTTTCCTTTTCCAAGACGGAAGAGACGACTCTCAGCTTTTCCGAACGCGAATGCCGAAGGTAAGAGGGACATTGTTGGAGCCGGGGAAAGGAGGCGTACGCCAAAGCTGGTGGCTAGGTATTTGGAAAAGTCAAACAAACAAAAAAAGTTTTTGGACAATCGAGGGACTTTTTCTGGAGAGCATGATGAGCAACTTTATGAAGGGCATCTATGCCGGCAAGCGGCTGACGGTACTACAATGTCATTGGAGGGTGAGAATTAACCCGGCAGGACGTCAGATCTAAACATCTAACGGGAACTTTTGACAAACGCGTGCCAACAGTTACGGAGTCACTGATCCCGACTTCGAGCATGCTGGCGGCATTTTCTCAGCAATAACACCAGGAAACTGAGCCAGAAAGCTGAGAACGTCATCATGAGGTGTTGGGGAGTCAAGAATAGCTCACGTGCAGCGGGACCGTCGAGAAAGGCGTGTGCACGAGGTAGAGGTCCACATAGTCCATGTTCAGCTTCGCGAGTGACTCCAGCAGGGCCGGCCGCACATTCTCCCGCCCGTGCCGCTCGTGCCACAGCTTCGTCGTGATGAACAGTTCCTCTCTAGTTACCACGCCTTCCTGCGCACGGATTGAGGGTCTGGTCGTCTGAGAATGTGTGATCTTGGGCAGGAGTGCCTTCTACTTCGTTACGGGCAACACTAGGGTGCCAAAAGAATTACTGTCAAGACTACTGGCGTATGTGAATGAAAAGATCCAAACAGAAGAACTCTTATTCCGGAATAGAACGCCACGCCTGAAAGACGTGTTGTAAACCAGTCTATTCCTCAGATTCTGGATCACTTCCACTGCTTGTGGGAGCAGATTCGTACTGAAACAAGATCCGTCACACCTGCTGGCTGTCTTGAACATGGGGCATCGAGGGCCTGTGAAGTGCAGTGGACGTCACCAGACTACTATGCCAACTCTACGTTCTCAACCGTTATTCTTGGGACAGCCCTTTGTGATTTCCTTGATAATAAGACGTGCAGGCACGGAGGATGCCAGCACGATACTCAGCTCGGATTCAACATGTCCACTTCGCAAGTCAATCTTGTCCAAAAGGTCAGCAACGAACGCCAATTTGACCCAGGAAGAAGACTCAACTTTTTTTTTTTTGACCTTAACATTGTCGTAAAAGCACGAGGCAGTCCGACGCGTGGTACTTGCCTTGTTACTGTGCTTGCAATCATATCTAACAGAACATCAGCATTAAGGCAGACTCGTACAACCCAAACTCTATCTCTGGTGGACTTCTTTCCTGAAGTCCACGAACCAAGCTAAATAAGATGTGGTGTTGCGAAGGGTCCAAACGCACCTTGATGAGTTTCGCAACAGCGTTCCCGACCTGTGGCTCAGTTCCATAGATGGCAGCTGTATCAATGTGCTGCAAAAGAAGCGAAGAGCTTCAACAGTTTTTACAAGCATAGATTTGAGGCAATCAAGAAGGACTCAATTCCATTCTGTCAGAACAACAAGGATTACTCTGTGACCTTAAGTCGAACAGGCTTAAGTGGTGATTTTGATCAGTGGTGATTTTGCCTTTGGCTCTACGTTCCCGGTGACTTCAAGGGGACTGCCTTTGGAGCACCGGGGTCCCTCGTTGTCGCAATTCTCGAACGCCCGTGCTAAGGAGAGCAGATTTATGTCTGCATCCTTGCTGAGAATACAGCCTCCGACATAAACATGCTTTGCAAGGCCAGTGTACACCCTCTATGTCCACATTGTCAATCAACAAGGGACTGCTTAGTCTTACCCGACAGCCTGAGCGGACTGCCACCTCGATGCACTCCTCCAGCTTCTTGGCTTTGGCGTCCCCTGACCGGGACCAGGAGACTCCACCAACACCATAGCCTATGGCGGGGAGCACAGCGCCTGTGATATGGGCAGCAAACTTATAATATGCACCTTTTGAACGACACTCCAGATGGAACCACTTATTGATACTTCTAGATGGAAAGTCTCCGAATGGTTCCTCTCTGCTGGGATCTAACATGCATCAAACACGATGAGATCAATGGGCAATGAAAAGGCTGACCCAATTGCTTTTGCTGACAACAAGGTCTCCATGACCGCCTGTGCGTACACAGTAGTGGTGCTGGCATACTCGGGCACCTCCTACTAGAAACACACTTGATATTTTCACATCGGAAATTGATCAGATGCAAGCAAATCTCTCTGGCTAAGCTTGGTGACTTCAGCTCTCTAAAAGGCGCCCTAACAGCAATTGGGCATGGTGCTGACGGCATATTGTTGAGATGCATCATTTGAACGCCCGATTTCAGAAGCGCAGTACTTGCATTTGCCTTCTGCATCTTTTCGTGTCTGCCTTCTACTGGGGCTCCAGCTTCCTTACCTGTGTTCAACTTGGTGTAGAGCAACCCCTTCTCATCCTTGTGTAGAGACAACTTTCCAGGTCCTGAATTTTGCTCTGTGCTTTGAGTTGCCATCGCTCTGAATGCCGACCTTGTAGACTTTGCAGATTTCCAGATTGTCAAACGAGAGAGCATATACGATGGCTTCAAGACCTGAGAGGTACGAAGCAGAGTGCAACTTTGGCTGCTGCTTCTCAGAAGCTCACGGCACTGCATGAGGCGTCTATTTTGAATATGCGTGTAGCGGATTAGCACCCAATGGTGTGAGAAAGAGGTGCTGCTGAACAGCGTGAAGGACGTAAAACTGATCTATGCTTGCCTCCTTATGTAACTCTTCCACAACTTGAAAGATGAACATTGAAGAGTGTTCCTCATCCGAGCAATGCATGCACAGCCGCTACGACTGCTTGGATAGCTGCTGATCAAGGGCCGTAGCAGGCTTAGGCTGTAGCATCAATGCCTGAGCATACATTGAGCTATGCCAAAGGGGGATCATCGCACTTCGCCTTCCCCCGGGCTGGTGAACGCAAGTCAGTACACCGGCGGTCGAAACCGGCCAGAGCCAAAACTCAATTCGGGCCCGCGCAGGTCCCGGGTGAACAAAGAAAAAATCGACCGAGGGCTCCTGCCGCGCTCGGAGCAACGCTCGCGGTTATCAAAACGTCCCTTGAAAGCGGGCTGCCGCCCCGGCAGCGGTAAAGGGTTACCATTACCATACATTGCAGGCTGCTGCGATACGGTCCTTTTTATGATGGTTGCAGCCATTGGTTGTGCAGCCACCTTCAACAAGTTGCTAGCAGCCGCACTGGGCAGAAACAGGAAGCACTTCCAAGTTCCATTGGCGGCATCAGCATCTTCAGGAACTCTTGGAGAGGTTTCTCTCAGCAGCAGAGTGTACGAATGGCGTCTCAAACGGCCATCCGCTGGCCCCTACCCTCCACAGGCTCTCTCAATGGCTGCAGTCTGCCCGCAGCAGCCTTGTCTCGCAGCTGGGAAGCACCATTACAAAGTGGAGCTTTCTCTCCGCTGCTCTCAGGCAGACCGCAGCAAAGGAGACACCATGCAGAAGCATGCCTTGTCAGCGCCACTTTCGACCCCTGTTTATCGTCCTTTTCAACTGCATGTGACAGAACTTTCATCCCTGTACGTAAAGAATTACAAGGGGCAAACTGTTTGAGTAATCTTCCTTCCCATTCAACAAACCATTTATGCAGAGGGAGAAAACGGCATATGGTGTTAACATGTAGAGCAGCTTCAGACGTGGCACAGTCTAGCGACCGCGGCCAAGGAAGTCAAAACAAGGAGGGAAGCCGGAAAAAGAGGATTGCGGTGTTCGTGTCTGGAGGAGGTTCCAATTACAAGGCAATCCAGGCGGCGATTGATGCAGGGAAGGTCAACGGCGAGGTGGTCGCTGTGATTAGTGACAAACCAGGTATGGATACTGTCTTCCTCAAATGTGGCATAATGTGTCGCAAACAGACATGCAGCGCCTGGTTGTTACCCTTTTCTTTACATCAAAGATCATATGTTTCAAGAAAATATTGGAATGCGCTAAGCTCTCTAGATCCGCCAGTTGGTTGACGATACTATAGAACATTTGTCGCAATTCTACCACCTTTTCATCGGCCGACTGAGTTCCCTGGTGCCGCGGCCTGGGTGGCAAAGATGACCGTGGGCGAGCATTTTTCAAAAGTAATCAGCAGCCAATCAGTTTCAGATAATCTGAAGATTGCAGCAAGAAGGAAACGTTCTTGCCTGTTTACAAGTGCTGAACTATGAACCAGTTTCACAAATCGAAGATGATGGAGCTATACATTAGATTGCCTCGTCAGTCTCTCCATTGTAGCAGCGCTTACTTTCTTCGGCCTGCGTCCTGTGCAAGGCTTGTCTAATTATTCCAACTTCCAACACGTGCTCTTCTTTATGACCGATCGTGTATTCTTGACTCATTTGCTTAGTCTATTCGGACTCGAAGCTTCGGATGCTTTGTGTAAGCATTGATCACATCAGTTTTTCTGCCCCAGGTTGTAAAGCTACAGAATTTGCGTCGGAGAAAGGCGTCCACGTCAGTGCGTACCCGAAGTCTGCCAAGTTTGCACCCGAAGGGCTGTCGGCTGAGGATCTGGTCCAACTCCTAAGGTGCGGGCGTATCCATGTCTCGTTCATGGGCGTCAAGAGTCAAAGAACTCATTGTTCATTCTCCTTGAATCACTTGCGTGATTCACGTCTCTATTTGTGCATTGGAAGTACCTTTGATGCATCCACCATCCCTATCTTCGTTTCGCTTTCGTTGCGCACGCTGCAAACTGTTGTTACCATGCTGCCATCCCGTCCCTCCAACAGCTCAGGAGACCTTTGTCCTTTTAAGCAGCACATATTGAATAGATTGTTTCCTAAAATGTTTCAATTCTGTAGCAAACAACTGTGCGGCGCCGATTTGTCTGCGTGCAGAGAAAAGAAGGTCGACATCGTGCTTCTCGCCGGCTTCCTCAAGCTCCTCCCCGCTGAGTTAGTCAAAGCATTTCCCCAAGCGATCCTCAACATCCATCCGGCCCTGCTTCCGGCGTTTGGCGGGAAGGGCTTTTACGGACTGCGCGTGCATTCTGCCGTGATCAAGTCCGGCGCCTGGTGAGTCGTTGCAGGTGGTTCGTCATGCTTCCCTACGATCGGCAGACGTCAGCAGTGTGTTTTTAGGGGAGGGTCAATCGCAAAGCGGACTTGGTGTGCATTTTGATCCAAAAGTGTGGCGTTTCGTCGGAACTTGGTCGTGTGCTGCCGTCTCGGTTTGTGTTTGCTGTTGATGTCCTTGAAACGGCTTACGCCATTGGCGTGACCAGACAACCAAGCAAGACTCTTTATAGGGCGACAGGACCAGGTACAGCTGCGAAAGCTGAAGGCTACACTGAAAGTTTCACTGCACCAAGAAGCCCGGTACTCGAGTCGAACGTCGATTGACCTCATTTCTTCCTTAAGATCGACGGTCATCGCACTGTAGTTTGATCTCCTGATCCGCAGACCGCCTGTCGAAAGCACGAATCGTTGACCTCATTAAAGAACGCCTCACACCGAGTTGTAGCTGCTCCCCTTGCATCTGGCACACGCCTGGAGACCCCGGTTCGGTTCGACTGCTGGAAAATGATGACGGAGAGTGGAGGAGTCGTGCCCTCAAAGGGATGATGTGCTTGCATTAAGCTCAAGTTCTGTAGAGCCAAAAGGAACGATGCAGGCAGCTTCGTTGTTACAGCTGATTGACGCAACCAAGGCGACGCACACACGTAAAGGTATTTCAACTCGTCCTGCCGGGCTGGCCGCTGAATCTAGTCCTTTCATCCCCTCTTGATACCAACCTTCCCTTATTTTGAAAGCATTAGTTCTTCTTAAGCGTTGGTCAATGACCATACGTGGCACCTCATTACAGGTTCTCCGGTCCGACAGTGCACTTCATCGACGAAAACTACGACGCGGGGGTCATCGTCGCGCAGCGGATCGTGCGGGTGCTCCCTACCGACACCCCGGAGGAGCTGCAGGCGCGGGTGCTGAAAGAGGTGCGGTTTCGTGCTTTCCGGCGAAAACTGATATAAGCTGTTGTGATGGATTACCATAATTTTTGCCAGGAGGTATGTCAGAAGGATATTCCGACTCTCGGGCTTCAGTTGCCTTGCGGTGCTTTTTCAGCTTTTGTCAAAATGGTGATGTCAACCTTTGTTGGATGAGCGTCAAAAAACGACTTTTCCCTCGGGCTTCAGAAGGTTTCAGAACCGCCGAAACCGCAAAAGGCGACAAAAGACGTGGCTAACGTGGTCTTTCTGGTCTTACACGGGCCCTCACCCGAGTCAGATTACCGCCTCTATTACTGCTCTGGAACCCTCGTTTTCGGCTCGTTTTGCCGACTTACAGCTTTGCTTTTCTTTTGAAAATGCTCAACGATCGCTTGAGCTGTAAAAGCGGCGCTTATACTGTCGAGGCAGGAACGTATCTCCTCACATTTACGTCACTGTAAAGCGCCGCTGATGAAACAATCTTTGCAATTCCTTTTTGTGATCATTATGCATCCGTTTTGTGATCATTCTGCATCTTTCCCAGGCATATCTGTCCGTGTACAGAGCAAACAACGGGCCTCTGCACCCTAGCCGAAGTGCGGCTGTGTCCGAGTCCTAGATATTATAAGTCTCTGTGTTTTAGAAACCATAGGCGGTACTTGTCTTTCTCCTTAATGTGCCTGAGATTGGTGCGCTGGACTCATTCCGTGTTATGCTCTGCAGGAGCATTACTTATACCCGATCGTAGTGTCAGCCCTCTGCGACGGCCGCATCCGGTGGCGAGACGACGGAGTCCCGATTCTTGAGGATTACATGCACTCGAGCCCGACCGAACTTCCAGAGACCTCTTCCTGTCGCAACGTGCAGGCCATTATCTGAAGAGGGACTTCCAGCACTGAGAACTCTCTTCAACTGAGTCCGTCTCATTATTAAGATTGTAATCCAATCTGGACACCATGTGACGAAAGATTTGGCCCGCGAACGGTATGTCAAAACTGCTGATACTGTGTCCTAAAGTGAACCAAAGTACTCATGCAACGGGCCAGTGCCATGGTTGCATGATATGCATATGGCCGGCCGACGCTGATCCATGGCACATGCTTAACTCACTATATCAGCTTCGTGTTCTACGGCATCTGTGATTGCAGATGCATTTCCCGCCCCCATATATAGCTAGCTAGTTTTGAAATTGCATAAGAGCACCGGCGGAACAATTGATTAAATATTGTTGGTGCGAGCTAGCTGGCCTAAGTCCAGAACTCTCTCGAACCTGTCGTACTGCAATCCCTGTAAGGCTCCCATCATGGATTGCGAGTACAGACACGTTCGAATGTGGACATACAATTTTGCATGGTTGAACCATTGCAAGCCAGCTAGCCAAGGCTCGCGCGAGCACGATGATGGTATACCGATCGGCCAATCATCAGAACGTACATATGTTTCCGAACTTAAGTATAATTAGCGCGCATAAAATATTTTGCATGCACTTCTCACCTGGCAGCCTCTTTGGCCAGCGCGCATATGTGGCATGGCCGGGCCGGCCGCGGGCGAGCTGGCATCATTCAATGGGCTGAGCTTATATTCGTTTTGTGCGATCACAATCCGAGCTAGTCGTCGGCTAGCCGGCCGGGACAGGCTCGTCTCGATGCTTGAATTAGCATCGGACAAAATGAGCGACTGATACTTAAGAATTCTAAGCGTATAACGACGTGCTAAGCGGGCCCGCTACTATACTAAACTAATCGAATGTCGGACTGTATTACTTCCAAACGCTGCCAGCGGATTATAGGATTCCGGCGCTAATCTGGCAGTGACCTTATGTAAGCGGTGGTGCTGCGACTCCTATCCAACTCCTACGACGGAACAACTCGCGTAACTATCTTTACACTCTTCTGCCAAATACGGTGATCTTAGGATGCCGCAGGGAAATCTACCTTTAAGCCTGAAATGCAAGGTAACTATCCTTTGGGGCTGCCGCCCCGTAGCCCCAACCGTCTGCGTCTGTATTGGATCGGCTTGACCCAAGTCATCTTTCAGGTTAAAGAGGTTGAGCGCTAGGTGACTAAGACGGCCTCGAAGAAATCTGGCACGACTCCAACTGATGTGTCGTTGCTGATCGAGCTTCTAACCCTATTCTGATTACGGGGCTACAATTGCGCTATTCCTGACGTAAGCTGGACTTTCGGACGCTTTGGATTCTATCGAGGGTGCTAAATGGCCTACGAGAGCTTACTGCCAACCCGAAGACTTTGTTGCGTGTGCTCTGCTTTCCTGACCCGCTGTGCACTCTTTTGACGGGGCATCTTTCCATCTACGCCCTGCTCAGTCTAGTTCGGGAGCAAAGAGGGGCGGGTCATTCAACGCCTTCTCGTTCTCTTCGAAATACTCGTTGATCAACGAGAATATTGGAAGGTCGGTTTCGTCATCCCCAAACGGATCTGTATGAAGAATCGAACGCTTGCGTCAGACTTTCAAAAGATTGGACGGTTCGCCCGGCGAGAACCCCGCATCGGCTGTCTCTTTTAGCAACCGACACGGTCCGCTTTCACGATTCGCAGAGCCAGAGGGTCAACCTAAGCCTCAAGGATGCAGTTGGCAGGCACGGTAACGAGGCAGCCGACGTTGACCTTCACGTTTCTTTTCACATAACCTTTACCAGTGTGAAAGCGATCGCTTAAACTTTGACAAATCTCTGCACACCGTTGGCATCATTTTGGCTGAAGAATGCGAGGAGAGTTTTGAGCGTCGCAGTGAGAGTAGACAGCAGGATAGGGAGCGCCCCGTGTTTATTTCGCTGACTGCAATGTGTACAACGTCCAGAACGACAGCCCCTAGGTCTCACCTGCGAGGGCGACTCCCAGTTCGCACACAAGAAGAGGCGCAAGAAGTCTGGACAACTCTCAAACCCTTCAACCCTCAAGCTCTCAGGAAACTACGTCTTTCCGCAAGGGCGTCTCCCTTCCGGCGCAAGCCAGAAGCACATGGATCTCGATTTTAGAATGCGCAATGTTCTAAGATATTCTTGGTCTCACCCGCGAGCGCGACTCCCAGCTCGCGCAGTCCCAGCAGCGCGATCGTGAAGACCGCGTAGCCCAAGAGCGACCAGTACGCCGAGAAGAACGCGAAGGCGTACGCGTTGACAGCGAGGTAGACCAGCAACAAGAAGTTGATCAGGTGGAAATACGCAAACGGGATGGGCCTGCGCACGATAGGGTATGGGCGTGTGTGAGCAAGTTATGGTGCGCTTGAGAAGATGACCAGGTGGAATTATGCAAACGGGATGGGCCTGCGCACCATAGGATATGGTCTTTGCTTAGCCAGTTATGGTACGCTCGAGGATGTGGGCTGACTTTGCACGTCTGGACGAAGATGGAGCCGAGGAACGGGGTCGGTTGCGAAGGCTCGTGACCGCAGAGTAAGCGACGGAACAGCGTTGGAGCGTTTCATGCTCCTTTCTCGCCGCGGAATGGGGCCTGCTCATCTCCTGAGGCGCTCCCGCATATGACGCGCTCACGGATGGGAGGGAAAGCAATGCTCGAGACTGCGGAGTCCATCGAAGTACACTGAATTTTCATCTCGGGAGCAGCTTCATTTTCGGGTGTCCGCTGCGCTGAAGGGAGTCGCGCACGCTGCCAGGGATCTAAACCCTGATTAAAATCAAGGCCCTTAAACCAGTCCATGTGGGTGTTGCTGGAAGCATTGAGCGACTCACTGTGAGGTGTAGTTGTAGATGTCTTGAATGCTCTTGCGGACGTCCAGCACGTTCCGTTCATAAGCCTGCAGCGGAGAGCGGAACGTGAGCTCATCAAGGTGTTCATAACAGTGACCAAGCGACATGTCAGAGGCAAATTTCAAAGACCGTCATCGAAATTGAAACGAACTTTTCAGCTCTCCGGTAAACTGCAAGTTCGGCGTTAAGCAAGCCTTGATCAGCGAACGGTCAACTCCTTAAGCATCTGGTCTTCCCAGTCTCTGCACGCGAAGTCCTGAACGGAAGATTCTCCAAAGCAGCTTCTCAAACCTCGTATCGCGATTCGTACCTGGTAGATTCTGGACTCGATGTCCTTGTTTTCGGTGTGCACCCACAGCCGTTGCAAGCACCAGAGGAGGCACTCTTTGTAGGCGTTCCGGCCGGGGAGCGCGCGCAAGACGTCGACCTCTTTGCTGGACAGCACTTGCAGCGACTGGAGGTGGGCATACGCCCAGTCGACCATGCCGTCGCTTTTGTACTGGGGCAGATGAGCCAGGCCCAAATAGTGCGCAGCGGACAGGTACCGGAAAATGTCCCTGGGGGGCGCAAATTGCGGGTTCGTGAGTGGTGGGTGCGTGTAGATTTGAGTTGCGTATGGTGGGTTTGTGAATGGTGGACTTGTGATTCGTGGGTTTATGGAACAGTCATTTGCGATTGGTAATTTTGTGAATGATAGTTGAATGGTGGTGTTTTAGTAATGTTGGGTTTGTGAGTGTTTGTGCATAGTACCCTCGGGGGCTAGCGCAATGTTCTTTGCTCTTTGCGCAACGTTCTTACTGGACATCACACATGTTTAGCATGTTCAAGAGCGGATAAGCCAAAGTACTCCGTTTCCTGACGAGTCCTGAATAACTGAAAGTTAAAAATCAGGCTCCGATATTTGGGCTGACAGGAAACGGGCCCTCGTGAAGTTCTGCGACTAACCAGGGAGCCGAAACGGGTCTACTTACACAGCAGGCCTAGAGGCTCCTCGTAGCTGGGCGGGAGTTAATGGTACACAGTGGCTGGCTGTAAAAGGTTGGCTCCGGAAAGAATTACCCAGACGGAAAAGGAGCAGAGGGAAATCAAAACAGAATCCACGGACGCACAAACCGGGGGAAGAGACGAGAAAGAGTGAGGAGAGAAAGAGGAAGAGGAGCAAGACGAGATACGGAGACAACCTGGAAGCAGATCGTCGTCTTTAATCATACAGCTGTTTAAGCTTTTAAACTGCCATCAGATTTACGCTCGGAGCATGGGTCCCTGATTCAGGACCGTCGGATCGACGTCGTCAAGGCATCTGACGGTTACGAACCACGATGCGATCTTGAAAGTGAGACGCGAAGTTTGACGCAAACGGCTGTGGCAAAAATAGGCGGCCGGCGCGGGGGCTCACAAGCGAGTGGTGGCCGCGTGCTTGATGAGGCCGTCCCGGAAGTTGGTCCGCAGCATGAGAACTAGGTTGGAGATGGCGTGCTCCGTGTTGCGCGCGAGGCGGTACTGGTCGAAGAAGCGCTTGTACGACTCGTTGTTGAAGAAGACCAGGAAGAAGGAGAGCAGCGCGCCGGACGTCCCAATCATCGTGATGTTTACCTACACGGATTCGTGTTGCTTGTTTCAGCGGTCCCCCCGACAATTGCGAGCATTCTTGGTGTTTGGCTTTGCGTGGATTGCGTGTTGTCTGCAGTGACTTCTTCTAACAACACCAAAGAAAACGATTAAAACAAGGGCATTCTCTTAGGGGGACCGAAAGGACGACAGACACTGCACGAACGACGCGAGGGTCACCTCGCCGTTTCATCCGCGCGCAGTCCTCGTTCCCCTCTTCCCGTCATGAAACGTCTCCTTTTACGGTGCACGTCCAGCAAAAGAACTCGGAATGTACGTCAGTTAGCGAAAGATATTTACCTGCGTGGCCTCTGGTCTTGCACTTTCAAAGTTCCTCTACTTTCGCCCCTGACTTAGTTCTCGCCGTTCGACTATGACTTTTTCGCTTCTAGCAGAAGAGTCCGAATAAGAAAAACAACGCATGTACGTGCCAATAATCTTGGCATTCAGCTGGCAAGATGTTCCGTTGTTGTAGTTACAATTCGCTCTTTTCTGCATGGTTGAATGCCTAATGCTGAAGCCATGAGGTTGCCGCACCCCACTACAAACCTGATACAAACTCTAGCCTACGTTTCATCAGCATTAAAAGTCTTTTGTAAGAAAGTTGATGTTTCCTGCCGGCTGCGTGCTTCGCAAGTAATTTGGCGAGCTGGTGCGCAAGTCTCAGATTGTTCTAGCTACTAGAAACCAAGGGCCTTCGAGGACAATCTATGCACCTATTATTCGAATGCCTCAACCGAGTGGGTAAAGCCCTGCAGTGGGCTTCAAGAGGTCCAGGGCTTGCGCGCTAAGTGAGCCGCTACCAAATCATCTTGGACGATGACCCACTGCAAGCGGTGCACCACTCCCCTCTAGAGCTTGTGCAAGTTCACCGTAGAAGAGGAGAGCAGCAAAGTCCGGAAGGGCAGATACTCACGCCAGGCCAGCCATATTCGCGCGGTTCCTCGCGGGTATCGTTGGTGGTGTGGCCGGAAGTGCTCGTGTAGAAGACCAAATTCACAGCCAGGTTCAGCAGGATGAGGATCCAAAAGTCGACCCGCGTGAGCACCATCTTGAGGGCAGTGCCCTGGAATGCGAACAAGGTCTTCAGGGGAGCATCTGCCAGGAGGGGAGTTTCAGCGACTAAGTCTTCTTCTCTTGATTTTGATTTCTGGATGTAGGGTTTGAGCACACCCAGCTGGAGGGATCGACTTTGCCGAAGATAGGATGTCTTGCGATTCAGGCTTTTCAGGATGTGAATTTAGAGGTTTTTCATTAAGGTCTGTGTACAATATGGCCATAACGGTTCGCATGTTCCACAGAACATCTGTGGAGCACCTTGATATGACAAAGAGGGGTTACGAGAGAGGTACGGGGGGTCAGGCGGAGAAAAGGTGGAGAAGAATAAAATCTGGAATCCATATATAACAGGCCGAGCCAGGAGTACAACAGGGAGGCAGACGGACTTTTGCAGAATTAGGCTTCTTCTCCCAGCACAGCAAAAGGAAGAAAGCAAGTGTTGCAGACTTGCTGGTGAGTCCTACATTATGCAGCTCAATATCGCTCGGCTCGACCTACATCTATAAGACCATTTTTCAACAGGGCAGGTGACATTTGCATCCGCAGCAAAGCTCGTCAGGCTTTCCAACTCGAACATTATAATGGGCACAGGGCGAAACAAAGAAAACCTCAGCTTTGCAAAAGACGCATATTTCCATCACACCCAACCCACACTTTTCACCTCACAATACTGCACCATGTTTACCAACTTCGCTTTACAAAACAACTCCCACGCTGCACATTCTAATAATGGTCTCAAGAACAGCACATTGGCCCAGGATCAACTGTGGCAGAAGAAAATAACAGCATAGTCTCTTCAGCCCGCTTCTGACCACGAACGGGTCAGAACATCGGGGAGCTTGACGATGCTGCAGCTGATGCAACCAGAAGTACCACCAGATTGCACATGTCGCTCGTCACAAAGCATCATGCACTCGAAAGGCTCACAGGGTTCCCCAAAAATAAAACTGCCTAGCAACAAAACGTTTGCACGATAACCGACAGATTAACACCACAGCCAGGGTTAGAGTGACCCACTTGGGTTGTAGATGATTGTCTTGAGCACCAGCCGGTGTCCTTTCAGCAGCGCCGCACTCTCGCTCCTCAGAGTCATGCTCGTCTTGCTCACCCCCCCCCCGCCAGATCCCGCCACGGGCCTCTCAGCAGGCCTGACAAACCCGCATGCGTGGCAGTCCCAGGGCCCTCTTCAGGGTGCACCTTCCCCTCGGATCCTCCGCCCGCGTCCAAGTGCTGGTCCAAACCTGCGGAAGCCTCCTTTGGAACCTCAAAGACTGCTTCGTCATCTCCCACTTGCTGCAGAAGGGCGGTGTTGGATGTTGTTCGAGGGGTCCGGACGCTCTGAGGATCGTCAGATGGTTCGCTTCTGATTCTGAGCTCAGATGATGCTCTGTCGCTTACTTGGCTGGAAGCCATAATAAGCGCAAACTGCTTTGACTGCTTCCGCCCCGCAGCTGCACAACGAACGAGGATTCCGCCAACTTGAAGGCACTTGCCTTATCAGGACGTCTTGTGCGCTAGCGGAGGTCGGTGAAGACTTTGACACGTTGAGAGGGGGAAAGTGTTTGTGGCCAGTAGAAGGGTTAGAAAGAGCGCCGGAAGAACTTTCCACACTCAGGGCTATGAGCTCGTCCGCACACTAGCGTCACAGCTAGAGAAGGTTTCAAGTGGTCTCCACGATGACTGCGGACATCCTTCCAAGTTCTTGAATGTGGGCCTTCCGAAAGGATTGAATCTGAAGGCCAGATTGGATTAGGTCCTAGGCTCCTAGCCAGACTGGCGGCTGGAGTCTCTATTACCGTACGGTACCCAGGCTGCACAGTGCACACATGTGAAGTACGGCGCGACAACTGAATGGCCCAGCGGCCTCATCGTACCCAAGCCTCTAGGTGCCTGCTTGCAGGCTGCAGACTGCATGGTACCAGGTAAGGTCTGTACAAGCTGAACCCCCGTACTCATTATAAATGGTCAAATCAGGGAATTTGCAAACCGTATAAGCTGCAGATTGGCAGGTATTAAGTAAAGCTGGAGACTCGAGAACTGTTTGCTAGCAAGTCTGGGACCTGTGGGGTTAGGCTGGATCGGTTTAGGACGTTGAGTACCTAACGAGTTCAGGAGCGGAGAAGTTCCTTCTTGTGGTTTACCTACCTATCTTCGAAGTGTGGTTCACGTGTTTCCTAGCTGAGAGCTCCTGAGCTTCAAATATTGGTTTGAAGTCCGAAGGTCAATGTGGTCATATACCAACTATTAGTATATTTCTTGTTACCAGCCGTACGGGTATTTCTATTTGGAATGGGTACCCCTCGTGAATTAATTCTTGTGTAATGGTCGAGTGGTTCTGTCCGTCTAATCATGGCATGAAACCTAACCTGAGGCCACCGGTGACCGGACCATTTCCGCGACAATGCTTGACTTCATGACGTCACAGAATATGACAAACTGGTTCTGATTGGTCCGTAGCCAAACCTTGACAGTTCGATCATGATCGTTTTTGCGGCGCCGCTGTCGCGGCGGCCCACCCAGTGACAGCCGCAGAGTCGCGAGCGCAACGCGCGCGGCGTCACAATTGTGGCTTGCCAGTCGTCATTTGTGGCGGAGGAAAAGCACACTAGTACCTACGATCTTATTTCAGTATTTGCATGAGATCGATCCACCATGGCCGGAGGCCTGATGGTGCTTCAAATGCAGTCAGCGATGGTGCAAAGATGGCTTCCCTCCTGACCTCTGGCTCCGCGCAGCTGTTCCGGCGCTTCAGGACTCTGCCGATTTGCCCTGCTTTTGGGAGGCTGCTGAGAGGGTCAGGGGTTGGATTTAGCCGTGGGCCCTTGATAGATGCAAGCTGCCAAGCTTCAACAGGCATTCTTTCTGACAACATGTCACCAGATGTCAAAAAGATGAAGGTGATTCCAGCGATGAACGCTACCTCCGGCCCTCCATTGATTGCTTTTAGATGAACACCCTCAAAGATCTCGTTATGGGACCCTTGCATAGATTGCAGTCTCCAGTTGTCAAACTCCACCCGTCAAAGTATTCATATCTCTGGTGCTGTGCGAGGCGACAGCAGGATGGTGGGAAAATCGAAGTTCTTGGTCGAAATTTGGATAACCAAACCATGTCTTGTAATACAAGCGATTTGTTTCCTAACTTTTGGCCCCAAAACTCGACTTCTTCATTCTGACAGGAGTTACATGATGAAGAACACCTGGATAAAGCTGGAATTTGCTCCAAACCGCTGGCATATGCATATGCATGTCCTCCCGTGGATTGTCACGTGCATCACCGTTCAAAGCATTTTATTCATCCTGTCATCATGCAGGTTCTGTTCTGCTCCCACCACTTCACGGATGGCTTCCGCTTCACTCAGGACTTTCTAGCTGATGAGTCAGCAATAGAGGTAAGGCGCTCACTACTTGTTGGTGGGGGAAGGCTTCTTCGTGCTGAGCTCAACTGGCACTCATTTTGCGGTCTCTAAGGGAGGGACTTCGCATCTGAGTTGAGTCAAATTCTGTAAGAAAAGGAACGGATATTCATGTTTTGATTGATGAAAAGAAGTGGGGGACAAGGTTGACTTCTTGACCAGGCAAAGGCCTGCTCATTCTTCCTGGCTGCAGCGTTAAGGCAGGAAGACGCAAGAGTAGCCGTGCCTTTGATACCGCGAACTTGCATTCACACAATGCTTGCTTTCCTTCAGCAGCGTCAATTCGTAGTATCTACCTCTTTCTTCAAGTAAAGGAGTCAAGCCCGCTCTGGCCCCTTCTTTTCCACACCCCGGATGCCCTCAAAAACTTGTTCAAACAGAATTGCAATTTAGTACGAGGGCTATAAAGGGCCATATAAATCAAAGTTGTGGTGGTACCACCTCACCGTACAAGCTCGTACCTTGCCCCAAGCATTCATTGATATCTACAGAGTTGTCTTGATCAAATATTTAATTGAATGGGGACTTGTGCTTCCAGGTGGTGCGGTGCGAGAGCGACAAGCTGGACGACAACGTCGATGATGCGAGCGTCCTCGTCCCGCAAATGACTCGAATTGGGCGCGAGACAATCGCAAAGGCAAAGAAGCTCCGCATGATCCTCCAATTTGGAGTGGGCCTGGAAGGTAAGTTTTGCTTTGCCCGTGGCCAGACTGCACCTTGACGACTGTGGACGGTTTGGTGCATTCTTTTTCATCCTGGTCAGCCTTCGAAACAGCTAGTCCAGGTAGGTTTGGACATTTTGGCTTCTGTTTGAGCTGTCAAAAGTGTCAAACTCTTGCCTGCCAAACGAACAGGAGAAGAGCGAATGTATTCGGCAGGAGCCAGCGAACTGGAGACTTTCGCAATTCCATCAAATCTGCAGAGTCCCATTGGCTGTAACGTTACACTTAACCTGATTCAGTAGACCAGTTCCAAATCCTAGACCTCCGAAGGCAGATTATTTTCTGGCGTTGCAACAGGCGTCGACACCGAAGCCGCCACTGAAGCTGGGGTTATTGTTGCGCGGATACCTGGGGCTGCGTCAGGGAATGCGCCCTCGTGTGCAGAGATGGCCATATACCTCATCCTGGCACTGCTCCGTAATCAGGTAGACACTTGTCTGGGGGTTGCTGTGAAATTCAAATCTGTTCTACACGACGTCCTGTAAGAGGCGCATGCATGCTGTGGGGGACAATGGAAGGACCGTACCAAGTCGACTTGAGGGAATTTTGTCAACTTCTAGAAGAACTTCCCCCGAGCTCGAGGTTCGGCGATTACTCCCTGGTCTCGGGCCAGGTGCTGTCGTGTTTTTGATAGTCTGAATGTCCGGTACCTTGGACTCTGCAAACTGCCGATAAGTCCCTTCGTCTCTCAGCTTTGCGTCAAGCAAGAGTCGTTCTTTCTCGGCAGATACGAAACCCACCCTGGTCGTCATCCCGTAAAAGCTGATTTTAAGGCGCAATGGGGGAGATTACTGCCAACCTTGCGCGAACGCTCCTCGCGTCTATCTGCAGAAAGGCATGGAAGAAGCTGTGGCCGCCTCGCGCCTCGGCACGCCCACTGGCAGAACGTTGCAAGGGTTGACGGTAAGGCGTAGGTTTTCTTCCGCCTATCTCTGACCAAAGACATAATCACCGGAGGCCTTTTCAGCCTTCCGTTTGGAAGACGGATCATCTGCTTTTCGTCACCACGCTCATGACAAAAATGTCCACCTAAGCGAAGTTGGATCTCCGTCCGATTTAGAAAGAAAGTGTTCGCTGTTGTTACTGGTGGGGCCTCCCTTTGCTGAGACGAATCTGTCACGGGCCCAAACCAGCCAACCCTTACAAAAGCGTGAGTGCGTCCCAAGCTGACTCGTCTCCCAACCATTTTTCGGAGTGTCCAACTTTGACCTTATCTATTGGATCTTTAAGAGCTCGCTTGAGCCTTTCCCAACCTGGCACTGTTTTAGAGCGGGTTTCTGCTGGACGGAGAAATGGCAATTCAATAGCATCTAGTGGCGATTTACGTGACTAACTTCATTTAAATTTACAACGACATGTGAACCAACTTTGCCGCTTTTGCTCCGTCACTGCTTGCTGGTCACTTCTGTCCATTCCTTGCTCTCAGGTTCTCATCGTGGGCTTTGGGGCGATCGGTAAAGAACTTGCCGTGCGACTGAAGCCGTTCGGTGTGCGTCTCCTAGCGCTGCGGGTCAGCGGCGGGCGGCCGCCACGAAGCGACTCACGTAAGGCCGAATCACATTCTTATCTGGCATGCCGGTCGCATTCCTCTGCTCCGTATACAGCTGGGCTTTTGGTTCTTTTTCCTGTACAAAGCGGCCGTGCCAAGGGGCGACCGGCAGAGTGAGCCGTCCCTGGGCTAGTCGCCAGCAAAGTCACCCAAGATGCTCCCCCCAGAAAGCGAGAGTGATGACGCTTTGACGTGATTTCAGTGTGCTTAAGGAAGTCGAGACGACGACTATGCGAGGAAGTCTACTGTATGAGAGAAGTTGCTCTACTTGTTGGTAGCCAAACAGCGGCTGTGCTTTTCAAAAAGAGGGGTTCGCTTTCCGATATCGAAGTCCGGTCTGCCACGATGAAGAACTTCTTGTATTTGCAACCCCACGGGCATCCATGCACGAACACTAGTTGCCGCAATGCTCTGGTCATGAATATTTGATGATTAGGCTCTACCACCACCCTTTCCGCAGGTCTTCAAACTCCTCTGCACGTGTCGACTGTCAAATTCCTTTCCTTTGGCACGCTCTTTCGGGAAGCGCAGTCACTCACCGAAGAAAAGTGTACCAGAGATGAAGCTGGATTTTCATCGTTTTTCCCGGTTCGTCGTCCCAGTTTCTCCTTGGTGACCACTAGCCATCCTTCTCCCGGGCGACGCAGGGACAACGTGCTGTGATGTCAGGATGTTCGGTATGCCCCCGAAAGTTCGGAGTAGAGTGTATCGTCAGGTCCCGTAAAGTTTGCACCTAAGGCATCGCAAACTGGTGCTACAACAATTTGACCCTGCATTTAACGGGCCCGAGCCTGACGCTCCTTTGCAGTACGTGCAATGTCAACCGAGCCCCCGTCGTCCCTTCTGAGGGAGGCGCCAAGCACAGAAAGCACAACGACCGAACGGCCGACATCAGACGGAACTGACGGAACGAACGGAACAGAATCGACGGAAAGTAAGAACGTAAGGGAATCCACGGGGACGGGACGTCCGGAAGGAACGGAAGGACCGGACGGAAGGGAAAGAACGGAACGGACGGACGCGTTTGAGGGGCTGCTCGACGAGCAAGGGGCCCTCGACAAGAGGGACGAGCTGCTGGCGCGGGCTGACGTCATCGTGCTGGCGTGCCTGCTGACGAAAGAGACGGTAAGACCGGACGCCACGTGGCAGATTCAATGTGATCCGAGACGTCGGAACGCTACGTCGTCCTGCCCTGCATGCCTGCTGATGAAGGTGCTGGTAGACAATCCGACGTTCTGGTTTCTACTTCGATGTGGCTTCTGCTTCAGTGGAGCGGACGCTGAATCTTGTGCTCGGCTGGCATAAGGCGAGAGTCGTGCTGGAAGCAATTCATTGCCCATCAGAAGACCGTCGTTCACGTTACTTCAAAAGGCTCCGGCCAGCTTGATCGCCTTGGAGTTACTCGAAATCTTATTGGGGAGCCCTCGAGTCGCGCAATTTATCACCACTGGAAACTGGGGACGCTTCCACCACTCAGACTCCTCCCAGACCTGTCTGGTTTGCCGCTCTGTCCCTTTTACTAATCTCGTGTTGTCATGTGCAGCGAGGGTTGGTCAACGAAGACTTTTTGCGGAAGATGAAGCAGGTGAGCTCCCACTGTCGCCCTCTTATTCTGTAAATTGTAGGCGCCGCATGACGCAATTTTCTCGACACCGGCCTACTGTAGAGCGCCTTCTTTGGTTAGGACGTAGGTTTCCCTGTTGCTTGCTGCGCCCAGCCCTTCGTGGTCTGTAAATGACTGTTCGCCCTGCATTGCTTACTCATTGCCGCTCAGAAACTTTTGCCTGTCATTCTTCTCTTCGTGGACCAAAGCCCGCCCAATGAGCAGAGTCAGTCCTGTGCCGAACCTATGTAAGCACTCCAGGCAATTTCAAATGGCACGGGAGGCAGAATGGCTTGTCCCTTTCGAACCCGCCGCCTGTTGAGAGACTTCCAGGCAGCTCCTCAACCGACATGGTCGCTCTGTTTGTGTGCAAGAAACTTGCATCTGATCGAACCGAGAAACGTCATTCTCTTTTTGCCTGAATATTGCAAAACAATTGTCGGTCGACAAAAAGCATAAGCGTGCTTCCTTTCCCAGGACGCCATCCTAGTTAACATCGCCCGGGGACACCTTCTAGACTACGATGCGGTGCGGGCCGCTCTAGAAAACAATCGGTTGGCCGGATTGGGAATGGACGTGGCGTGGTCAGAGCCGTTCGATCCATCCGATCCCGTCGCACGTCATCGGAACGTCATCCTGACGCCCCACGTGGCGGGCGTCTCGGACAAGTCGTACCGCACCATGGCAGAGGTGAGGCTTCAAAATTTGTAATTCTAATTCAGGATGATGTGAGCTCCTATCTTAACAGTAAAAACGTAACCAAAATGACCTGTTTCGCATCTATGTACCTACGATTAACCCTCGAAGTAACCTACTACGTCCCAGGCTGCTTGGTTGCTACAGATGAACCTTTTAATCTTCGGAGGCCCGAAGAGTCTTTGCATCTCTGGGCTTTCAACAGGGCTTTCGTGAACTAGCATACCAAGCCTGGTATTCTGCGTCCGTAGTTCTTCTGTTTGATTGCTGCTGTTTTCAGATCCTTGTTCAGAGCATCGGTTTGTGCCGAAAATATCCGGTAAATTATCAGCGTTGGCCTCCTGGCCGTCGTCCTACATCTGCTACTGTGGGGCTGAGTTGTTATGCAGCTTATGCGTCCGGCCATTCTGCCTTTAAATTCATCCAAATAGAGGAATGCAGTGGAGCCTTGAAGGCAGCAGTCGGACACGTTTTGGCAGGACAGAGTGACGACCTATCAAACTATCTGCCTCAATTGTAAAGAACCCAAGCAAGCAACAAAAGTGACGCGCTGTGTTGCTCCACATATGGAGCGGTCGGGGCTTCTGGTTTTCCCCGTCGGACGTTGAAACGGCTTCTGAGATTCCGCTGATGTGGCTCGCTCGACGCGTTGTGCAGATCATTGCGCATTCCGTCCGAGAACTCCGTGACGGGCAGCCTTTCACAAAGATTGAGGTCATCAATCAGGTTAGCAAAGGCCGGTAGCTAACACTCAAGCTTGCGTTCTTGTCAGACGAGGCCACCGCTATTTCGGCCGATGGCCAAAGTCGTGCCAGCTTTTTAAAGCTGCCGCTGAGCTCACTATGTGTATGAATACAATATTATGAGCCCCAAGGACTGGGTTCCTATAATCAATGTACAGGCGCCCCTGCAAACCTAACCTGTAGCAGACAGTACATGAAGGAACGTGATCTTACCACGTCCTTATTGGCCGGGCTTGTCGAACCAACCCGTCTGCGTTCATTCCTCTTTAAGTGATGCAATATGATTGCCATTTCTGGGAGGCCGCGCAGCATGCGGCGGCAGTGCACACGGATGTTACTTCTTCACGGGCTTTGAATGAAAAGAAGCGAGTATACTGTATGTATGGCGGGGCGTATTGAGTGCGGTTCTAACATCGTATCACTGTCGTGCATGCGCATCCCTGAGATGCTTGAATCAACCAACATTCAATAAACTTTGGCTAGCTTATTGAGCTATGGCACATGCTATACGTTATAAACTCCAAGTTACGTGACTCGTCGCAGATGAACATCCGTTAGCTTGGCATTTGCATTTGTTGTGCGGCATGCAATTCAAACTTTACGTCAACCTAGTACAAACATATGTCGGCCGGCCGCGGAAATTGCCGCCCAGAACATTACGAAGTTGTCTCACTCGCATGGCGGTCATGGTTATAGGCGCAGTCAAGCTCTGCCGCTATTGGGCGCACGCCAGCCTCGCCAGCGGCCCCCGGCATGCGCTATAGAGCTGCACCGTCATGTTGCACATGAAGGAGAATCTGGCCGTCACTGAGTGAACCTGGCTGCGAACATGATGTTGTGCACAAGGGCATATATGACGCCTGACGATACCGGCCCGGCCGGGGTCGGCCCGGCCGCCCGCCTCTAGGAATTGCGTCGGCGCACTACTATAAGGGCCCTTGCATGCGGCCGCATATGTCAAATGTTTGCGAGCTAGATATATTAGTCTAATATATGTTGATATCCATCTTAACTGATTGGTTCAGGACACATGCCAGACTAAGGTGGTACATACATGGATCGTATGATGTTGTTGAACTGCGATCAAGAACATACTGCAACGGGCCGTGCCAGGTAACCCAACGATATTTCTAGCTTTTCGGAGTCCACTCGCGATTGATGGTGAAGTTCTGCACACAGTCAGTGAATCCCGGCTAACGGCATTGGTGCTGTCGGACCGCTTGGCTACCAATATTGAGCTTGGCATGGTATTATAAAAGCTTAACGGTTTGTGCTTGTAATTAGTACGTATTTGTGAGGATGACTCCCTGATTACAAGCTACAAGGCAATCAAACGTCAGCTTGGAATGTTTAGTCACTGAAGCTGGTCCAAGCTTTTGCTTTGCATGGTTGTAGTCCTTGAAAAGTTGGTGGGCTGCCGCTCACGTCCACTGTCATTCTGTGTTTCAAGATCGACTTTGCGCTTGGAAAATTATAAGCTACAGGTGTGCCGTATTCAATGCCGATGCAGCTTGACATCGATGACAACAATCGACTGTTGGAACTTATTTAGGAGACTAAGTAGAACGTACTACAGTGTGACTTAAAGCCATCAAGCTCTGCTTTCGAGTGTGGAACGCGAGCACGGCTGGTGTGTTCCCCTGTGTTGGTTGGTAAACCCTTGATGGGTTGTACGCTCACGTTACCTCAACTGTACAGGGAAACTTTCATCAACGTTCGGATCATCCCGCTTCATGGGCATGCACTCATTACGCCCGAAGCAGGCAATGCCACCAATAGCAATGGGCGAATCGTCAACCTCCTCGTGTCTTCCTTCGGAGGTCTGTTTTACTATTTGACGAGCAGCTAGAACTGTCTTGGGTTCATCCGCGAACATGCGCTCTCTGCGTGCTATCTGTTGCAACATCGGGCGCGCCCTATCTATCCGTCCAGTGCCGGAACTTGCATATGCCCCTTCTCTTTGATGTGCTGCTGGTCGACTCCTTTATGAAGAGAATCAGCTGTCTGGCAAGTTCGTCGCTTGCGAGGGTCTCGTTGGCTTCCTGCACAGGCAAACGGAAGTTCAACAACGGCACCAAATGACGACATTGCGAACGAACTGCAAGGCCTGGATTTGAGCAATAAGCGACCCGCCTGAACCAGCACAATCTGTTCCTCCCGCAAAGCCCTCGGTCTTTCACAAACATGAACAGACACAAACAGAGGGATGCAGAGCTATTGCAAGCTTGCAGAAGCGACCGAGAAGCCGTGATAAAGATTCAAAGCGTTTTCAGCCTCTTTGGTATTATAACATACTTTATTTAGATTATTAGAATCTTTTTGTAATCTTTTGAATTCCAAAATTGTCATGAAGTGTTTACATTGTCACTTTTTGCATTCAGGACAACGGAACTCTGAGTTTTCAGTTGCATCATCAATAATTCGTTCCCGGAGATCAACAATTGCCAACAACGGAGGAGCCTGACCGCGACGCTCATCCTGAGAGCGATTGCAAGGGGACAATCGAGGGAGCCGCAGATGATCGGAAAGCAGATGCAATGCTTACCACGATAGCCAGTCGGTCTTCAAGGCCGGGGGGGTCATTGCTTAAAAACAGCTTCTCGTACGTCTTCCGCAAAGCGTCCACCTGCATAACGAAGAGTGCCCTTCATTATCGATCTATTTCTTCGCGTTGCAAAGAGCGAAGAGTTTTACGAAGAATTCTATTCAACAAGGAGCTGCAGTTCTCCAGCCACTGTATCTGGAGGGCTAACAAACTAGAGCGGCCTCCAACGGCGTGGCCACTCGATGGCAGCGCCGATTTGCACGATCGAACCCTCAACGAACAAAACAATCTCAACATCCGCGATTTAGGAACGGGAGTCGCACCCAATCTCCCAAAAAACAGCAACCTCATACCACACGACTCTGAGACGCAAATTGAGTCGAAAGCGCCCGAGACTGTTGTTGGGCAAGCGTACCCACCTTGCTTGTCTTGAATCCAGCCCGCCTGAGGCCTTCGAAGTTGAGGCCCCGCATCTCGGCGCGATCGCCATGCACAATGGTAAAGGTCGGCACGTCGCGGTCAACCTGTTCAGAAATAGGATTCGCCTTTCAGTACACCTGTGCTGGCACCGTAAGCTGTGGTTTCTCGTGAGTTAGGAAACAAGAATGAGGAATAGCGCCTTTCTATCCCACGGTGATGTTACTGTCAGGAAAGGGCACATCTCATGCAACTCACAAAAGCAAGTTGTTAACAACAGACCCGACAGAAGAGCAGAAAAGTCGAGCCCATTAAGCCGACTCGCTTCGAGCCGCGGCACTCCTAAACGTGGGGTCCGACGTCAGCCTGACGAAAGCCTGAACGACTCACCATAGCCCCCCCGGCAAGGAATGCGTAGGACCCCAAGTGGCAGAACTGGTGCACGGCGGTAGCTCCGCCCGTATGGACGTGGTCCTGCGGGGAGATGAGAGGTCGTTCTGAGCCGTACACGTGGCAGATTGAACGCTCCAGACGCAAGTTTGTGCGCACATCGGAAAAAAGGCTTGAAGCTCGTGGCTTCGGTTTACGAATTACATTAGGCTGGTTAGCTAAGGGGTTTGAGGATGACGGGTTCTGACGGTGAAGGGACATGTTTGATGATCCGGGTTAGAGGCAGCAGTTGCCATAGAGCTGAGTTTTCAAGAGCGACAAGGCAGAGAAAGCTGAAGGTGTCGACCTTGTAAGAGGACGCAAGAAGCGCTGAAATTGGCGGATCGACCACAAATGAGCCCGTTGATGAAGCTGAACGAGGAAGTGGAGCAAACAAATATACTTGGTTCTTTTCAGGCAATCAAAAGCAGCGGCTTTCAGTGAGTCAGTTCGCCTTTGTCCCAGTCTCAAAGCAAGCGCATGCTGTCAATCTCGGCCAGTCAGTTTTTCTTTTGTAACGGGGTGCACAAAAATGAGTCCACTGAAGCCCCATGCAAGCGTCAGCGCTCTGGAAGCATCACGCTGTCGGTCTCGGATTGCAGCAACATGGAAGGGGCGCGGATAGCGTTAGAAACACAAAATGAGACGAATTTGTTTTTGTTTTGCTCACCTGGATAACGATATGGCCAGCCAGCAGCGTGCCGTTGGCTATGATGTTGTGGTTGCCGATGATGCAGTCGTGTGCCACGTGGCACGAGCCCATGATCAGGTTGTTGTCGCCCAAAATCTGCACAAAGGAGACGTATACGTCTCGAACTTCGGGATGATGAGTGGTAGATATACGAACCTGCGAAAATCTTTCTTCCACTCGACCCAAAGTTCTACCTGCCGCAAACTTCAGAGCACCCTATCCCGCTGACCCATCCCACCTCTGTCCTGCGTGCTTGTCCCGTCAGAGTTCCTGATGTAGACCGCTAAAACTAAGACCGCGGCGACCATTCTAGTGCAGACATTTTTTAGCGACGACATCAGGTCATTGCGGACAAACTTCGCAAGACGAAAGGCAGTCCAAGGTTACAAGTTGCCGGAGCTCAAAGGTTTGCCAAAGAGCGCACGCGACAAGGAAACTGGGCGATTTTGAAAATGTGCGTATGTATAGTATGACCAGACATTGCCACCCAAAAATGAGGTCCAGAGGGTGGACATTTTTTTTGGAGATGGCTTTATCTTAAGGGCAGATCGGAATAGCGACGTGATGCAAGACACACTCTGGAACGACGAGGCTAGATCCATGCAGTGTCCAGATGATTCACTAGTGACATTAAGGTCGTCAAACACGTCGAACGCATTCGAAACTGCAATCAGCGGTTGAAGCACAGTAAGGTTGCAGATTTGGGGATGGATAGAGGACAACAGAAAGGATTGTCGGATGCACTCACGGTTTTGAGATCCGGTCTTGACGATCTGTGAATGCTTGAATGCTCTCGGACGTCATTCTTGTTTCCCACTACGAGGTAGCAGTCATCGCCCTGCAATGATCAAAAGGTCCTGTTTCAAAGTTGCGTATGCTCATCGTTATCAGTTTTTGGAAGAAAGCACAATTCTACTCACTCATTGTATACCCTTTCGCACTTTTTGCCAGGGGACAGAGAGGAATCCGATCACTATTCCTCGACTTTTGCAGGGGGAACAAAGACGCATTCCAGACCTGCATTTTCAACCGAAGGAGCCAACCCCGAGTATGCTTTACGAAATCGTCAGAGACGCAAATATAGCAAATTGTATGCAAAATCGGTGGCCGTACTTCATGTGAGCCGGATGCTTTGCTTGCACCTGATTCATCATGCGACCTGAGAGTTCTTGATCCCTCTGAAGAGTGATCTTTTCACCTTGTACTTCAGGTCTTGACACAGGACGCCGACGACGGAGTGGTAGCCAAAGCTGTTGTCATCCCCAATGATGGTCGTCCCTGGAAGATCTGCCCCCACAATGGCACCGCTGATAGATGAAAAGACGAATGAATAGTGAGAGGTCGATTTACTAGGTACTCAAATGCATGACGGCATATTTGCTAATCCCCAAAGCAAGACTAAGGAAGGTTACTTTCCATCTAAGTCCTGCGGCAGAATGCAGATCTTTGCAGCTTTTAGTCAGGCTGTTTGCCATTAATTCAGACAAACGTCTAGTTCAGGGATAATCTGTGTACTTGCATAAAGACTCTGGAATCGGTTTTATGTCCATGGTTGATGTCACCAAAGCAGAGCAAATTGCAACGGCAGAAAGCAATTACTTTTGAGGGGCCCCGGCCACATGAAAAGGGTCAGAGCGGCTTGTCGCATAAACAAGTCGGTAGAATATTATCCCACCTGTGCAAAGTGTTCCGCTTTCCCAGGACTGTATTTCCGGCAACTTGACTTCCGGGATGCATGACGCAACCTTCCCCTAGGACTGCGCCAGGCCCCACCGTGCAGAGTGGGCCAATCCTGACGCCCTGCGAGTGTTTGGTGATGTCAGCACATCATCAAAAGCTTGCTGATGTCAGCAAGCCAGTAGATCTTGGCACTACATGGCAATCTGCAGACTGATACTTACAGCCGCTTACAGAACTTTCCAGAATGATACTTCCAACCTGTTTCAGAACAACCTCAGATGTCGGGCAGGAGAAAGAAAGCAACTCTTTCTTTCTTTGGGAGACGATTCGTATACGTCATGAGCAGGCAGGCAAACTTAGAGCTTTCAAGTTTCTGCTCTGCCTCACCTCCGCAAGTACCGCATCATCATGGACCACGGCTGTGGGGTGTATTGACACCCCCGATCGCAACAGATTGACGACCTGACTGCCTGCTCCGTTGTGTGTCACCTCTCTGCTTCTTTGAAGCCATGGCCAGTCGCCCAGGTCTTCGCTCTCCTCTTCTTTTGGACTCGACCCTGAACAAAACCCCCAGAACAGCTCAAAAATCTAATCTTTTCCATAAACATCCTGGTTCCATCCTTTTCTGAGCAATCATGATTTTGAGCTTTCTTCACAAGACCGCTGCTAGAGTTCTGCATTCGAGCTGTGCACAATGACACCACAAATTGGTGAAGCTGTGTGATCAGCCAGTGGCTGCCAACCAAAGTCAAATTGACGGCAGAGTAACCGCAAATCAGGCCAGCATTGAATGGATCTGTGGTGTACCTGCGGCTGATGCTTGAATGGAGCCTCCCCACCTGACTCCCCGCCCGGACCCCTGAAAGAGGGGCAGAGAAAATGTTGTCGGAATGATGTGCTTCTGTATTCACCAGCTCCAAAAGGGCCATATTGCCCCTCCTTCCACTGAGCCATCGATGCGACCAGCCTATTCTGGCTTGGTTTCAAATTGAGAGTGGCAGCGCCAGCATTCTGATCCACCTTTCCATCGCACTTGCGGGACAAACAAAGGGCTTTTGTCTCGCATCTCGTTGGGCTGAAATAAGGCGTGATGCTTCACAGTAAGTGATTAGACGTGACACTTCTCTGATGCATTTTGTAACTCAAGCAGAGTTTTGTCCCTTTTGGTAATCAGTCCTGAAGCTTTCCCTCCTCCTCTTTCACATAATTTCAGACTGACACCAGCATTGTGTTTGGAGCTTATTGTGGACAATTAAATTGTCTGCAGATCATTTCTAGAGCGCAATTGAAAATATTGTCAAGAACTTACCCAAGCTTTTTGTTTTGCAATCCGCAGCCTCGCTGCTGTGCATGCCCTCAGCTGTTCAAAGCCAGATTCCTGACTCAGAAACTGTCTCCCTGCCCCAACCGAAGGAGCCAACATGTGGGACTGCGGCAAGGGACCACCCCTTTGAAGATACCCTGAACAGACGCACTCAATACCTCCATTCTGCTGGACCTGGCTAGAGCGCCTGCGGTTGAGGCTTGACATCATCCTCGATAGGGGCTTCCGCAATGAGGGGTGCAGACTTCGGGGGCCTGGGTGAACAGCATTGGTGCTGAGGTTGCTTTCAATGGCAGGCAATCTGGTGTGGCCCGTGATCTGGTTTCGCTCTGGTCCAGATAGATTGATGGTGCTGGAAAGCATGGCCGCGGTTTGGGACTGACCGATCTTTGCAAGAGATGACGCCATTGATACAAAGCGAATGCTCCTTTTCGAAAGTAGACTCCCTTCCTTGTCCAAAGAGCGGAATCGTTTCACCAGTTTATACCACCTGCGCATCTCATTCTGTTTGCTTCATATTCTATTTATGTTGGCACAAGGCCGGAAGGCTTGACTTGAAGCAAAAGCAGGCCTTCAAAGTTTGAAGAGATCATTTGCGGCCATCAGAAATGGCCCCCCATTCCCAAGCGAAACCAGTTCAAGAAGCCTGCGCACTCGTTGCAAATTGAGCTGAACTGGTCTCTGGAGTCCGGTCTAGGACTCCAGAGGATCCTAGCTGTTGCCAATATATGGCGACCCGCCTTTGCTGAGTTGGCACGGATTGCTGGCGACGTCAATCTGGAGACGTGCGATCCCTTCGCGTGTACGATCGAACGGCTTCCAGATCGTGTGAAAAGGTTCTTCTGTGGAACCCGAGCATGGTGTACGGTCGACCCGCGATCACGCAACATTGACAAGCCAGCCAAGCAAAGCAGTCAAGCTACTGAAGCAACAGACGAACATATACCTTTTTGTTCAGAGACCAAGAGATGTTATACAGTTATACAGAGAGAAGTCGGCCAAATGGTTGGTAAAGTGAAGTTTCGTGTAACTTGATGACTTGAATCCTGTTCGAATGTACATACATGAGAAAGTACAGATACAGATCTCAGGATCAACAAATTGCATGTGAGAATTTCACCACCTTGATCAATTTGATCTGTCGCCTCGTCTTTCAACTTAAAGGCCATTTCGCATCTACTCTTCGTCGGCTTCAAAGAGTATATAGCTGGCTGCAAATATGGCAGAAGAACGCACACACTTCTCTCAATATCTCAATATGACATGATGTCTAGGAAAGACTGAGGAATCAGCAGGTTGCACTTTGTCACATCTTCGCAAGATGGTCTAGGATCACGAGCGTAGCAACTGCTGAGAGTGTCGAAGGTCCAGCTGTGCTCGTAGCGAGACTGCACAGGCGAGAAGTTCAGAACCGCAAACGGCGGCTATATCTCCGTTGTCAACAGCGTTAGTTTGCATTACTCGGACAAGCGCCCTCTTAATAAACGAAAGCAACAGGCCAGGCGGTTTCTCAAAGGTTTGAGTAGGTGAAAGTAGGCCGATCGACAAGAGGCCGGAGCAAAAACGAAAATAGTTTGAAGAATGGCCATTAGCTGTACATGTACAATTCGGTGCTGGGTTTACTGTGCTGGCTGACGTGCTCGATCGAGCGGAAGGAACGATACCATTCTTCGAAAAGTCTATCTGGATCAGGACCGGGTCGCTCGACAGCGACGATGAAGGTGAGTGCTTTCAATTTGAGTAAGTTAGTGCCGCCTCATATCAGATCCTGACCTTATCTCACTTAGTCGTCAGCTTGTGTCCAATTTCTGATTTTGTTTGAGAAGTGAAGCAGCCTACTCGAGTGTCGTCACCAGGATAAGGTCCGACTAGTCCTCCCAGAAGTATAAGTCATGAGCAGCGTCGACGTCCTCAAGCTCCTATCTTAAGCTGGGTTGACATGTTAAGAACGATAAACAGCAGTATATCTGCATAACAGCTGCTGCCGCTATCCATTCAATGCTCAGATTCACTTGCTCCTGCTAACGAACGCTGATCCACTTACTCTGATGCCTATTAAGAGCTCGAATAAGCACTCTACTTCTTGGCGGGCACCAGGGCATACGCGCGCACATAATCCACCAGGAACACGTTCATGCTTGGGTCCTTCAGAGAGGCCACGTCAGGCAGGCCGTACTGCTTGAAAACTTCGGTGTCGAAAAACAGGTACGAGGCCTCGGTGAACGGCGCCTTGGGAGTAATTGTGGCTGCCAGCTGGCCGTCGAAGTAGAACTGCAGCTTTGTGGGGCTCTGCCACCAGAAGCCGTACACGTGGAAGTCGGAGGTGATCGTACCGGTCGGCAGGCGGTAGAAGTACGGCGTGGTCAGGTCGCCCGTTTGGCTGGGGCCTCTGCCTGTCGGATACTGCAATCGAGGAAAATGGAAGAGAAGCTCAGGACTGTGAAGGATAACGAAAGCTTTCAGACGATTTTCAAGCAAAGATTGGCATCCAGATTGGCGTCGGCTGGAGAATGGGGGCCTCAACAGGTAATGAGAAGGAGATGGACGTAAAGGATTGAGGTGAAAGGAGTTCGAAGTGCTTGCGGGAATGTACATGAGGAGAAAGGCCGTTCGTTGGCCTCGTTCCGCAGAGCACAGGGCCAACGGTGCTTGACTTACTTTTGTGTGCCCTTCGCTCCGCGAAACAGGGCAAGATGTGACGTTAATTAAGCACCTCAAGATGGCGCGGAGCAACAACACATGCAGGCATTGGAAAAGAGATGCACACGGCTACGCTTGGATGGCGAGATGAAAACTCAGCGCGTGTGAGAATGACTGTATCTATCATTCAGTCGCAGAAAAAGTGGTCTTTAGAATGATCATGAGCACAAAAAAAGGAAAGGCAAAACGACTAGTCCTTACGTAGTGCGTGTTGATCGGCATGTAGCGGCTGCGGAAGTTGGCTGAATTGCCAATAGTTTCGGTGACGTCAGTCTCGGTGTGCACGGACTGGAACCAGAACGATGACGGCATCAGCAGGTTGGAGGCCTTCATACGCGTCTCGTAGAAGCCGAGACTGGCGATCGGGCTGTTGCTCGCGAGCGCGGCGGCGCTGATCCACGGGTCGTTGTAGGGGTCAGCCACCTGTCGAAAGATCAGGAAACCACGTGGCCCGTGTGTTTGGATGTCAGTTGCGACAAAACGGTTTCAAGTTTCTTCGTGGTCATACTTTGGTCTCTCGACCTGCATTTTCCTGGTTCGAATCATCGTTCAATCCACGTAAAACTCTAAGATGCAGGCTGATTTTGGCCCCATTTGTGAATGGATCTCTGATAATGGGTCTCAAAGCGGCCACGGGGGCGGACGGATTCAAAAGGACTTACGTTTCCGAATGATGAAAGTCAGTCACAATGGATTAGTCCACAGAGAGAGTCGTTTGACGGCGATCCTTTCGGAGGTCTACGTTCTCTATACGTTTGCTGCTTATTTGAAAATGGATCTTGCTGTCAACAACTGTATTCTTGTTTGACACACGCTACACAAGGATGTGACGAGGTATAAGGACTGCCTCAGGAGACCTTTCCTTTGCAGATCCTCAAACTCGAAGAACGGCTATTTTCTGCAATTGCCTCCCGATTCCCCGATCCCCCGATCCCCCGATCCTCCATATCCAGCTCCTTCCCCGTTCTCATTCCACCCCAGAGTTGAAGAGTTCCAACGTCGTTCCGACAGAAACGCAGTGCCGAACGCAATCGCCCACCTGGTTGACGTTCGTCACAGCCGTCGTTGACGTCAGCCTGGCGTAACCCCCGCCCACCGCCACGTTCGCGGTGCTGTACTGGCTGGGCAGCCGGCCCGAGTAGTACGGAATGATGGGCTGCCACTTGCTCCGGTCGAGCGAGTCGCCGTTAAACTCGTCGGTTAGAGCCCGGTTAACAACCCACCGGTAATCGGCCGGCGGCGGGGGAACGTGCTCCTCGGGAGCCGCAGCGGTCGGGGAGGGGGTGACCGGGGGAGGGTCTGGGTCCGCGCACGTGGCCAGCGGTCCGTCGTTCGGGCCGCAGCCGCTGGGGCAGCAAGTCATGTTCTGGCCGTCGTAGTTGAAGCACGGGTTGGGCGCCTGAATGGCGCAGACTACAGCGTCAGGTTCTCAAGAATATTGAGGATTAATGAACACGAGGATATGGCGTGCGCGCATCGGAACCGCCCTAAGTTGGCGGATCGGCAAGAACCTTGGCTATCCAAAGAATATTGCCGTTGCAAACGGCTGGCTCTAGCTTAGAGCACAACCCACAAGTATCGTGCAATCTGCGTGAGGCAAGGAAGCAACCTGGCGTGCAACCGCTTGAGTCCGGGAAGGAAATTATGCAACGTGCAACTTGCAAGAGGTCCTCGAGAGCATGATTCTGGCATTCAAGAGAAGACTGAATTGAACCTAGACATCGCGCTCCGATGTGATCAGAGATGAGAAAACGGGACGCTTGAGTTTCGCCTCCAAAACCAAAATCACATGTATCGAAAGCGTGGCCGCTGATCAGCCTGATATAAGTCCCCTTCCGACGGCTCTGACCCGCTTTGAAGTCCTGAATAGAGACTGGAGATTTGGAACTCTTTGAGGCTGCCCATCTGATCAGAACAATTCGAAAAGAAACGAGATGCGAAGGGGTCATCGTAAATCAAGAGCAAAGCAATCTGTTCGTCGTAGTCTGGCTGTTTGTAGTGTAGTCTGTTTGAAGTCTGGTGACCGAATACAGTTGCGTGAAGCTACAGGAATACCAGGGCAGTCCAAATCTCGACGCCGTGAAAATAGATCGCTCACATCCGTGGTGCACATCTGTGCGCAAGTCGCGACGGGTCCGACGTTCGTTCCGCAAACGGACTCACAGCACGCCTTGCTGCTCTTGTCAAAACTGCATAGATTCCACCACGCCATCAATAAGTACGGGAGATTCACTTCTGAACCAGTCGAAGCGTGCGACTCCTGCAATACGTTCTACACCGGCTGTAGGTAAATTCTTAGCCATGTACTTCTGACGTTGCCCTCAAAATGTGACCGTCAGCAAAGCATCGGAAGGTTGGCGGTGACTTGAAGGCAGACCCTGAAGGCAGCTCTTTCGATTCAAACGTGGGCTCTTGCTAGTGAGGAAAGTATGATATTTTCTAAGCTGACTAGTTTCTAAGTCCGGCCAGATATAAATATAATTGGTCTTCAATGAGAAATAACAAATAAAACCGCGATCGCTCGCAAGCTTGTAAGAGCTTCTACGAAACCACTCACTTCCAGCAAGGGTTGGAAGCCCAGTCAGGGCAGGGGTCATCCGGAAAGACGACGATCAATTCCCGTCTGCTTAGGGTGTCCGCACAAAGGAGATGGAACATCAAACTCAGAGGCTAAACGACTCCCTTCGCGAGAATGAAACAGCCGGCAATCTGCTATAAGAAAATCATGTTCGCTTCTTCTGGTCACCCGGAGTGCCTAGTATCTGCTCCTCGGATGTCGATAAATGCAGTCAACAAACAGATACGGTGTCAAGGAAGGAGGCCAATAAAGGTCTCCACATGAGCCCTTCTTCTGAGGAATTCAATGAGATTTTCGGAAGACCGACGTGCCTGAGCATCTGGCAGATGTACGATCAGGATCCATTTTCTTCCTGAATTCTCTTGAAGTCCAATTAGTTCAATTTGTTGATCCATACCCAGTGCAGATAACCCACCTGGGAAGACGCTAATCTCCTCAAGGTAGACACAATATCCTTCCTCCGATCCATATAAGGCGATCTCGAGGGTCTCGGTCGATGTATGGGCGACAAATCGACCAACGTTAGCGGTATCGTTATCCACCGCCGATGCGAAGATGGGGACTGACTCGACCGACAGGACAAGATCGACCGGCTTGTCCGTCTTCAAACGGAGTGAAAAGACGTAGGCGGTGCCTGGCACAAGCAGGGGAGACATGAAACATTCGGAGTATGCAAAGAATGCTGGTTGGGCTCTTTCTGTAGCCAGTGGTCAGCATCCGAAGCTCCAAGGCTCAGAACGCCTTTTCAGGTCGGTTGCTGCTAATATCAAGCGCGGGGACGAAAATTGTATACGTACACTTCTTTTCAAAGCAGTAGCCACGGCAGCTATCCACAATTTGTATTTTTACGTTGATTCTATTAGCTTAGTTGAAGAGACCCGTGCCCAGGCTTTCCTTTGTAAGAGTTTGACGCTATCTGGCAACAGCTCTCCTTTTTAAACCAAGATTTTCTCGCAGTGTCCATTTTCCCAAAAAGACTCCAAGGATCAGGAACTTCAAAAAGGCTTCTTGCAGTTGCGCATCTAAAAAGGTAAACCGGGAGAGAGAGCACTGTAAGGTTATGCTAGAGGTAAAGCCTTTCACGAAAAGGCAGGTATGAATGGAATCCGCACAGGGCTTTCCTAATGACACCACCACAAGAGTTAGACTAGAATCTATTGCAACCAAAATATCGATACGATTCCTTTCGCTCTCAAACTTATCGGCAGAGTACCTGGGGTCAAGCAGGCGAAGGCTCCCCTCAGTTTGGCCCCTTCTTTTCCCAGCTCCACCTTCACAGACCCCGCACTCAACTGAGGGGATCCCTCTGGAACCGACACGATTCGCCCCTCAAAAGCAGTCCACTCTCCAATCAGGCGCGCTTCGCCCGGAAAGCTAGGACCATCCTTTTCAGAGCTGCCGTTGACAAGAAATGCGTAAAGAAGGGCGACCAAGAAGGTAAGACGAAATCGGCGATAGGTCGCCATATCGGCTCGATTCGCTAGGTAGGGGAGTCAAGGTGGCTCGTTTAAGGCAAGAACGGGTCGGAATCGAAGCTTCGGCGCGCCTTTCTGTGCTAAAGAGAATCTGTTGCGCCCACGTGTTTGTATCCGAATAGAAGAGTCCTATCTGAAGCCATCTGAGCTTTGCCTGGAAGACTTCTGCTCAGCCTCGGAGGCACGGTCTGCGCCCCAACGCGCTTCGTACTGGAGTACTGTTGTCCTAATTAGCATCTTCAGGAGCTCGAGGCATTGGTTGCGCCAGCTGTGAGGCACTTGCTGGCTGTACGGTCTCGATAGTGTTGCAAGGCAGTTGTAAAGTTCGGCGCGGCCTCGAAAAGGGGGCGACACTTCAGTGATGGTTTCGAAATGCTCCTGTCGCTCGAACAGTCCGATACTCATCGAGACGGTCCTGGGACGTGCCAGCAGGCTTCGAGCTAGTTTTGACGTACACACCCAGCCTGAAAACACAAAATTTGCAAAGAAGATGGAGACAGAAGATTCCCATTAAGAAAGTGGTCGGACTGATCGACAAGCAGGAATTGTTCTTGTCGCAAATGGTGATGCGGGAATGATGGAGGGCGCTCCATATGCTGCACATATACTGCTGACGGTGCAAACACAAGGCAACTGTTTGTCAGACTATCCAAGCGACTCTCGCGGTTTTATGAATTTAGATTCGCACTTTCTCAAGGAGCTCTCGGGCCGGAGTAGTTCAAGGAAAAGAGATTGATTCGACTTACCAAAAAGAAAGCCAGGACCGCGTCTCGAACGACGATTGATGCTACGCTTGACCTCAAACCATGCTCATTGCTGTGCTCGAGCCTAAAGGCAAACGGGAACGCTGCAGAAAGGCCTCATCAGTCTTGTTAGCGAAAGCTCACGCTTTGCATGAAGAAATCTGCACTCTGACAGAGGCCACTCTGGAAATCCAACCTGTCCGACTAATTGCAAGTTGCACCCAAGACGATGCTCAGAGCAGACTTTATCATGTCCGGACCTCGTCATGTCCTGCTTTATCATACAAACAGCTCGTCATCAAGTTGTTCCATCATGTGACCGTTACCGCGACGCTACTCTGCCCATGTCTGCATGATGCAGTTTCTTCAAGTTGCAAGAGGATGCCTTTTGGGTTCCTCTAAGTATGTCAGTGCTTTGGAAGGAGAGAAACTCTGTCAAAGGAATTCATGCAGTTTTTCTCGTTACGAACCATACATCCGCCCACGTTTCGTTCGACCCTCGCCACAGACATCAAAGCTGCGGTTCGCGCGCCGCCTTCTTAAGCAGACGTAACCGCTGATTAAATTGAACTCGTGCCCGACGAAACAATAGTGATTACACTGGATGAATGGTGTGCCCCTTAATGTCCTCAGAGCTCACAGCCGATCCTAAGTATCTTCCCTCTTACTTCTTAGCTATCTTCTAAGGTAATGTTCGAGATGAGGGGTTCGCTAGGGGCAACAAACACATTGGTTTGCTAGAAGAACAAAGGTTCATCATACTGAATGAAGGTTTTACTGCCGACTGGCGGTACTCCCTGTTATAAGCTACCCGATCCTACTTCATTGTGTGAATATGCTTACGAGCGAGCAGACTGTGGGTCGCCGCTTCCTATCATTGCTCGCAAAGAATGGTCGTATCTTTGATCATAATATTCCCAGCAGGAAAGCCTTCTACGAGTGGTTAACCTATCATAGGGACTCCGTTTTGGCGTGCGAAATTTGCAACGCCGGAGCACTGCTTCGTGACCAATTAATATTCTTAGTACGAAATGAATGTCTGCCTTCGCGGGTATCTTTATATTGACTCCTAAGCTATGATACACGATTCACTGGCCCAGTGAACGTATCTTCCACTCGTTCCCATCTCATTTTCCGTTTGGAACCAGGTAAAACGCGCGCACGTAGTCGATCAGGAAGACGTTTTTGCTCGGGTCTTTGAGATCGGCCACACTGGGCAGTCCGTACTGACTGAAAACTTCGGTGTCGAAGAACAGGTACTGCGACTCGGTGAAAGGCCCCGCCGGAGTGATCGTGGTTGCCAGCTGTCCGTCGAAGTAGAAGTGCAGCGTTTGGGCGTCCTGCCACCAGAGGCCGTACGTATGGAAGTCGCCGGAAGTGAGCACGCCGTCCGGCAGCCGGTAGAAGAACGGCGTGGACTGGTCGGGAGCTTCGCTGACGCCGTTCGGGTACTGCCGGGGTGGAAGCAGGAAGGAAAAAGAGCTTAGCTATTTTAGTACCGAGAGAAGCGCGTGCTTTGAACGAATAGAAGTATGTGAGACTGGGCTCGCTGGTGGTTTGAATGGCGCTTCGCAGAATTTGGCGGAGACACTGGAGCCGTTGAAAGTGCGAGAAAGTGGACAAGCACAAGCAATCAGAAGCGGTTAATTGGAAAGACAGGCGTCTCTATGTAGAGTCCACGTAGTTGTAGGAACCAAGTCCAGAAGCAAATATGGACCTTCTTTACGAATAGATCAAAGCTAGAGGCTTCAAGTGCCTTGCGTCAAAAGCAAGCTTCTATGTTTCAATTCGGCCTTTTCCGATCTTGCCTTTCCGGCCTTCCCCGATCGCTGATGGTTATTTACCAAAAGCACCATCTTTAATGTCGCAGCTCGAGTTGAGAGACGTTGTGCAATTCAGGGAACATGAAGCTAACACATTCAGCGTTCCGGATTAAAGTTCAGAAAAGGACGAAGAGGAATTGGACAAAGTCGGTCTCACGTAGTGCGTATTGATCGGCATGTAGCGGCTGCGGAAGTTGTTCGGGTCGCCGATCGTTTCAATGACGTCAGTTTCGGTGTGCTGCGACTGGAACCAGAAGGATGACGTCATCAGGATGTCGGAGGCCTTCATCCGCGCCTCGTAGTACCCCAGGCCCGCGTACGCGCCGGTGCTCGCGAGCGCGGCCGCGCTGATCCACGGGTCGCTGAACGGGTTTGCCACCTGACAAAAGGTTGTCTTGTTTGGTACGGTTCTGTACACTCGTCTGCATATCTAAGTGGAGAAAGCCTGGCAGATTAACGTCCTGAGTTTCATAGAACGTCATGATTTTCAAAGGTGCAGATTCGATCATTGTCAGTTGTAGTGCTTGCTGCAACTCGATGATCGCCTGACCACCCAATTTAGGAGGCTTCACAGAACAGATCAATGGATGGTCTCCGAAGGGCACTGAGTCATCTTCTCCAAGGTTGCCGTCAAACGAAGTGAAAAAGCGAGCGTTTTTGAAGTCTGGCTCTTTTTCTCGGACTGCCCATGGCTTCTCATTCCAGCTTGCCATGACAGAGAGCCTGAGAATGCATCGCCCACCTGGCTGACGTCGTTCACGGCCGTCGTTGACGTCAGCCTGGCGTACCCGCCACCCACCGCCACGTTCGCGGTGCTGTACTGGCTGGGCAGCCGGCCCGAGTAGTACGGAATGATGGGCTGCCACTTGCTCCGGTCGAGCGAGTCGCCGTTAAACTCGTCGCTAAGCCCCGGGTTAGCGACCCACTGGTAACCAGCAGGGGCCGGGGGGAGGTTCGTACCGGGGGGGGTGACCGGGGGAGAAGTGGCCGGGGGGGAAGTCTCCGGGGGAGAGGTAACCGGAGGAGAAGTAACCGGGGGAGCGGTTTCCGGGGAGGATGTAACCGGGGGAGAGGTAAGCGGGGGGGATGTCTCCGGGGGGGAGGTTTGCTGGGGGGGAGTGACCGGGGGAGACGTTGCCGGGGGGGAGGTTTCAGGGGCAGAAGTGACCGGTGGAGCAGGAGTGGTCGCGGGGGATCCCGCGCAGGTAGCCAATGGGCCCCCGTTCGGCCCGCAGCTGCCGGGGCAGCAGATCATGTTCTGTCCGTTCCAGTTGAAGCAAGGATTGGGAGCCTGCAGAGAGAACGTAGAGAGGGTTAACGAACGGGTTTCCGTGTTCATGATTCTCTTCGTTGTTGAATCCCGATACGTGCTTCAATACTTGAAGAGAAATGCGGTGGACTCGGCACGTGAAAGAGTCAGCGGTCAGCAGGATTCGGATGCCGAAAAAATGGAAAGCAGCCGTTCAGTGATGCTTGTACCAATGCTCAATTTGATGATCAGTGCCCCCACTTTTACGCGGAATCAGGTGCACAAATGCTTCGAAATCTGAGGAACGAAGTGCCGTCTCAAGAAAACCAACACGACTTCCGCATCTTCAGACGTGTGCCCAGCGACCTTGGATGCGGCGCAGTCACACAGTAAAACTTGGGAAAAAGACGTCGCAAATGGCTCCGCACTTAGAGGCGCAGCACGAAGCAGAAGCACAAACGTTATAAAATCTGAATGAAGCCGCGAGGTTCAGTGCGGGCACTCGCCTCGGAGGTGCATCCTCCAGTGCAACTCGCCATAGGACCCGTGTTGATTCCGCACCCGTCGGGGCAGCAAGCCTTGCTGGAACCGTCCCAGCTGCACGGAACAAGAACAAAAAGAGGGTAGGAAATTGCATCCCAGAACCTGCCAGAAATGGGTATTCTATGCTGAACACTGCAGGAACGCGAATAACGTCTTGAGATCAGTCTCGGACTCCAAACTCAAGAAAGCATCCGTCATATGCATGGTAAGGAATTGAAGGGAGTTCTTGTCACGACCGGCCGCAAGTCCGGCGTGTGCGTACATCACCAAAGCTTCTTCATACCGAAATATCAGCGAGCACTAACCAGCAGCCCACAAAGTTTAAAACTCTCAAATTCAGCCTGATGTATCATGCCATACGCAAGAGCCCTGGTTGAGAGCATATGCAGGGATGTCCTTACTTGTAGCAGGGATTGGGAGCCGTCGAAGGGCAGGCGTCCCCAAGGGCTACGGAGATCACCTCTCGCCTGGTCAAGGCTTCTGCTGGAAGTTTGTTGGAGTTGGAAGGAGAAACTGCAGGAGACGTCTTGCGACTTTAGGAAACCGAATGCTACTCTTCGTGAGGAAGTTCGAACAGAAAATCTACCGGGGCGGTTGATAGAAATGTGCTCAGATTCGCAAAATATGGGATGATTTCCTTGGAGGGGCCCAGGAAACTTCGTACAGAAGAAGCACTTTAAGGCCACAAGAGATACATTGGAACGAGGATAAGACGAAGGATTGGGAGTTTGAAGAGTATATGTCTTGCAGAACAATGGCGCCGAACCAGAGAGAAGAGAACAGAAGTCCAAATGACCTGAGTGGTGTTGATGCATTCTGCTTATCTTCTCTGCTCTTAGGCTTTTCCAGCATGGGACTTTCCTCAGATCTGGCGGCAATAACGCGAACGTATAGCGACTTTTTGATCGACATTTTTTATCAGGTCCTTGTTCTGATTCAACGAATACAAGCTTCTTCGATCCGAGAAGAAAGACGACACGAGATCTGAGCGGTGAATAGCATCATCCAAATAATGAGTTACGGCTGCCCATAACCCACCTGGAGTGATTGTGACGTCATCAGGGTATGCCTCCGCTGCTTTTCCCTTGCCAAAAAGAGAAACCGCGAGCGTCCCGCTGCTTTCAGCCGCTATGAAGTAGCCGACCTTGACCCTCCCGTCATCCACGGTCGATGTCATGATTGCGGTCGCGCCACTGGAGAAGACTAGGGCGACCGACGTGCTGACGTCACCCTTCATTTGGAAGGACAGTCTGTAGGCGTTACCTGGGGAAAGGAAAGATGACAATGTCAATGTAAGAAGAGAGAGTCCAACAAGAGGGGTGGCTTGGAACAGGCATGTTGGAGGTCGGGAATGCAGTTCGCGTAATCCGTTCTTCATACCCCTTCTCCCGATGGCTGCCATAACCAGACTTCACTCTTTATCGCGCCAGGATCGTGCTTATCATACAAAATTACTGTTTCCTGAATGGTTGACAGCGGAACTGGATAATGACGCTCTCTTGCGCGTGGAAGAAGGTAAAACGCAGGCAAATTGCAGGTACGTCCAACATCGTCGGGCGCAAACTTTTTATATTGACGAAATGTATCCGGTGAGCTTTTCGTGCTCCAGCTAGGGCAGCCAACAGATGTTCTCTTCTTTGATCGCGCCTAATACACACAAGCTTTGCGCTTCAAAGGTGGGTTTCACAAATTGATAACCCGAGCACAACCCTCGACAGGTTTTAATGAAAGTATAGCTTCTTCTTGCTTCATTATCCTGACGTACCTGGAACGAAGCCAGTGACATTTCGTTGCAGCACGGCGCCTCTTCCCCCTAGGTGCGCCGATCCGCCGGGCGCCGAAAAGCTCCTCCCCGGGAACGCCCTCCACTCTCCAACCAGGCTCACTTCGCCCGGAACACTGTTGCTGATCTCGCCAGCAATAAGAGCAACCTGGAGAGTCAGAAAGGCAACCGAGAGCGCTGTTGGGAGGTGGGGAGTGGTCGCCATGACAGGCTGAGAAGGGATAATAGTAGGCTTTCCAACAAGGGAGTCTTCGAAAGGGAGAGGCCGCGAGTGAAGCGTCTGTGCTCTGTCATTTGTGCATCTGCTGCTCGTTCTTTACCTAAGTAATCAAGAGGCAGCTTTGCTAATTCAATGCTTCGCCTTCAGTTCGTCAGACTAGCTTGTAATTAGAGTCTTCAAAGCCTCACGCTCTGGACACGCATCTCCCTCACCTTGCATACGCGATTCGTGCTCAAGCCTCTCCTGTGTGAAGACCTTCCCTTACGACACGAAGAGTGCGCCTAGAGTGTTCTCATTACAGAATTCGCTTAATTCCGAATAATTCGAGGACGCATGTAGCGCGTTTTGAGGTGGGTTTGCTTCGAACCGTTTGCAAACAGTTGATATGGAGTTGAGTTCATTCAGGCTTCGAACTCCCGTTGCCTCCACTAAGTGCGGCCGTAGTGGTCTGTCAAGCGGGATTTGATATGCGCCACGCATCGAAGTGTTCGTGCTCCAGTTATAGAGGGCGGTTTCAACCGCTACTTGGGGCCTTCAAACGTGGGCGATTGATGGTCCAGAATTGGGACTGCCCTGTACCGATTCCTCGGGCGGTACGTTGGGCAGGGATCCGCTTCCAAGTGTCAACACCGGGACTCCGCCAGAAGCTACCCACGGGGCTCGAAGCGGAAGCTCGGAAGATCACATCTAAACTTCCAACTGAAAGTATATTTGGGTCTTAGGATCTATCGGCACTTCGTGCTATAGATTCTCTTTGGCGTGTTCTGTCCTCAAAAGCTCGGAACATTCTTGAAACTGCGTTGGCGTGTACTGTCCTCGAAAGATCAGACTATTCTGTGGATGACATTGCGCCCTGTTCGGGGCATATGCAAGGCGGTGCTAATTCGGTGCACTTTTTGACTTGCAGAACGGGCGAACGCGCGCTTCGAGACGACCACTACCCGGCTTCGTCTTTGTGAGTAACTGACACATGAAGTCGATCTGGGTCAATCAGCTCATTAAAAAGCCAGCTTCGTCATTTTCGATGTAAAGAGCCAAGCGGGGGTTGGTTGAGATTGTCGACAAACTAAACGCGGTGCTATGTGTTTGAAGATGCATTCCTCTTCTCTTCCCAAACTCTTTCTAACCTGCCGGTAATAATACCCACATTCAGCTCGTTCAAAGCCCTTTTTACCGCTCACTGTCACTTCGTACTTTGAGCAAAACACAGCGAGCAGGATAATTACACAAGAAAGATTAAAGTAAGCCAAGCTGATAATGGCTCCAACTGGCACGGAAAACCCTAACCCGATCAGGAACCTGCTCTGCACTCTTACCCACCTAGCTAAGCCCTGAATTAACCCCACCCGTCGGTGCGGTTTCCTTATTTTATCATCTAGGTTTACTATTATCTTTCTTGACTTTGATTGCTGGAGGGCATTGGCCACGCTACAGGTGTAATTGAGGAACACCGTGACAATTTCAACATGGATGTGGAAACACACAAACAATCTCGACCCCATTCCGATTCAGACTTTTACCATAACGAGGCCGAGCTGACACGATTTCAAGTAACCGAGCTTGACGCAATCTGTTTTCGTATCGAGGCTCACTATAAACCACGTTCCATCTTGAGACCGTCACTAGATAAATGGCGCTTCGGTTTTCTGCAGCCCTTGTGGCTTTTTACTTGTCACAAGGATCCATTCTCGATATCGAGCGATCCGATGCCCCCTCCCTGACGTCTATGCCATGTGGATTAGCAAGTCAGAGTAAAAGCTTTGTCGACCAGTCAACCCGCCTGAACGAGTGGCTCCTATGAAGACGACCGAACTCCTGCAAGGAGATTAAGTATACGTAGCGATGGTAGAAGATTCTTCCTGTGCTATAAATCAACACGAAAGGGGCGGCTCATGAACACAAGTTGAAAAGCGTCTCCTTCTCTGGATCAGGATCTTGTCACCTTTTGTCTTCTCTAGCTTCCCATAACATTCGTCAGTTCCTCGTGCAACCTCGGGCTGTTAGAAGCAGTCTGGCTGCGGCCCTCACCTTTTAGCTTGCACCGGCTGAAGAACGCAAATGGCGCGCGCAACTTCTCTGCCGTCCATTCTGGTGCTGGCTGTGCTGCTGACGGCTTCCACGGTGAGTGCGCGCGCACGCGCGCTTTTTTTCCAAGCGCGCGTAATTGGCGCGGCAGGTTCTCGGATGCACCCCCTCTCGATTTGCTGCAGCTAGCCGTCAAATTCAGCGCTTCTCTAAACGGAGATTCGCGGTTCTACATGCCATTCTCATTGTCAGGAAGTTTCAGGAAAGGACAGGAGTTTGGACGCGGCCTCTCCTCATGCCGTCTCCTGCCAGGAGAGGTTCCCTGGAACGGACCTCAGTCCAGCAATTCGCGACGTTGATTCATCTCACTCGTGATATTTCTCGTGCTAACTTTTCTCCAATTCAGTATCAATTCTGATTTAAATGTAGATCTGAGGCTGGTCTCAATCATGTCCTGGGTTTAGCGCATGGTTCCATCTCATTTGGAAGTCCGCTTTCTAAGGTTCTTCGTGTCTCCATTGAGCTAAAGCAACCCTACCTGTTTTCCGCAGGGGCTCGTGTACTCTACACCAAATGGAAAGGGGGCGAAACATGGGGAAACAGGTAAGCCAGAACTTTAGAAAAACTCCCCAAACAGCCCCGTTTTCTCTGTATGGTTGCCTTGTAACGGCCTCAATCAAAGAAGTTGCGCCATACGTGCTGATCTATTAAGCTATTACGCTGTTTTCTCCATTCTGTATCTCTTCAATACTCTGGTGAAACAGAGCGCGTCTCTTTGAATCTTTAAGCGCTCTCGCAAACCTTCAACTCACAGTCCAGAACCGCTCAACCGCTAGACCGTGTATACGCTGACATGTCAGCTCTCACACGATTGAATGCGACTTCTGGCGGGACGTCATTGACCGAGACGGGTTTTCGATAGCGTCATATGTCGATTTGCAATCCTGATTCAGGATCCGTTGCTTGATTTACCGAAAAAGATACAAAAAGCATCGTTTCCCCTCTGTACTTCTCTAGGCAGCCCCGCACGAGCGCCGGGCCCTTCGACTTCGAGGACCCGTATACCCGCCCCCGCCCCCGCCCCGGGCCCTCAGCCTGCCTCACCGCCCACAAATTCTGCACCTTCTGTGTCTCCCGGTTCTCACTCCCGGGCACCAGTGGCTCCAACCCCCAGCACCGTTGCGCCCGGTCCGATCGACCCATCAAACGATGTGCCGATCAGCAACGAAGTAAGAGGTGAGAGACCTGATCGAGATGCTTGGACTCTCTGGCTTTCTCGCGTTCTCTTCGCACGGACGCTTGTCGTCCGCCTCGTGATCTTTTGCGTGCGGGTTCAACGCTGGCCATAACGAAAGCCGTAAAGACTGCTCCTGGACCACTAAAAGGTCTACACATGTCGGGATATCTACAAATAAGATTGACAAATACCCCGCGCGCAAAAAGACCTATCCAACATTCGCGCCGCAACCCCCCTACCGCAGCTCTTTTCATCGGCCCCGGCCTAGTCGACTTCATCGACCCCCCCCCCAAGAGCAGCTTCATCGCACCCCCCTCAACGACCGCAACCAGCGCCACCGACCCTGTCAGCGCCATCGGGTTCTGGCAACAGCCGCTCGCGTTTCCGGAGCGGATCACAACTTTCGACAGCCGCACCTTCAAGCAGACAATCTTCAACGTCACCCTGGGCGAGTTTGAAGTCATTGGGGTACGCACTTCCGCACTGCCAGCTATTCTGCAAAGAAGCTCGTGACGAAGAATAGCTTCTCTGGTCAGGAGCTTCGTTTCATTCTTTCTATAAACATTATGCCGATCACAAGTGTTTTCAAAGACTCGTAAGCGAAGCTGAGCACAAGTTCCAGAACGAATCTGGCATCAAGCTCACGTCAGAAAAAACAGTGATCAGCTGCAGGGCTGCACTTTTCTCTACCTCCGATGTCTTTTCGCTGACCCCGCTTCAACTCCTGAGGCGCTCTTGCTTTGGAAAACCCTAGCATCGATGCATTCGAGACTGTTTACTGTTCCGCATGGATCTTGATACGTCTTCTAATTTCCACAGACGCTGCATCCCGCGATCGCAAACAGTACCGCCTTGCTGGCGTACGGTCGGTCCGCCACGACCGCCAACCTCCCCGGGCCCACGTTCGAAGTCCTTCAGGGGCAGCCACTCTTCGTCACGGTCGTCAACAAGCTCCCGGGGAATAACACCGGCTCGCTTGCCAACGCGATCGACTACACGCTAACCTTCCTGCCACCGCCCCCAGTAAGCTCCGTCTCTCGGGCGCGCGCGTGCGCGCTTTTGACAGATATTAGCTTCCTTGCTTACCGAGAGATCAGAGAATCCTGGTCCGACTAGGGTTTTCTCTCAAGTACGTGAAGTGTACCCCTTCTTGAGAAAGTTGCGGCTAGACTTCCCTCGAGATGTCCTCGATCCGCTGAGTGCGTAGGCTCAGACAAAATGTTTTACCAATTATTAGGATGCGCCGGGCTGGGCACGTGACCTGAATCAACAGCCATTCTTGCGAGCGCTCCGTTCAACAGGCTGTTTCGAATCCGTGCTGAGACTAGACACATTCGCTTCCCGTGACGACTCCGAGAGACCAACTTTCACGCGCCTTCTCTCGCTAAACCTTCTCCACGTCATCAGACTCTGGAACCCCAGAACCCGAAAATCCTAAACTAGAAGCCTGAAACCCTGAAACCCTGAAACCCAAAACTCTCCCAGGGCAAGGGCGTCTTCACCAGCGTTCACCTCCACGGCGGTATCCAGGAGCCGCAAAGCGACGGCAATCCCGACGTCTGGTTCACCAACCCCGATCTCTGCGACTACAGCACAGAAACGTGTGTGGGGCCGCTGTTTAATGTCTCCAACAAGTACCTGGACCCCCCCGGCCAGAAGACGCACTTCTACCCCAACATAAACCCCGCGACGCTGCTCTTTTACCACGACCACGGTGCGTTCCCTCTGCAAACCCGGTGCGCCGTCAACTGTTTAGTAGAATCCGTCTAAATGTCCCTTATTCCTAAGTTCTGTCTGATTCATCTCGGACGTCCGAAATCGGCCAGAACGAGAGTTTCCCGGACCGAGTACCTCCGCAACGCGTCCGGCCGCGCACACTCTGAAGGAGCTCTCTTGAGTGTTTATTGTCTCACGATTTTTCTCGAATTCTTCTGTCTTTCAAGAGAGTCGTCTTTTCTTACGAACACAAGTCAAAAAGCGCTTGCACATTGGAGGTTTGGCCTCAAAAATGATTAATGTGACCTGCGCACGCGTTTGCAGCTTTTGGCGTAACCCGGCTGAACGTTTACAACGGGCTTCTCGGGCATTACATCGTCCGCTCGCAGTGGGAGCTCCAGAACCCCGCGCTGCCAAAGGGCAAATATGAACGGGAGATGGCGATCGTGGTAAGTGCGCACCCGACAACGAGAAATATTAGAAATGTAAGAACCTATTTGGATCCCTTCGGGCAAACTAGCTCGCGCTGCCGGACGACCGTTGAAAACAATTTTCTTGCTGTTTTTCTGCCTCAGTTCCTGTCCATCCGATCGCTGCCCCCCGAATCCGCTCAGCTGTATCAATCCATCCTGCGGGGCTCCGCTCAATTCATTGCGCCGAAATCGGCTCACATTGCGTCGATCTGTTTCTCATAAAGCCGCCTGGCAGACCCATTCCTCCATTCCGCCGGAATCCGCTTGCAGGACGTGCTGCTCAACCCGGACGGCTCGCTCGACTACCCCACCATGGGAGTCACGCCGTTCCACCCCAAGTGGGTCCCCGAGACCTTCGGTACTTTCATGACCGTCAACGGCAAGATCTGGCCCTTCTTTGAAGTGGAGCGCACGACGTACCGCTTCAGGATCGTCAACGGCTGCCAGGCGCGCTTCCTCAACCTGCGCCTAGTGGACCCCCAAAGCACAGGCGAGCGGATTGGTCAATACCCACTTCTTGTGTCGCTGTCCTGCCTTCCATCTGGAATGGTGAAATTGAAGCTTCGTGTTCCGGAATCAGGGTTGTGTTCACAGGCAACATCAGTGTTAGGATGGTTCTCCACTTCGATTTCGAATTTTAATCAGCTCCAACGACCCGAGATTTAGAACCCTGACTCCCGTTGGCTTTTCTACTTCGTTGCAGGCAATACGAGCGTCCTCCCCTTCGTCCAAATCGGCGCGGAGCAGGGCTTCCTCCCCGCGCCCGCGGTTTTGGACACCATCCTGATGGGCAACGCGGAGCGCGCGGACGTCCTCATCGACTTCTCGCGCATGCCCGTCGGCGCCGAGATCATCATGAGCAACGACGCGGCCGCGCCGTTCCCGGACGGCCCCGCGCCCGTCTTCGGCGTGAACGGCACCGCGTCCGTGCTCAAGTTCATCGTCGTCGCGCACGACGCGCGCGCGGGGCCGACGCGCGGCGTGCCCGACCGCCGCGCCGTTGGCAAGTTCGTCCCCCCCGCCGCCATGGCGGCCGCGCCCCCGGTGACGAAGACGCGGCCGCTGCTGCTGCTTGAGAATCTGACCCCGAGCGGAGCTACGATTCAGTTGACTCTCAATGGGCTGCCTTATAGGAGCCCGCTGACCGGCGCGCCGATTGTAACCGAGCTGCCGGCTCAGGGCACGACGGAGCTGTGGGAGATGTTCAACCCGACAGCGGATTCGTGAGTGGTTGGTTTTTCTTTCCCAAGAGATTTGACTCGTGAGAGCGGCTCATTTATGAACGTTTGCGAAAGAGGAGAGCTAGGAAGCTTCAGTGGGTTCATGTCCCATGGCGTATCTTAGATCCCCATCCCTTGATTAGGTCAAATACTTCTCTCGAATACTGGTTCAGCCTGCTTCTCTATCAAAAGGCTAGCCTCACTGTGGGTTTTTTTCCCCATGCTTTCCTGGGCTGCTTTTCCAGGCATACGGCAAAGTAAGATCATTGATTATAGGTGACGTTTACAGCTCCGTCGTTTTGATGAGACCAAGCGCGGGACAGAACGCAGTCTTTGTCAAAGCTGTTGGTCTCCTAAGGCTTTCGAGCATCGTCGCAAATTCATGCAGGGGTCGTCATCTTTGAGGGATGCCTCTTTCACCCCTTCAAAGACAAAGAGGTTCACAGCTAGATTCCTCCTTTCCGCCTATATACAAACCGTCTCTGCTGGGTCCACTCACATTTGGTCGAATGTTAAAAGACTTGATATCTCATGTTCGGCACAATCATATGCTAATTGCCTTTTCCATACCCAAAACATTGCATAATACCACAAAATTGACTTTCTCCTTCCCCAGGCATCCCATCCACACCCACTTGGTCGGCTTCCAAGTGCTCAACCGCCAGCCGTACAACACAACTTCCCCCCCCACCAGCCCCGTGTTCACCGGCCCCCCCGAGCCCCCCGCGCCCAACGAAACGGGGATGAAGGATACGGTGAAGGTTCCCCCGGGCTTCGTCACTCGGATCCTCATCACGTTCGCCCGCCCGGGGTGGATCCCCGGGCAGGGGCCGCCCTTCCCTTTCGACCCCACGCCCCAGCCAGGCTACGTGTGGCACTGCCACATTCTCAGTGAGTCGTCAGAGTCTGCGCCTTCTGGTTTCCGAGTGATAAACAGAAAGCGGACGGATTTGACAGATGAGCAAGCTTGATGCAGAGAATAGCATGAGTCCTGCAAGCGCACAGACTCGTATGCAGTACGCTGGAGAGAAGCACGGATCAGTCCGTCCAGTTTTAGCCTTCAAAATCAATTGCCTGATGACGTCGCGATGAGCTCGTGTATAAGCCGCGCTTGCATAAAAAAACTCGGCTTGACGTGTTTGCACTTGCCGTCTCAAAACATGGTCTGCGTTCTTTGAGGTGTTCTATTTGCGCTCCTACATTGCTGCCGTCTGTGCGACGGTTTGGTCAACCTCCATCGAGGGTAAGTAACGACAATTTGGGTTAATCGTGCTTCTTTTTTCGTGCAGACCATGAGGACAACGACATGATGCGCCCCTACTTCCTGATCGACCCCCCGACTTTCGTGAAGCTGAAGGGAAGAGTGCAGTCCCCTTAGCTGAAACAGTTGCGCAGAGGAGGCCGGCGGGTAGCCTCCTCCCGCCGGAGTTTTGAGGCGGCTACCATCTCTCTTTCCTTCAACAAGTAACTGTTGGATGGAGCGTGTCGATGCCAACCGTTTCTGCTCAAAAGAAAACATGTTCCAGGAGTACAGGTTTGCGGCTAGAACGTAAAACGTAGCCTCAGCTTAAGAGTCTTCCTGGATTGTCAATCTACTTTTGCCCCATGGGCCAACTTTAGAAGAGTTGTCTGGTTGCAGCTTCCCAAAATCAAGGGGAACAAATAGCGTTAGTTGCGAGCTTTGCAGGCGTTCGTTGGATTGTGTTTTTTGTAAGCTTTGGCAGGCTAGCCGGACCGCGGAGTCCTCTATGCAGACGCTGTTGACGTCCGACCAATCGTGTTTGATTGAAGATAGACAAACGTTTTGAAACTCTACGACGTATTATCTACTTCATATAGGCACGTCCCACCACTGTCAAACTTTGCCAGTTCCGATCTTCAGTCGCTTACAACCGTCAGCTAGCGGCCGGATTTTCCAAATTCCAACGGATCGTTTCTCGTAAGAGACCTGCGCGCTTGTTGAACTCCTGTCATTTTTTGCTGCGAAAAGAAATGGCTGCTTCCCAGACAGGTTTCTTGGTCCGGATCGCTCGATATCGTTTAGATAGGTCTTTCACTGATGTTAAACATGAACGCGGTTCTCTCGTTCTGGCACCACTTTTGGAGTTAAGTGTCCCTAATATTGAAAGGGTGATTACCGGAATTGCGATTGATAGTAAAGCTTGATCAATCTTCGTTACCCTAGCTTGCAGCTTCATGAGCACGGCTTCGTCCGATCAAACCATATTGCTAGCAAAGCTCGGGGTTACATCGCTATCGAAGCGCAGGGAAAGAAACGCAAGCCGTGGCTTCGGCTGCTCGGCGCTGTTGACTTTCCACCTTTTTGGAATTTTTGTCAAACCTGTCCGCACTGGACGTTTCATAAACTGAATTCGAACCTTTTGGTGCACGCATCTGGTCGGGGCGAACCTGGGGGTGTTGATATGGTTCAAGTATCGCGGAGCCGGAAGCGCCAGGAAGTTGAGTATCGATATCGTGCATCCGAATCGATTGGGCTTTCGTACCTGACGCTAAATTTTTCGAAGTGCGGACCGTGGACAGGTTGGATGAAAGCTCCAATAGCTTTTTCGATCATCATATATTCTCTCACTATCTATCTCTCATAATTACTGAGACCAGCTCCGTACGTATTCCGTTATTCAACATATCTATGTGCGAAGTGCTCATTCCGAGTCTCCGAGCCCCTTTGCGACCTTGCCAGGAAATAAGAAACCTGTTGATTGAAAAAGTGGCGAGTGCAGTAATTTGCCTGTCAATGTATGCACGACATCTGGCGCGGCGGCCCGGTTGGCGGCCCCGCGCACGCCGTCCGCGGCCCGGGCGCGGCCGGACAGTCCGAATCCAATCCGTGTGGACGGTCGATGTCAAATGTCTCCGGATCGGACGGTCGATCACCCGACGGTGCAGATCGCCACGGGCCAAACCTCTCGCGGATCGGACGGTTTGCGGCGCCGCCGCACCCTGCCGCCAGGCGGCCCACTGGGCATGGCGCGGACCAGCCGGCGACCGCCAGTTGGCGCGACCTTGCATTCCCACCCAACCCGGCCGGGTACGTCTACCGGGCACCCAGGGGCCTGGCCCCTCCGGCATAGGCTATGAGCCAAGAGGGCCCGGCGCCGTTATACGGGCTCAGCCCGTGCCGTTACCAAGCACTCACAGACCGTTCCCATTCAGCACACCAAAGGAAGACGTCCAGCTTCCTCAGGCTTGTCCATTGAGATGAGCCCTCGCAGTGTGCAAATCAGCCGCAATCTTGCTCTCACTTTCCACAGTTCACTTTCTTCGGTGGCAATTTCTCCGCGGTTTAGCGGCTTCCGTGTGCGTTAGGCCTCTTGCAGTAGAATGACAGAGCCAAGCAGGCGTCCTTAGAGAAGCTGCAGGGCAGATTGGTGTGGCTCAGGGCTTTCAGGTTGGCCGGCAACTAATGTGAACAGGGATTGGTGTTCTGTGAAGCGTTGTGGGGGCGCTTCCTAGTATCAGTCTCATCATCTCTCTTGGCCTTGTAGGAGCAAATCAGAGCTGGCCCTTCAACTGTGTCGTCATGGCAAGAGGCCGCCCTCATGGCCGGTCCAAGTCTGACCACAGAGTTTGTCAGGCAGCTCGACATGCGCGAGCTGCTGAGTACAAGGAGAGGATCGCCATCAGTGCTGAGCAGCAGGAGGCACGGATTGCGGCGGTTAACGCAGAGTGCAACGAGGAAGATGCCCCTCGTAGGCGGCGGGGCCAGAAGCCTGAGGATCCGAAGACCAAGGCATCAGCTGCTCGGGTGTCCGCACAGGGCCATTCTTGCAAGGCAACTGGCAGTGGGAAAAAGAAAGCAAACAAGCGACTGGAACATGCGCATGGCAAAGCTGCACAAAGAGGTGAGTTTTTGGTGCATGGCTTCTGGGTTAAATGCTGTGAGTTATGAAGCGGACGCAAAACAGAAGCTGGGACGTGTTGGTGTGTAAGATAGAAAGGGGACGGGTGGGTTGGCCTTGCAATGTGTACCAAGAAGAGCATTTCTGCCTAGATAATGGAAGGAACGGTGTTGGTACACACTACTTTCGGTAGTGCGGTCAGAATGGTTAAAGGGTGGCTGGCTCTGCAGTTACTCAAAGATTCTTCGGAGTCTTAGCGGGCATGTTTGTTTCTGGGACGTACCAGACTTTGCCTCTTTCTCTTTAGAACATAAGAAGCTGATTCTGGTACATGCTGTCAATCACAAAGCTCCAAGCAATCTTAGCGGGCATGACCGTCCCTGGGACGTACCAGACTTTGCCTCTTTCTCTTTAGAACATAAGAAGCTGATTCTTGGTACATGCTGTCAATCACAAAGCTCAAAGCAATCTTAGCGGGCATGGCCGTCCTTGCAGTGTACCAGACCTTGCCTCTTTCTCCTTAGAACGTAAGAGGCTGATTCCTGGTACATGCTGTCAATTACAAAGCTCCAGGCAATCTTAGCGGGCATGGCCGTCCTTGCAATGTACCAGCCTGTGCCTCTTTCTCTTTAGAACATAAGAGGCTGATTCTTGGTACGCGCTGGCATTACAAACCTCCAACCCCACTGCCAGAAGAAAGAGACCTGACTGCAAAAGGCAGGGGCACGCACCAAGGCTTGCATACATCTCCAAGTTTAGACTCCAGGTCCATTACCCAACCTCTGCGCTTCTTCGTTTCAGACCCGCACAATCTTGACTGCCACGCGTGCGGCGCCACTGCAGAGTTCGGGCTGAGGGGAAGCAAGGAGGGGGGCAACGTCAAATACTCCTGCAGGGTGCATGCCACATACAATGGGTGCTTTCGAGTAGACCGAGACCGCGCAGGTGAGAGAATTTTGGGAGCCTGCTGTTGACATGGTCTAGATGCAATGCCATGCTCATAGCTGCCCTTCCATTGCCAGTAATGAGCCTTTAGAAAAGACTGTCGAGAGAGATTTAAATGCTCTGTATGCTCCTGCAGCATGGGTAGAGGACCGAGAGCTGCGCCACCTGAGAGCAGAGGAGAGAAGATTGGAAGAGGAGTTGCGAAATCTGGGAGGGACGTCGCCTGATGCAAAACAGGGGTCAGGTGAGCATGCGGTCCTCGTTGTGCTGATTCGACTAGGCTGGCTGTTCTCTTGTGCAAAACCAGGTGGCAGCGAGTTGCTTTCGTGCATTTGCTACGTCGTGATTCCTTTAGCTGTGGACTGATCGTGATGCTAAGCGATGGCAATCATACGCAGCGCTACACCATTTGCTTCTGCAGCTCCAAACGATGACCCCAAAAGCGAGGGGGATTGGACTTCGGTGGCTATGAGCAAGCCGCTCATAAGTGAGTCTCTCGATTTGCAGCTTTGAGTCCGCAATTGGACTGCAACTAGAAGAACAGTTGGGCTTGCAATCTAGTATGTAAAGACTCGTAGAGGACTTGCCCCTGACCTACTGTTGCGGTCTCCTGACTTGCCTGGATACTTCCGGATTGTTCTTGTGAAGGAAGTCCAGCTTCGTCAGACACTCAGCATCTGACGATGTTGTCCCCACTTGCAGCCACGCTCCTCATGATTGGTGGGATTGAACAAAACCCCGGACCTACTCCTGACGAGGTGAGCCAGGACAGGGTGAACCTTGCAGTGCAGGGCAAGAACGCCAATGGTTGTACTGGATGACAAGGGAGCATCTGCGTGTCTGTCGCAGTGACCATGCTTCTGACAGAGTGGGCTCTAGATTGTTGTGCTCATCATCGATGTCTCTCTACCGCAGATTGCACAACTCGAGAAAGGCTGGCGGGAAGAATGTCCAAACATCAGGACCGCGCTTCTGGCTCACCTGACGCAGAAGGATCTGGACGTAGATACCTGGAAACGAGCGTCTGTTGAACAACGCATGGAGTATCTGACCGAATGGAGAGCCACGTACTCAGGGCAATGGGCAGACGGCTGGGATCTACTCCTCAAAACGGTGCCAAGTAAGCAGCTCCCTCAACTAGATGAGGAGGCTAGCTTTTAGGTATATGCTTGGAGATCAGGAGTAGAGGTTTGATTTCAAAACGCGTCCTTCAGATGCATCCTTAGGACGCCGCTCACTTAGAGGTTTCCTTTGGTGAGTATCTAGCTAAGACCTTGCGCACAGAGTTGCAAGACTCGAGGAACCGCTCCGTCTCCCTCACGCACTCTTCC